AAAAAAAAAAAAAAAAAAAAAAAAAAATGGTTGATAAAAATTAAAAAGTCATTGAAAAAAAATTAAGGAAAAAAAAAAAAAAAGTTTAAAAATGCATGTATCAAAACAGAAAAAAAAAACGTAAGGAATCGCTAAAAAGTTATGTACATTTTATTTATGCAATTATAGTTAAATGCCTATGGCAATATTTATATTATGTACACTATATGTTGCGTAACTTTAATTACTAACATGCAGTATAACCGCATGGAGAAATGCGGGCGAGAACAAAAAAAAAAAAAAAAAAAAAAGCCATACAACAGTAGGGTGGCGTTCTTCCCCTCCCTTGGCTTTTTCCCGGCGTACAGGTCCATTTGCGGAAGAAACCTTGTGGCCCGGAGGCATCTGTATAATACTTATAACCTCATCGATTCGAACCCTTCTCTACTTTCCAATTCCCAAACGCGGCACCAAACAAATAAATACATATATACATTATATGTACATGTCCGCACAATTGCTTTGTGCACTTCACATTTCTATTAAATTGTAATTTGTTCCACTTGTCGAGTCATGCACCACCATATAAATTCACTAAACCCTAGTCCTGCAAAAATCGGAATTAACTTGCACTCCTGTGTGGGGCTGTTAAAAGTGAACGTCCCTCCGATTGTTGGCTTCTTTCGGAAAAGGCTAAAGAGAAGAAATGGGAAACAGTTCTCCTCAGATCAGCTAAGTATGAATCTGCGATGTGCCCTTGCCGCATTCACGTATGGATGCATGTACTACACAAAAAACAATGTCGGAAAAATTCGCATGTACGCAAGTGCACAAAATGTGGAAGGGCATAAAATCCCCTGTTCTAACAAAAAAAAAAAAAAAAAAAAAGTACCGTTGTAACGGGGGACCACGGGAAGTGTACTACGCGAATATATAGCACATGGCACAAGGGGGGTAAATGCGACTGCAAACTTTTATTGGATAAAAATTGGAGCGCACAAAATTACCCCATTGCAATAAAATTTCGAACCACATGTGATGATGCCCGCTGCTTAATATATATCGCAAATATGGATGAGGCGCTATTTTGCGTAGCTGGTGCACGGTCATGCGGGGTGTTTTTTATACCCCATGTTTAGAAGGAAATAATGTGGGAAATATTTTCATATATTAGCGACCAACGTGAAGCAAAGCTGTTATTCTACCTCCTGATATCACGAAGGAAGTTTAATCATGTCGTGGTAAATGTACACCTTTCTGCGTGCCCATGAACTTGTGCACCTACAATGTACGATCATATTACACGTTCTTTGAAAATGTATTATCTAAAAAAGGGCAAAAGTGTATGGGTTGTTTGTGCTCAATGCGCATATCTCTTAAGCCCAATGGATGAATAATTTCCCCCACCCCACCTTTGTCATTTTATGCACATAAATTATAGCGGTACTAATGTATGCCCGTCAAAAAAAATTCCATATGTATGACTACACAGTTCTTTTTGATCAAATCGTTAGCTGACATAACTTCGCTTCAACTGCCATTCTGTAGGCTTCTCACATAATTTGCCCATTCACCTGATAGGCACACATATGTGCACGTTTGTTTTGATCGCTTCTTTCCTATGTTCGCACATGTTTATCACGTATAAAATAAGAGGTACATTAAACAGGGGGAGTCCCACCCTTTTGAACGCGCCGTTTGGAAGATAAAGGCGTCCTCCTTTTTTTTTTTTTTTAATCTTGGTTCTATTCACATGTTAGTAATTTTTCAACCAAACTCATTCGACTTAAAAACCCGCCGTCGCCAGCGCATAAGGGTCCCCCCAAATGATACAACATGTGAATGATCAAGCGGGTACATCCGATTTGACATTTCGCGAGGGAGTAATTTGTTTCTGTTGAAGCGACGCCAAATGCGCTAGGAGATTTACTGCCGTGGTGTGTTGTTGCTTGCTGGCGAGTGCTCTTAAAAAGATTACTAAATTATAATCGTTGTTAGCTTTACTGCTTAGCTGTTTTGCTATTTTTTTTTTTTTGTGCGCCCCCCCTTTAAGTCCATATTGTGATAATCGTCCATGCCTTGTGCGAAATTCTCCCTCCGCCCGTGCTTCTTACGGATGGAGGTGACCTTTCTTTTTCCCCTATATTTTTTTTCACTATTTACGGTGTTATTATCCATTACGCACCACATTGTTATGTTTTGTTGTTACCAGTTTGCCTGACTGGACAGGTAAAAATGTTTTTTTCTCACACACTTCTGTCCCGTATGAGCAGCATTTTTTCCACGGCATTGCTATGTGTATGTACTTGCCAACGCATGTGAAGAGGAGAACGCTGCATGGTGGATGGATGGACAGTTCTCACTTTCAGGATGCACAGACTGGTGTGTGACTACGACAAGATGGGAACACAATGAACTATTTGTGGATATCATTCGAATTGTTTTATTTAGCAAAAGATAAAAACTCGTTTTAACAGAGTTTTTTCCCTTTTCTTGTAATTTACAACAAACTTTGTCCACTCCTACGGCATATATTTTAGCAATTTTATTTAAAATTAAGCGCATCCACTGGCTACTACTCAGAATGATAATTTTGTATAAACATACATTACAGCAAATTAGGTCACAGTTATCATGACACAATTTTGTGAGTTTTTTTTTCTTCATATGATATGAGTTAAACCATGGATGTGTTTTTATATCCCTGAGGGAATACCTCTTCTGGTAATTTACATTTAGCATATTTCGAATTAAATTTTTTGCGCCTTCTGAAATATGCGGTTCGAAATAGAGTAGACCTTTTATAATTTCCTGGAACAGTACATTCAAATTGGTATGATTAAATGGCAGCTTGCGATTGAGTAATAAAAAAAGAATAACCCCTAGGGACCACACATCCGTTAATTCTCCATGATATTTATTGCCCAGTAATATTTCTGGAGAAGTATAAAATGGGGACCCACATGATGTTCTTAACAAATTATTTTTTTCATACACAGTGGACAGACCAAAATCGATTAACTTTATATTTTCGTCATCATCCAGTAAAATATTTTCTGGTTTCAAATCCCTGTGAACAACATTAAATTTGTGTAAATAATCTACTGCACTGATTAACTGGTAGAAGATTCTCCTTGCTGTGTCTTCATTTATTCTTCTCTTTTTTTTACAAACATATTCCAACAAATCTCCATTGGGCACATACTCTAATATCATATATATATTTTTTCCATCTTCATATGCTTCATATAATTTACATATGTGATTATGGTCCATCTGTTCATGTATTTTTATTTCCTTCATTATTTTTTCATAACTGATTAATCGTTGTAACCTTTTTTTGTTTAAGATTTTTATTGCCACTATTTCGTGTGTGTGTATGTGAATTCCTAGACACACTTTTCCGAACGTCCCCTTTCCGATTTGGTTTGTTATTATGTAATCTTTTGTAATCTCTTTGCTCTTTTTCACCTTCACTGTTATAATTTTGTACCTATGTGGGTGTTCCTTCCCCTCCCCCTCTTTTTTTTTCCGTTCTTTTTTCTCTGCGCTTAGGAGGTGGGGAGGCTCCTGCAAGGGCTGTTCCTCATCAGAATTATTTTCATTGGATAATTCCCCAGCGGAGTCCTCCTTACACTGGAAGCCTCTTCTTTCTCCTTCCTCTTCAAGCGACACTAATTTCTTCAGAGCCCCTTCTTGTAGCCACGTTCTTTTGAACAAAATAGTTCTTACTCTACATCTCTTTATGGTATTAGTGGGAGGACGTGTTTCCCTATTTGTGCTACCACCTTCTGCTGCCTCCTCGGTGCAGTTTTCCCCTACAATTTTCTTAGTAAACATATTTTCTGTGCCTGTTTTTGTTCCAGATTGGTGTTCCCCCCTCTTAAGTGTGCAACTTTTTACATTATTCAATTTTTCTTCAGATGACATTTGGCATTCTTCTTTCTTGGTTGCGCCCTTGCCGACTCTTCCATTTTGTTCTACATTTCGACATCCACCATATGTATCACCCGTTTGTGTTGTCCTGTTCTGGTCAGGTAATAATGTGCATTTTTTCTCCTTTCGAGTTTGGCATTTCCTATAGAATTCGTTTTTCCCTTTCATTTTTTCGTTACAGTGCAGGGTTAGAAGAACCCCCTTTGATGAATTTGCTTTCATTTTACTTTTTAAAATTGTGCAGGTTGTGGGCGAGATAACTCCCCTGGACGATTCCTGAAAATGTGTATCTCGCGGAGGGCCTTTCATGTGTTGTGTGGAAACCATCGCAGTTTTTCGCTCATTGAGATTGCCACTTTTTCTTTCCGCTTGAATTCCGCATTTATGCGTGGCGTGAATCGCACTTTTGTGTTCGGCCTTTTTGTGGTGGCCCCTTTTCATTGTTGCATTCTTTAACACATTGGACACGCCCCTACTGCAGCTCCTTTTTCCGAAGCTTGCTCGGGTGTCGACTCCCCGTGGATTTTCATTTACCTGATCCTTTTTTAGATTACCCATGGGATACACCTTACAGTTTTTCAATTTATTTATATGGATCTGTGTGGACACGGTTCTTTCTACCTTCTCCTTAGTCAAAATTTGAAGGGTGTTATTATGTACATGTCGATATTGTGGCTCGCTTATTTGTTTCTCATGTTTGACGTGAATTTTGTTTTCACTAACTTTGCAAATTAATGTGCGTGTATTTTTGCTATGTGATAAGATGCTCTTTTCATCTGCGGGCTCCTTCTTACGTGAGGAAGGTTTGTGTACCTGTTTATTCTTTCCTTTTACTTCGAGTAAATAATTTACATGTCTTTTTTGTGTATAATTATTGTGAGTGTTGTTTTGCTTGTCTATGTCCAGGGAGGTAATTGGAATGTTCTTTTTCTCTCCACTCGACATAGGTACCTTTGGATCACTATCGACATTGCTGGTCATATTTTTCAAATGCTCATTGGAGTGGTGACGCATACACATGAGTTGATCTTTTAGCGGGTCACCAAGTTCATATATGTAAATAAAAAAGGAACAATTTCATTTGCTTATAAAAGGAAGGAACAATGGCCTTTTTGGAGTTATAATATGAGAGGGGGGGATAAATAAAAAAAAGATTTGTTTGTAGAGAAGAACCCCAAATGAGTGTAATTATTATGAGTTGTATGCTTTGTGATGTACCGAAATGGAAACGTCCTTTTTTTTTTTTTTTTTTTTTTTATGTAACTTTTTTATACTTTCCCATTTTGCCATGTATGCTACCGGAATTTTTATTTTATTTCCGCAACCATTTTGTCCATTTGGGCACACACACGAATAGCTTCGCATGGGGCGTAATTTTTCTGCCACTTCAATTTTCAGAACATAAGGGGAGGTGCATAAAGGCTAAAAGAATTGGAATGGCGCATACAATTGGAAAGCTTTCAACCTTCTTTGGGGGGTGGGCATTCAAGAACGGAGCTTGCCCCCTTCCTGCCGAAATTGGAAAACCTCCATTTCTTATTACTGCGTGTGCACTGCCACGCTTTAAAATTGTGTTTGCCTTGATTTTCCCAATTTTTAATTTAAAAAAAAAAAAAAAACAGGAAAAGCGAAGAAAAGGGCAGACAAAAATGCAGCAAGGAGAGGGTGGGCACAGCAATTCGAACAAAGGGATGACTTATGAATGTGTCTCCCGAACGGAGGTGGCAACCAGGTGATAACGGACGCATTAGCAAGCTGCACGCGAGTGGATAAGAGTGGACAATTTGTGCACGCCCCCTCAAGATGGTACGCCTTTCGATGGTTTACTATAAAAAAAGACAGCCTCCCTGTAAGGGATGGCAAAACGTTTGTAAAGATTTCTTTCACACTTTTTTTTTATAACCCTATACTATAGCGCATTCCTTACTTACACGTTGTATATGTTTTAACAAATGGCATTGCTCCTATGGTAGGGCGGAACTAAAATATAAAAATTGCTTCCATTACTAAAATGGAGCACTTTGATTGTACAAATTTGTCATGTCCCCTTAACATTCGCAACCAAATTCATAACAAAAAAAAAAAAAAAAAAAAAAAACACCCATAATAAACGGTAGTTCAATTGTTATGAATGCGCAATACATTGCAATGAAATTAAAATTCAGCGTTTTTGCGATTTAAAAAGAGTGAACCGGCTTGCCCACTTTGGAGCAATGGAGCAGATAGCACAATTTGCTAAGATTGTCAGCGTGTGAAAAATACATCCACCAAATGTGAACTTACAGGCCATACGCAACATGTGGGGGATGGGCAGCCGCTTCCACAAGACATTTCGAGTACAAGGTTGCTAATATATAGGTACCTATATATATACTTATGGGTGACCCTCTTTGAAGATGTGGTTTTATGTGCTAAAAAGGGGGAAAAGGGCAAAACCATTTCGAATTAATTTTCTCGTAAATTTAGAAAAATTCCCAATGCCGTTTCTTAATCTACAAAACAGCATTCCAATTTGCGGTGAAAAAAAAAAAAAAAAATTTATCAACGAAATGCACCAAAAAAAAAGAAAAAGGCGAGGAGTATTGTCCGCCCACCATGACAGAGTCACGTATTGCAGCGCAGCATGTTTTGCCGCATTTTGGCTGCATCCTTGACCCACCATTTTTTTAAAACTGCCTTGTTTTTACGCCCTGATAATAACGTGTTGCCTACAATTTTGTCCCACTTCTCATATGATATATTTTAAAAGGCAGCCAAAAACGGTATCCCCCAAAAAAAAAAAAAAAAGTTAAAATAATATGAAAAGGCACAATACCCGCCTGTAATTCTTCTGCGAATTCTTTAAAGCGCATTTCAAATGCGAGTGAAGAGTACGCTATACATGCCAGTTGTTTTTGTAAATAACATCTTCCAGCCATGACATTTATTTGGGAGGAATAGGCATATAAAATATACCACCCTCCACCCCCACCCTTTGAGGATTGAAAGAACAATAGAGTAACGGCAAATTTGCCGCAATAAAAATAATCGCCACATAAGTAAAAAAAAAGGGGATTAAAAAGTACAAAAAAAAAAAAAAAGAAAAAGGATCAAATTAACGTCAGTGTTTTAACATATCGTGATGCTTCCAGCGTGACCATGCGAGGTGGAGGAGAAAAATAAGGGTGACGTAAAACAGCGCACAAAGTAGCAATTTATAGAAGACCCAAATTGGGCTGAGATTTGCAGCGTTGGTGTTGTGCGCAGAAGGGAATATAATTGGTTTTCCCGCGCCCACGGATACAGAACAATTCCCATTGGTAACCACCTGGCTGCAACAAAAGTGCGTTTAGGCATCACACGTGAGAAGCTCAAGATGGACAACACCTTGAGCACCACCGCGAACCGCGTCGTCTTGGTGGCGCTGAGGAATTCGCTAAACAGACACAACATAAACTTCGTAGACGATGAAAATACGTATAACACGGAAATATTAAAGAGTCACTTGAAAGATTTGAAACTACTGAAGGAAGACATAATAAGAAAAAGGAACCAATCCAAGCAGGCCATCCGAAACCACCTTGAATCCTTCTTTATCAGTGAAGGGGACAGGAGCTGCAATTTTGACGTCTTGTACGATAAGTGTTTGAATATCATTACGAGGTATTTGGTCGCATACAAAGAAATAAACGATATTTTGTTGGGACGAAAAGTGAGTGACGGCGATGAGGTGGGGAACCATGGAAGGGTTAACACATCGCCAGGGAAAAGAAGTAAAGGACGAAAAAGCAACGTGAAGAGTGAGGAGGAGCAAAACGGAGAGGACAAAGACAGCTTGTTGTACGATCTGATAAATAAAAAGTTGCTCATTTATAATAACAAATTTTTGTTTGACTATGATGACGATAGTGAGATATATACGTCGAGTGAGGAGGAAATCCTTATCGAGGGGAGACCCCTAAGGAAGAAAAAAAGAAGTGACAGGGTTTCGAAGAGCTCCAGCAGCGTGGACAACACGAATGAAACGGACTCTTTGGCAAGCGCCGAAATGAGGGACAGCCAGGAAGCAACCCGCATGTGGGCCAAAAGGGAAAAAAAAGACAAAGTCTTGAGAAAATGCGAAAAAAGAAGAATCAACTTACTTAACAGGTACCCCATGTATCTGAGGGACCTGATCAAAATTGTAAAGGTGGCCAAAAATAGGGAAAAAAAAAATTTGCAAATCAGTTTTTTAAGCAAGTATGGAGACGATGTAGATAGAAACAAAATGAACGCCCTCTTTAATAAGCTTTACCTGTGGAGGTGCTACATGAACAACAAAGGTTACATGGAGAAGAAGAGGAGACGCATGCTGTACAGAATTGTGAGACATAACATGTTGAAGCATTTTTACAAAAACCATGACATTTTTTTGGAAAAATTAGTTAAGAAGAAAAATGCTTATAACAATTTGAGCGTCGAAAATGTTAAGAAGTTATTTCTCTCACATGAATGTAGTGGGAATTCCTCATCAGGAAAGTTGAACAAAGAATGTAAAGTGTGCAAAGAAAAAATGAAGATGTTATTTTATGTAACCATTTATGAGAATTTGAATTATTTGTCCGTTCTGGACAACCCTAATGTGATGGCCTTCAAGGAGAGGCATCTTCTAACGCATCTTCTTATGAACAAAAGGGAGAAAAGAAAAACAGTCAATGTGAATTATGATATTTGTTTTCATGCAGATAAACACATTTACATTTTGTCGAAAAATGACATTTTTTGTGATGTGCTGCATGAGAATTATTTGAAGAACAGCTTTAACGATTTATTGCAGAGGATTAAGGATGGGAGTAAGGGGTACAATTTACTGTATGTCATTTTTAACAAATATAAGCATAAAAATTATTTAAATTTAAAAAAGATTAAAAAATATTTTGACGAACGTAATAGCAATACTTCAAGTCGGACGAGCAACATCAGTGCGAACAGTATGACTTACAAAGGGGACTGCCTTTCCCTGAGGGATTCTTTCTATGATATATTAAAAAGTAACATCATTAAGGATGAAAACAATTCGAGCATTTTTTTCGATAAGCTTTTTCACTCCTTCTATAATGTGCTGTACTCACGTACGTACAACGCGCCCAGTAGAGGCAATTTCCGGTCGTCCAGGAAAAAAGAGATAGAACTGCTCAACGTGGATGAACACAAATCAGACTCTGATGACTTCATGCTGATCGATTCGGCCAGCGGATTTGTTAAAGAGCCCACTTATAAAACAGGCACGAATTTCATGATGCAAGTTAAACACAAAAAAGTGCACAAAAGCTCCATCAAGGAGCTTCAGCAAAAGTACCTCAATGTAAAACAGATGAATGATATTGATGATCGCTATATAGAAGATGGCGCTTGGCAAAACAACACCCTACCCAGTTACCACTACATGGGGTGCGTCGGCAAGAAGGAGGGGTTTTGTCAAGACAAGTACTCACCAGAGGAAGACGAAGAGTGCAGTGGTTTGGGAGCATTCGAAAGGTACATAAACAAAATAAACGAAGAAGTGGCCATCGTCGTGAATAGCGATGACAGTGATGAAGATGTGCTGTGTTGCCACGGAAAGGAAAAACTGTTAATGAACTATTTGAAGGGGAAAACGCATAGAAACGGAAGTGAAATTGGAAACAGGAATGAAAATATAACACTGGAAAGGAGTAGAGTAGAGAATATAAGGAAGAACATAATTGTGCATCCTCTGATTAACTCCAAGTGTATAGGGTTTAAAATAAATGTTAACGACATTGCAAATAGGAATCTAGATGTATATTGCATTAACAATGAGGAGTATGTAAAGGCATACAAAAATACAATCAGTTATTTGAAGAACCAGATAACTCCAGAGATGAAGAAAAACTACACAGATTTTCAAAACCTTAAGAGTAAGATTAAGAAGAAAGAGATGAGGATACACGCTTTCAATGATATGTTAAGGAACAAAAGTTTGGGACAGAATCAAGCGTGCTACATAAATAGCGGTCAAACCGACAGCACTGGGGCGAAGAAGAACAACACGGTTACCGAATACATGGTTGTCATTGAAGAAAACGTACAGGAGGAGAAATACAAAATTGATATTTACAACTACGCAGAGTTAACTGCCTATATTGTAAACTCGAAGGAGGAGAAAAAGAGAGAATTCTATTGGAACTTCATCAGAAACGAAATATATTCCCACAAATGGATGAACAAATTGCAGTTCAAAATTCAAAACTATAGCAATATGTACGTTAATAGTTTTTTTAAAAAAAATCATCTGAAGTCAATCAAGGAGTACCTCTACGGACTAATAATAAATCTGTATTATCAGAATATCTATGATGTGTCTCTGAACATCCAGCTAAGTAAACACTATGGGCATTACGACCCAACCAAGGAGTATGTGTTGAAAAATATACACCAGAACTTGAATGAGCTGTACGAAAATGTGATGAAGTGTATCCAAAGCGATATTTTAAGTAGCACGTGTTTTATGGACACGAGCAGAATTACAGGGGAACAAATAAAATGCAGAATTAATGACTACTTGATGAATTATCGCTGGTTGGAATGCCAGCCGGATGACGAAGCGAAGGAATCGTTCCAAGGAGAAAGAAAAAAAAATATAGACGATATGATTTGCAAATATAGAACGGTGTTGCTATACTATTTGCTCTACATTTATCCAAAATTCTTATACATACTAAATATTATTCAAGTTAAGAATTTCAAGGAACAGATTAAAAGTACCTTGCCTGAGAAGGATGATCAACATGTTCAGGAGGCACAGAAAGATTTTACTTCCCAAAAGAAAATGCTGAAAAAGGCGAAGAATAACCATGTCGATGTGGTTAAGGAAGAAGGGAATGAAAATGTACTCGATTTTTATCTCCCTCCTTATGTGAAAAATGGAAAAAATATTCTAAGTTCATTTGATTTGTCAAATATTTTACTAGCCAGCTTTAACGACAATTTTGAAAGGACCCTCTTCCAGAATGTATTGAGCGGGGTGACCAAAATGGACAGCGTGAAAGATGAAATGCATCCTACTTGCTTAAAAACCATGGAGCATTTTATAAAAAATGAGTCCTACTCCATTAAAAAAAAATTAAGCAGTTCGCAGTTGGCTATGGTTTTTGCCGTCCTGAATGCCTACCTGTGTTTTGCCACAGCACACCATTCGCTCTTCTTCAATGCAAACAATTTGGGCAAATTTCTCCTTCACAAAAAAAGCAAATTAGAATTCGAACGATACACCAAGTTTACCGCCCAGGGGAAAAGCTATTTCCCCTCAGACTTTCGACACCGATTTTTGGAGACTTTCCTGCTAAAGAAGGACCAGAATTTTATCGTGTCGGACAAACTCAAGTGCAAGCTGATGATTTACATCCTGCTCATCCAGCTCTGTCTTATGGACAACTTCTTGCCCGTGCAGCTCACGCTCATTAATAGGAACACCGCCGCTCTGCTCACCCGGCTCAACTTCTCTATCGTCGATAAGTCGCTGGTGACGTTCAACTTGAACGCGTAGTGAATAGAAGCGAAGTGGAGGAGAACCAGGAGAGGCGAGACGGAACGGGGGGGTTCCCACTGGGAAGCCCAATCGGGTGCAAAATCCACCCATTGAGGAAATACCCACAGCGTAGCTGCACAGCTGTACTGTTCAGAGGGCTCTCCAGCAGAGCCTTCCACGCGTACCGCGTCCATATATACACACACATTTCGCACTTATTTGTTTCAGCCCATTTTTTTTTTTATTTGTGCACGAGCTTATATGCGGACAGTGCTGATCACGCAGCTCTCCATTTTCCGATAACAAAAACTGCTAATGTTTTACGTTTTTTTTTTTTTTTTTTTAAAAGGGTTTTGCATACTATGTGGTACGGTACGGTATGGAACAATACCAGACGGTACGAAATTATATAATAACAAAGTTTGATTCTTTCTTTTTTTTGAACCCCCATTTAATGAATCAAAAAAGGGGAGTGTCCTGTTCGGTTACTCTCCGGGGTGGGGCATAAAAAAAAGGTTACGTGGTTGACATGTGGTCCTGGCCAATGGGGGGAAGTGTACCTTACAAAGAGGTTATTTTTGTAGGCGGCTATCCCAAATGGAAGAATTATGACACCCCTGATCCCTTCCCTACCTCTGTGCTCTGGCTACATCAACTAGGGGATCCTTCTGTTTTTCTACAAATTTCCTCATACTTAATTTCTTTAGTATGTCCATTTACATATGCAATTATTCCCTGCGAAAAAGGCAGCAAAATGGGGATGTCATCAGAATGAAGCGGGACGATGGGCACCCTCGTCAGTACAACATGATGACCCGAACGGAGGGAGACAGCATAGGGTTCCCACCTCCTCTCGGCGTACAGTGCAGCTATATGTCATACCTTCTTTTTAACACTCTCGCATATCCTGCAAATCACCGTTTTGTCTTTATCAGTTAGGGGTACGTTTTCCTCCTTTATGAAAATGAGTGAGAATCCGTGTTCCGTGTGCATGTTCCCTGAATGGGCAATACGGGGGATAATTTGAAATGGTACAAAGAGAGCGGTCACCATGCGGGTGCGCTTCAGTTCTTCATCACGTCGCATCACTTCTCCTAAATTCTCTGCATCACTGCATAAATTCGCAGACGCGGAGACGTCTGTACCCATTAACACGCAAACCGGCTGGGCTACTAAAACCTACCCCTGTACACCACAAAATCGGCGCCATATTTAATCCCATCAGATGTAGTGAAGTTTTTACTTAGGTCAGCCAAAACAATGTTCCTCAAGGCATTTCTGCTCGTCATGGGGGAGGACAGGTGAACCGACAGGACATCTGCTCTGCTAACCACAGTCGTACTCTCTTTCTAATGAAAAAGAAAAACACCTTTGTTACTACAACATGTGATATACTTTGGGACGTACGTAGAAAATATGCCAATTTTTGTTGACCATTTTTCTGTGCGGCCAGGAATGCATAAATCGGGGAAGGAGCCGCTGTGGAAGGGGACTTTTTTCCCTGTGGAAAATTCAACCCGATGTGCATAAAGCTACAAATTGTTTGCGAATTATACAAAAATTCTTTGACACAAAAAATGGGGTGTTTTTTTTTAAGGGAATCGGAGCGATTAAAATGTAACCACTCGGGAAACAAAAGTTGTGTACAAATTTGGGAAGGGCAAAATATGCTTCGCCCAATTTGAAATGTGCATATTGGGGGGGGGCGGGGGAAATTCTCCCCACACAAATGACAATATGCTTGAGTATTACAAAAAAAAAAAAATAAAGTGCGCTCGTGGAAGAACCATCGATGGGGCCTATCTCCACTTTGCAGCAAAATGTGCACGCACGACAGGGTATGTGGCCATATTTTTTGTGTACAGATAAGCCAATTTAACGCAGTACATTATTTATTTTTTTTCTTCCTTGGGCATGCAACTACCCAGCTATCTCCTCTCTTTGTTTTGGCCGCTTAGGCGTCTTTCCCGTAGGAGTTGTATTCCTCCTGGGTGGCAAAGATGGCCTCGACTTTCCTGCCGGCGAAGGTTCTGCCCTTGAATGTGTTCAAAGCATTCTGCGCCTGATCATTCGATTCGTACTCACAGAATATTTTAACGGCATGTGCATCAGTTAAGTTTTTATCAATTGCAATATTTATGTTTAGGAGGTTTCCAAATTTCGAGGCTTCCTCTTCTATTTCTTCCTTCAGCGTGTCGTCGACTTCGTCTTTGGTGACGAGATTGGACAAGCGAATAATCCTAGACGTGTTATTATTTAGAGAATGATTAGAATGTTCCATGTTTGAATTCGATTTTGAAAAGGAATTGCCATGATCATTGTTGTCATCCTGACCATCACCGGATTTCTGTTTCTTTAAAATATCAGGTGCTTGCACAATTACACCACTTCTCTTGTCGACCTTCTGCAGAATTAGGGGTGCCGTAATACCTTGCTTGTCTTTTCCCAACCCTTCTCCCTTCTTCCATCCCATTTTTTCCATCATCCTTGTGGCAAAATCTTTTTTGACTGGAGCGGCTACCTCTTCACTTTTGTCATTTGCTACTTCTTTGTTTTTCTTCTTGTAATCATCATTACTTGGATCCGATAGTTTGGTCCAATTAGTATTTTCGTAAAACATCTCATTCGCTTTTTTATCTTTTCCATATTCTTTATCGTCATAAGAAGTTGTGTCCCTTTCGTTGCGCTCCCTGGGGTTGTACTCTCCTCTCGCATTGAAGTTCCTTCCGCTTACATCGTAGTGGTCATATAAGCCACCTCTGTTTCGTTCTGTCTCATCCTGTAATAGCGACATTCCACTATTTGTGTAACTCTTGTTGTTATGATCAGACTCGAATGGGAATTTACTTGCAGCCATGGCAGCATTTTGTTGGTCATACCCATAATAATTTTTGTTCCGATCATATTCTTTATGTGCATTTTTACTGTCCATTTTGTTTGTTTCTTCCAATTGTCGTTCCTCTTCTAGCTTTTTCTTCTGTGCAGCTAGCATGATTATTTTTTTCCTTTTTCTTTCTTTTATAATTTTGTTCAAATCGTTTGGTTTGTTCGGATCATAATCTTCATTCGCATTTGCGATGAAGTATTTTTCGTACAGCTCGGTTTGGAAATATTCAGTAGGAGGGTTTGTTGGTTCCCCTATACCTGTGTTGTTTCTGATACTGCCACTGCTGTGGTCTTGTAACTTTCCCTTTTTTATGTTCACTTCGATGTTTTTAATTTTTTCCACTTTTGCAGCAATTACCTGACCGCTCAGGTGATTTGTGGAAATATTTTGTTCAGGCCGATTATTACTGCGTTGAATTTTGTGTAGTCTATCACTGATTTTTTTTAAGTCATCCTGTACTAATTTGTTTATGTTAATTATGTTTTCAATGTGTGTATTGTCCTTCTCCCCTGTTTTCTCCCCACTGCTAGCATTTTTTTCCCCCTGTGAGGTGGCCCTCTCTTCAATATGTCCTACGTCACGATCGACGTAAATGTCACTGTCAATGCTATCTGCACGTGCGCTCATATGGTTATGCTTGTGATCTTTCGCGGCCTCATCTTTTCCGTTGTTTTGGTCATTATGCATTTCTTTATTCACGTTTTTTATGTTTGCAATTTTCTTTTGGATAATGGCTGGTGTGATGAGAAATTTATTTATTTCAATATAGTTGTTCTTATTTGCTGCATTGGAACTGTTTTTGTCATTGTTTTTCACAATATTGTTGCTGTTATTTGATACTGGGGGCGGTAAATCACCATATAGGCTATCCATTTTGTTGCCGTTGAAAAAAAAAAAAATAAATAGCATAAAAATGGGGGGAGAAGTTACAAAACGCCGGGCGAATTTCTGTCCCAGCCTATTGGAAGGCATCTGTTTTGGGGGGAAGAGAAGCAGGAAAATCACTCGAATGGTCATTCGCCCATGTACGAACGTAAAGGCGACATGGGAACAGACCCATGTTAAGGAATGAAAAGCTTTTGGAACGGAACATACATATCCACAAGCGTGCGCATAAGTGGGGTACGCGTAAATGGAAAAGTTGTACGTCCCCTGTGGATGGTCATGTCCTGTGCTTTTTTTTTTTTTTTTTTTTTTTCCCTCGGTGTCGAAGGGAACAATATTCCTTACGAGCTGCGCCAAGCGGGGTTACTCATTCGTATGCTCCGTTAAGAATAATACCCACATGTAAATAATTATGAATTCGTATGTGAATATATATATATGCTTTTTTCTTATCGCGATTATTTTTCATAGTCCTGGCACTACCAAGTGACACAACCCCAACGCAGTTAGAATCCTTCTCGCGAACATTTATTCGTGTGCACGAATTAAACAAGAGGACAAGGTCTATTGGCCAAGGCGGTGCAGCCATTGCATGGAGAATGGATCAGAGGAAAATCGCTCTTAAAATGTGTTCCACATGACAATGAGCACATATGTATATTTTTTTCAACTAGAAAAATGTTTCATACAATGAGTACATGTTTGTGAAAAAACAAAAAATAATAAAGCAAAGCAAAATGAAGCAGAATAACAACCTGTTATTGATGCTGGTACACAGCATGGAAATTTTGCTGTGGACGGGCCACACTACCCTTAACGCTTGAAAAGACATCTTAGGCGCTCTCCAAATATATATACCTATAGTGTACACGTGAGAAATATTTGCAGTTTGGAGCAAATTGTGCGAAAAATGGTTCGCTTTAAACAGAGGCGTGAGTGATGCGACATTATGTGTTTAACAAGAAAAAGCAAAGGAGGGGAAGTCATATACAGGCAGTAAGTAAACCATGCTGTGTTAAACCATATAACAGGAATAATACATCTGGAACGAAACGCGCGCTGTGCTTTTCCCCTAAGGTGCCACCTCCCATAACGCAGTCGTGAAAGGGCTCCACGAGTGCCGCTTTCTCCCTAAAGGGGACGGGAGGGGAACAAATGGGAGACGCCACCAAGTGGCGAAACGCAAAACATAAATAGGAAATAGAAAAACGAAAAAACAAAACAGCTATGTACATACAAATGTACCTTTTGGTGAATAACAAATGAGAACTTTAAAAAAAAAAAAAAAAGTTACAAAACAGTGACATGCAAAAATAAAGGATACAAACTAGGAGGGTTAATGCAGGTAGGGCCAGCCCACCATATAAGTTGACATAAATATAGTGCGTCAAATTAAGAAATCTCCAAATTGGGGGAACTGCTGCTGTTAATGGTGTTATGCGAATGGTTGTGTCTGTCCCATAGCATGGGTGTTGCACATTAGCTAGGGGTATATTGCTTATGTAACATTATAAGGCTGGTACGGGGAACATTATTTTTTTTCCGTTTGGAAGTGTCCCCAGTCATTGGAGTTCACAATCGTAATGTTACTGAACGGAGGGCCCCTTTTCATTTTGTTGTATAAATATCTATTCGTACGATTTATCGCGTTATTTGTCTTGTGCATACTGTAGAGTGACCCACGATGGATGTTATTTGTGGCTTCATTGGGGTAGGCACTTGTCCTTTCGTCAAATGGGCTTAACATGGTCGTTCTGGAGTAATCGTGCCTTGGAAATTGTTGGTTATATTGGGTGGGCAAAAACGGAGGGCGGTATGTCCGGTGAGGATACGCATTCTTCTCGCGAGTCGCGTTGTGGTGTGTGACGTAGCTACTTTGCACCTCCGATATGGGCACGTCAGGGGCAATTCCACTTCCGTAGTTCTGGGCGCCCCCATGGTTGTAGGAGCTGCCCATACCGCTAGCACCACGTGCGGAAGCATTTCCATTCATGATGGGCGTGCCAACGTAGGCACCATTTTCCCCGTCACGCGTACGCATACCAGACGAGGCATTATCATGCAGAGTGGCCATTTTGTTTGCTTGGACAGAATTTACGTAACTCAGGTTTTTAAACCTATAATTTGAAGGGCGGCGAGAGGATACATTGACATAGTTGCGCGCAGCTCTGCCCCTGGGGGGAGCGTGAGTTTTCATATACGCTTGATGGTTATAATTTGTATGAGGGTTATCGTGGGGGTTAACATTTTGGGAAGATATATTTCTGTGCCAAATTTTGTTTGCACATTTTCCTGCCTGTGTGCTGGTTGAGGATTCAATGTTACGAAGCCAATTGGAAATGGCATGCTCATTATGTTTTCCTGAGTTTGTTGCATTCTTATTAGTATCCGCCCCTTCCTGGTTCTGGTTGGTACTCTCGGCTAACTGCGCATCGGCTATGTTGTACAAATCTTTGTAGTTAATAAAAACGAAAGGTATGGCTGGGTTCCTAAATACTTTGAACAATTCCGAGCAGATGTTCACCCCGGCGTTCATGTACACTGCATGTTTTTGGTCGACATATATATCTACATTTGGTGTTAATTCGTTTTTCACATTTGGGAAGAGCACTTTGGCGTAGTAAAAAATCTCTGTCTCGTTCGAGCTGACATTAATGATGCACCCGATTATCTTTCGATTCTGAAGGCACAAAACAGACGCAACACTTAAGTAGAATTCACACTTAAATGCATGCACAGTCAATACATCATCTTGTAATTTTATTAATTTTCCTATTTTCTCTATTGGTATATCCTCTTTGACACTTTGGGGGGCCCCCATTAATCTTATTCTACTTTGCTTGCTGAATTGATTTTTTTCTTTCGGGAAAACACACTCTGCTGATTGGTCCATCATCGCATTTGCTGCTACATCTTCGCGATGGGTCTCTCCGCTAACCTCTGTGTTGGTCTCCCCATTCGTTGTTCTGTTCACCATTTCATCTTCCAAGTTGTCACTGATCATCTCGTGGACGGTTTCTTTCGTGATGTGCCCGCACCCCTGGGAGCCCTTTACCCCCTCAGCGTGCGCATCTTCGTTGTGCACCTCCTTCTTATCGCTTTCTCCAGGGTTATCGGGAAAACGCACAATTGGATCGCAACCAGGTTGTTCATCGTCATCCACACTACTGTCTTCATAAAAATGGTGAAATTGCTCGACAGGTTCATCCCTATCGAAGGCCTCATCCTCGGAACAGTCGACACTCGATTCGTTTTCTTCACTTTGATCTTCTTGTTGAAAATCCACAGAAGCGTTTTGTTTTATCAGCTCAGAGGTGCCATCCCTATTTTGGTTAGCCATGTCGAAATAAGCCATTCTGGTTGCGAGCAAGAGCTCGTCCACTTCGTTTTTCCCATCGATGATTATTTGTCCCTTATAGTGTTTATCTAAATATCTGGCAACAGGACCTTCTTCTCCTGCCTCTGTCGTTGCTTCGGCTACACATTCTCCCGCCACTAAGTCTTCTGTACTTTTCAAACCTCCCACATTGTCATTTTCATATAAATAAATTAGGTGATCTGGATCTACGTCCCTATATTTACCATAATTACTTTGTGCTGACGATGCAACGGACAAATTATCTTCATAGTCCTCCATTACTATGTTTTTTACCTCTTCGTTGCTCATTAACCGTTCATCCTCCTCGTCGTCCTCGCCATGCGGTCGATACTCCGTATTGTTCACGTAGGAACCCTCCTGGTATTTCCCCTGTATATGCTCCATATATTCCTTGTCTTTTATTCCTCTCCTCCGCTTTCCCAAACGGCCGCCGCCGTCACCAGTTGGAGGTATTTCACATCCTTCATTGGAGTTACTTCCGCCGTCTATGTTTGTCTCCATGGTGTGGACGTCTTGGCTGTTACTGCCTACCATTTGGAGGTTATTTCCTTCCTCGTGCCTTTGCAGAAGATTTTCCATTGGCCTTAACATTTTTCAAATTGGAAAAGGCACAACAGGGGTGAATAAAAGAGTATAACAAAACAAAAAAAAAGCATAAACGTTTATCTCATTGGTTATATTATCATGTAGGAAAGAATACCACCACCACTCCTGGTGTAGGCTGCTGAAACTTTGGTTGTGTTTTTTTTTTTTTTTTTTTTTTTGTTGTGACTCTACATAAACAGCGTGGATCTCCTTTGGGCGACTTCAATTTTGTTCGCACAGCGTAGCGACAATGTACGGGCGCTTCCTATACACGTCTTGAGCGCACAGGAGAAATTAAATAAGTTATAACATTTTGAGATGCGCCTTTCCCATTTTTCTTTTTCTTTTTCTTTTTCGCTCTTTTTTTTTTGGCAAACAAATGGAACAATTTCAATTTTTATAGGCCACAAAAATGTGAAGGCGTTCACAATGGAATGGAGAAAAAAGAATAAAAAAAACGAAATGGTATAGAAAAAAAAATATAAAGAAGGAAGAAGAAAAATCTGGCAAGGGAAACGACCCCCAAGGCAAAAGAAAAAAAAAATTTGCTTTATTCTCGGTTCATCTTAACGCATAATTTTAAATATACGTATTTTGAAATTAATTTGCTTTTTTTTTTTTTTTTTTCTCCAGGGCGAATTTGAACAGCCTTTTTTTTTCGAGGCCTACAATTTTATGCAGTTTCTCTCATGCGTGAAAAAAAAAAAAAAAAACAAAAAAACGCGTTCGTTTTTTCTCCCTTTCAAGTAATCATATATATCCAAAGAAAGGCCAGAAGGATATTTTAGCATTTTCCTTTTTTTTCCTTTTTTTTATATCATTTTTCTTTTTTCTTTTTCTGTTCCTTCCCGCCTACATGTGCTAGCATATGGCAGATTATTCCTTGCTATATCAATTGGTCCGCGCCTGTGCCCACTGATTCTATCTCGTGTCAATTCTACTATTGTACCTGCTGGCTATAAACCCCACATAAGGCCAAAGCTTCCAAAGGGTTAACTACTGAATTATTCTTGAATAAACTCTCAACTGGGAAGAGGTTATTTTAAGTACTATGTCGCCAAGGTGAACAGCACAGTGTACGAGTTCACGCGAGTTTAGGGGCAAGTGTAAGTAGTGAGGCACGTAGCGAAGTATTTTCCACCCCGTGGGCATAATAAGAGGTGCTATTGTATATTTTGTTTACTTCTGGAATACACAGGTGGATGCGCAAAGTCAGCGCACTTTGTCTCTCCACATTTTTCCTTTCGAGAGGGAAAATAAAATAGCAGCTCTTGGAGGCGTCCATTTCACTTCTTCCTCTAACCAAGTGAAAGCGCGTCTGTGGATTTATTTGAAGATTGCCACGCTGATAAATCGAACGTGCACAATTAAACACGTAAAGGGGTACACCTCCCATGTCATTTGAAAAAAAAAATGCTCCATAGAGCACAACTTTAGCACCAGCAACGGGAAATCAGCCTTATTATTGTTTTCTGAGACCCACCACACGGAAGAATAAGAATAAGACAAATAAAAATAGGAAGAATAAGAATAGGAAGAAGAAGACGCAAAGTACAGAGCCTACGTCAACGTGGTACGAACGTTACGAGATCGCACTGCACCTCGTCTATCCGCCTCTGCACCCCTCCCAAGATGGATTGCCAGGCCCTCGCGAAAAGCCTGGAGCATATGAACCACCTGAACAATGTGAAGTACCTGGAAGCACAGGACCTAACCGATTTTGACCAAAAAGGGGCATACTATATCTGCCAGCAGATTGCAGAAAAGCAACAGAGCAATGAAGGGGGGCATGTTGTGATAGGTCTCTCTGGGGGAAAAACTCCCATTGATGTGTATAAAAATATGGCCCTAGTTAAGGATATCAAAATAGACACCAGCAAATTGATATTCTTCATTATTGATGAAAGGTACAAAAGTTGCGATCACAAGTTTAGTAACTACAACAACATAAAATTCCTATTTGAAAGCTTAAATATAAATGAGAAGGAGCAGTTGTACATGCCAGATACTACAAAGAACATCGTGGACTGTGTAAGGGATTACAATGAAAAGATAAAAGACATGATGAAGAAGTATAGTAAAGTAGACATCGCTATATTAGGCATGGGGAGCGATTTTCACATAGCTAGTTTATTTCCAAATATATTTTTCAATATCTATATGAACAATTACCAGAACAGTTACATTTACAATGAATCTTCTATCAAACAGGCAAATAATAACGACAACAATGATAATGATAATTTGGAGCTACTAAAGGAATATGTGTACTTTACAACTACGAACAATTTCGACGTAAGGAAGAGGATTACCGTTTCCTTAGATTTACTAGGGAATGCATCCAGCAAAATATTTTTATTAAATTCTGCTGAAAAGTTGGATCTATGGAAAAATATGTTGCTAAAATCTTATGTAGATGTAAATTATTGTCTCTACCCCGCTGTGTACCTAATCGATAGAATGAACACCACGGTGGTGACTTGCGGATATAAAAACTACCCACAGATGTTAGAAGATATTTATGTTTCGCATAATTCTTTGTCGTTGCATTCGTCTAGCTTATATAAGAAGGAATTCCTGACTTTTATAATTTTTGGCTGCTCAGGAGATTTAGCGAAAAAGAAAATTTACCCTGCCATTTTTAAATTATTCTGTAATAAGAGGTTACCAAAGGATTTGTTAATTGTGGGATTTGCGAGAACAGTACAAAGTTTTGATTCTTTTTTTGATAAAATTGTTGGATATTTGAAGAGGTGCCTGCATAGTTATGAGGATTTGTCCCTTATCCAGAAGAAGGACTTGTTAAATTGCTTCAAAAATAAATGCAGGTACTACATCGGCGACTACTCCAGCTCGGAAAGCTTTGACAAGTTTAACAAGTACTTGACGCAGCTGGAGAGAGAGAATATAGTCTGCACCTCGACCACCATTTGGGGGGAGGCTGAGGGGAATGAATCCCCTGTGAACAATGCGGAGAGCATGGAATTCCACTCAGATGAGTCCATTCGCGCGAAAGGGACAGGCACCGCCACCAGCACCCCTGTGAAGGCTCAAGGAGGAGCAAATGGACTGAGCACACCCATGCAGGGCAAATCCGCAAACACGGATGGCACATTGAACGAAGTGCACTCCAGCACTAAGTACCCATTCGCCATAAACAGAATACTCTACCTGGCATTGCCCCCACACATATTCGTAAGTACCTTAAAAAATTACAAAAAGAATTGCCTCAACAGAAATGGTACGGACAAAATATTATTAGAAAAACCATTTGGAAAGGACTTGCAATCATTTAAAGTGTTGTCAAAGCAGATTCTGGAAAATTTTAGCGAAGAGCATATATACAGAATAGATCACTACTTGGGTAAGGACATGGTATCAGGATTACTGAAATTAAAATTTACCAACACATTTCTGCTATCTCTCATGAACAGGCATTTCATAAATTGTATAAAGATTACCCTGAAGGAAACAAAAGGAGTGTATGGTAGGGGACAGTACTTTGACCCCTATGGAATCATCCGAGACGTGATGCAAAATCATATGCTGCAGTTGTTAGCATTAATAACGATGGATGATCCAATCGACCTAAATGATGAATCTGTAAAAAATGAAAAAATAAAAATATTGAAATGTATTCCATCCATCAAATTGGATGAAACGATAATTGGACAGTACGTTAAATCCGAGCACTATCAAGAGGAGAAAAATTTATCCACCCCCCATTCTGATGATCACCCTATTGATGAGTCCAAGCGAAACCATAGCTACCATGACGATCCGCACATAGACCCCAACTCAATTACACCAACCTTTTGTACTTGCACTTTATACATCAACTCAATAAATTGGTATGGAGTTCCCATCATATTCAAAGCAGGAAAAGGACTAAATAAAGACGTTTGCGAAATACGAATACAATTTCATAACATCATGGGATCCTCCGATGAAAGTATGTACAATAACGAATTTGTGATTATCCTCCAGCCTGTGGAAGCTATATACTTAAAAATGATGATAAAAAAAACTGGCTGTGAAGAAATGGAAGAAGTTCAACTAAATTTAACTCTTAATCATAAAAATAAAAAAAATTACGTTCCAGAAGCTTATGAAACCTTATTGCTGGAATGTATTAAAGGGTTTAAGAAAAAATTTATTTCTGATGAAGAACTGTATGAATCGTGGAGAATTTTTACTCCTCTTCTGAATGAACTGCAAGAAAAGAAGGTGCAGCCTTTGAAATATCCCTTTGGCTCTTCGGGCCCCAAGGAGGTATACGATCTGGTCAAGAAGTATTACAACTATGGCAAGAACTACGCCAACACGCCTACCTTCGTCCGAAAGTCCTCCTTTTACGAAGACGACTTGTTGGACATAAATTGAATCTCTACGTGGCCGCGTTAACGCTGCATGGGGGGGAGGGATCGCTTTTCTACAGAGCTGCCGTTCCCGGTCTACCCCAAATGCGTTGACGCGGACGTTCATTTGTGTCGGCGTTTGCCCCTTGTGTATATGCTACTGCCCCCTTCAAGCAAAGCACCACCACGTACGCTCTCCTGCGCAGCAGAAGCAATGTGCCTCCCCACCTCCATTTTTCTTCCCCAAGGGGCTACATAATAAACCAACTTATTTGCTCTTACTTTTTACCCAACATAGTTAAAATTGTTTGCAACCCTCTTAATAGTACCTCTATTTTATGCCTCCATTCTGCGTCGCCATATGAATAATTGCAGTCGATGTAAGGCTCATAACATTGGCGACAATGTTTTCCTCATCTTTTAAACAAAGCGGTGAATTCCTTAAAAGGCCTCCTTGACCCATTTCAAAAATGTGGAATGGGGAACGTGTAAAAAGGAGGGGACAAACAGTGTGCCCAAAATATTGCGACTCGCTTGGGGCCACTTAAACCACGCTGGGACAACATTGTAGAGGAAAAAAGAATTTACATTTTCGAAATTCACGTTTTTACTGTGTTCCCCTTGGTGTCATTATACTGTGCAGTAATATTTTTCTAATGTGGGTGTACACCCTTTCTCGTGCTACATGCACACCTTGCCATACTCCGGCACGCCCCCTCAGCCTTTATCACTTCCATGTTCATCCTTGTACCCGCTAAGGTACAATTTTGTTTTTTTACTAAAAGACCTTTGGTTTCTTTTTTTTTAAATGGAAAAAAAAAAAGAGCAGTTCTCTTTTGGAAAATATTTTTTTAAGAATTGTGCATATAGATACGCGGCGCGTGTGCAAGCGCACAGGTACACGTGTTATATGCACACGATGTATAGTACATGACGCAAAATTCATAGCACTCTTATGTAGGTGGAAATATATGTCACTGCTTTGTTCATGCTTCTCCTTTCAGCTGCATGGTAAGACAGTGTGACATTCCGGTGGGGCATTCAACGGAGAATACCCACGGCATGTGCATATTTATAAGCATACGAACAAGCGAGTGCATGCAAAACGGCTGTTCCCCACGGGCATGTATGCCTACATAAACACAAGCAGAAGAACGTGAGCACATAATATTGGTCGTATATGTGCAACACGCAGATGTACACATTCTTACACGCAAGAAATGCACGAGCTTGAACGCATGTATATTCTTTTTCTTCCTTTTCTTGTTCCTTTTTTTTTTTTTTTTTTTTTTTGAACTATGCTACGGGTTCCTGCACCTCGACAATTGGGTCCTGAATTTTGACATCTTCATCATGTGCTCCATTTTTCTCCATTTTGCACTTGGCGTCCTTGCACTCGTGAATTTTATCTGCACCATTTTTGCTATCAACATCATCGTCGTCATCCTCATCATCATCATCGTCACTGCTGTCATCGCCATATGAACTGGAGTCTTCATCATTCATGCCATTCATATTAGGCATATTTTTAAACTGATCCATTCCTCCTAGTCCTGAAAAGTTGGGCATATCGTCACCCATATTTCCTAGTTTACTGAAATCCATATCGCCCATGCCTGGCATACCGCCCATTCCGGGCATACCTCCAAGACCTCCCATTCCTGCCATGTTTCCAAATTGACTCATATCTGGCATGCCTCCCATACCTCCAAAGCTATTCATTGCCATATCGTCATATTCTGTTGTTTTATTTTCTTCATCAGTATCAACCCAGGAATTCCAGTCACATTTCACCCAGTGCTTCTTTCCATCATTATTTATGGTCTTCCATCTTTCCTTTTCCTTCTTTATAATTTTAAACTTTATATTTCTCTTAGTACTGTACTTGGACTCTTCTACATTTATTGGTTTTAAAAAGTTTAGTGTAAATTCGTATTCATTTTTATCTTTTTTTCCGTAAAAATATAATTTGTCTTCTTTCAAGTCAATTTTAGTGTCCTCAGCATCCTGGAGCTCTATGGTCAAGTACAGGCATTCCTTTTTCTGGGCCCACAAAACGATTGGAAAGAGTCTACGAGGGGGGGAGAGGTAATGTTCATGTGTGCGCACATAAATATATTTACATGTATATGTTGCCACGCGCATTGCTGCTCGGGGAGAGACAAACACACAAAGCTCATCCGCGTATGCAACTCAAGGTTTTTTTTTTTTTTTTTCAAAATTTTCTAATTTTTGCAGGAAAACCGTGATGCAATGTGGACTTTTACTATATGCAGGTATGAATATCGCAGAGACCACACATAAAAAAAAAAAAAAAAGCAACAACGTAATTTGAACACACCATGTCCAGTCATGTTACGGGGGTGGTAACATAGTCTATGTTGTAACCCCATTTAGAAGTGTGCACATATACGTTTATATTACACGTGCACGAACAACATTTGTAAGTGTGCTGCACATATTATACACGTGTACAGCATGGGTAGCTTTTTGGCACAGGGTCTTGCCAAGCGGGGGCACGCAAAAAATACAATGTTTCCATTTTTTACAACCCCGGTGGTGACATACAAATAAAACAAAAAACAAAATTCAAACCGTGATGTAGCGTAGGCGACTATAGTATGTAGAAATGAAAGAATAGCACTATATGTACACATTGTGCAAGCCCAAATGTGGAGAATTAATAAATACAATTTTATGTCAATGAAAGAATGTCACGGATGAGAAATTCAAGCATGGGGCACATAATGATTCACTCTCTTCGCTGTAACAGAACGGTGCTTTGTTTTTCCCTTATGTTCATATTTCTCTTAAAACTTACGGCATGTTTGGAAAATGCTTGTTCAAAATAAGTAAAGTATGGGGGAGGGGTAAGAAACCTGGTGACAGTTCTTGTGGAGATGGAATATGTTATACAATATATGTGCTACGTTAAATGCTGGTGAATTTGCTACTTTTGCCTTAATTTTTAAGAGAACTTTATAAGCCTGTTTTGTTTATAAATATAATCCCTATTTGAGATATATAAATAAAATGACCTCAAAAAAAGGCGTTACGCAGGAAAAAAGTATTATTGTACTGTTTTTTTTTTATATACATGTACAGCACTGCTGTTTTATTTATGTATGCATAAATAAAAACATAAATTGTTTCCAAATGAACATATGCTTATTAAATTTAAAATTGTGCTTAAAGGGTGAACTTAATTTGCGTTTATAAAATGGGTTTAAATCGCGTTCTTCCACTAGTTAAAACTGTTCATATGTACCTTTTGGTTTCATTTGAAATATGTTTTTTTTTTTTTTCTTCACCGCAGGCCAAAAATTCAATATATTTTTATTTTCATAATAAAAAATAAAACAGGGGGTGGTTGTTTCGCAGTCATACATACATATACATGCTTGCGGACCTTATTTTATTTATATAATACAATGCGTGCATAGCGTAACTTGCATACTTGAAGTGCCGATGTTATTTACATACGCAACATATATATATATATATAACGCTGTTTGTCATGTTCGGCTTGCAGCTTATGTTACCCTTTACGGGGCATACCATGGTTCGTAGCATTTCGAATGAGGCGCCGCGAATATGTTCACGGCGTATGATACATTGTATATACTGAACATAAATGTACATATAAATTTGTTGGGCATGGCGAAAAAAAGCAGCGCAGTGTGTGCTTGGAGGCAGCAAGGGGGCATTTTTTTTTTTATACGTGCCTATATCCTTATACCTACAATGACTGCCCCGCCCATAATGTCCACTGCACGCATGAGAATCGCCCCAATACGTCAGATTTGTATGCAGCTTCTTAAGTATAATCTAATTTTTGCATACATTCCTACATTTTTACGCATAAGCTTATTGCGTTAAAATGTACATTTATATATAGAAGGCTAATGCTGCCTGTGCTGTATACGTATGCAGCACCCGGCGCATATCGCAAAATGTGGACTACCAGCAAAAAGTGCAACTTTCAAAAAAAAAAAAAAAAAATCACCGTTGCGACGATTACACATGGAACGAATGCTTAAGGCGGTATCTACATGACCAGATAGAGCAAAGAAAACATCACAAATCGTTTTTATTGTACGCATAACAAATAATGATAAATGGAAAAAAGTCTTGTTAGAAAAGTTCGTCCCAAGGGATTGAAAAAAACAAACGCCTATATTATGTTAAAATGCTCCATGGTTGAAATGGCGCATAACAAATAAAATTTTCTTGCAAACTGTGTGTTGGTGAAAAAAACGAGATTAGGGCCATAAAAGGGATGCATTAAATGTATGTGAAGCATATAAATGTTCGTGACACTTTGTAAAAACTGCTTTTTTTGTGTTTTTTTTCGTGAAAAATCTTCCCTTTTTCTGTCGTAATGGGTGGAAAACCCCTGATGGATATTCTAAAATACGTCACATTTTGGCTAAAACGAAAAACTGTGCATTGTACAAATGGTTTGTTATATATATTTGTGCCATTTTTTTAACGTGTTATGAATGATCCACCTTTGCACATGGTACAAGGCATGCCGCAACCGCATAATAATTAAGCAGTTTATGGGCACATCTCTGTTCGCGCGTTGCAAACTATTTTTATAAGTAGACAATTTTGAAGGTGTATCCTGTTTGAATGTTTTAAATATTCACATTTTTTATGTACCCCGTATAAGGCGGCATAATGGCGCTGACACTTTAAGACGTAAAGAAGGGGCATAATTCTAAGGGAAAATATTATTCACTCGAAATTATAAAAAAAGTCCTGCGACAAACTCTCCACATGTGGATTATACGAGGAGTATAATCTGCACGTTTTACACATAAAATGGAGGAAGAGGTTCGTACATTGGGTTTTCCCAAAGTGAATTCGAGATGTAGGGAAGAACATTGACAAAGTTTTGTCACATGCTTGTAACTTTTTTTTTTTTTTTTTTTTTTTTGGCTAGTCATTTCGTGGTTGGTAAAAGGTATCCCGCCAGTTCACTTTCCCATGGACGTAAAAATTTATATACACGCAAAAAGCTGTTCCTTACGTTATTTGCCATTCGATTTATGCAAGTTTTTTCCGCTAAAGGGGAGAAGAAAAGGGATGAAGTTTCTAAACATTTTGCGCATTTCGAATGGGAGGAACGTTTTCCCACCACCTTCACTTCCTTTATGTTTCTATGCCCCCAAAAGGGGAAGGGCCGTAAGAATAAGACGAACTGGCATTTTCAGTTCCCCCATCAACACATGATTCACATGTGAACATGTTCAGCAAATGCTGTTGCCAAAAAGGATTTGTTTAAAAAAAATAATCCTTCTGGTATAAATGTGTACTGTGTAAACCACTCATACAATTGTGAGCATCACTAATTTTTTTTTTTGTGAATAAGAACCAGGTGCGCTACTCCTTAAGGGCGCTAACTGAAGTGTACCAAAATTGAATGCTGTACGATAAGCATATAGGGCAAAACTAATCCCGCTTCTCATTTTTTTTTGTGCCACTCGTTTATAACCCGTTTTCACGCATTCTGCGTTTTTCGAAGCATTTTTCAGTGTGTCCCCATGTGCAGTGACGAGGTGTACTTTTTTGTGCTCCGCAAATGTCCGTCCAAGTGAAGTCTACAGGTATGCATGTAAAAGTTACAAAAAAGGTGAGCACATTGTACAACGGTTTTTTTTTTTTGTGTGTTCCTTTGGGGGTTAACTCATTTTGCTTCAAAATGGTAACTTCTTTCTCATCCATGTTACGTGCAGTACTTGGTGAAAAGCAAATGTGGTGCAAAATAAATTGATGTTTTTTTCTTTTTTTTTTCCCCCCAACGTGCATGTATACTTCCTTTTGTTATTTTCTTTAATTATTTATTTTTTTTCCTTCCTCCTTTGTACCACTTATTTCTAAAATTACAACGCACATGGCATCCTAGCTTCGAGTATGTCGAGACTACACAAAATGTGGATGCATAAGAGGCACCAAATTCACCCTCACGTATCTACTCATAGCAACATTTTTATACCCACTTGTGGGTGGGGGGTCCGAAGAGGTCTGCATCGAAAAAGGGAAACACAAGCGTGGCAAACATATAGGTTGCTGTAAGGGTGGCCAAAAATTCAGATAGATCGACACATTTGTGAATGCGCATAGCATACTTCTCATCAAGGGAGACATATTAATGTTGAGGGCCGGAGGTCTTACCAGCAAGGTGCTAATAATAGGAAAACGCTGGTTGGCTGACAAAGAAAGTGCTTTTTTTACCACAAAAGAAAAAAAAGGGACAAAAAATGCCTTATACAAATGCATCGCAATTAACAAGGCAATTTTGAAAAATGAACATATTCTCGAAATAGTAAAAATAATAAAGAAGAACGAAAAAAATGCCAATATAATTAATTATGTAACATTTGTTCACAGGTTAATGCAAATAATATGCAGTAGGAAGGATGACCCCACTTACTTAAAAGGTATAACATACATCCATGATGAAATAGAGGACAAAATTAACATCATTTTTCAATATTTTATTAAGCACAAGAAAAGTGTTAAGGTTAATAACTACAACAAAAGGCTCTTTTCTTCCTTCATATGGTCACTTAGTAAGTATGCCAGTTTGTACAAAGGTGGTGACACCCGGCACCTATTTGCGAGTACAGTGCCTCACAGTGATTTGGGGCATGCGTGTGAAGGTGAAGTGGAGTGGCTGAAAAGGGTTCTTGTCTTAAATGGGCAAGGGGAGCAGGCCAGTGGTGTGCACAGTGTGTACCTATCGAGCGGTGATGATGGCGACGGTATTGTCAGAAGTGTTCCTCTCCACACAACTACTCGCCAGGGGGGACAGAACCAACACGATGGAAAAAATCGTCCCCGCGAAGAAATCAGGGGAAACCCCACCCCGTGTAATAAGTTCAGCCTGTTATGTTATTATGCAGACGCGTATTTACCATCCTTAAATCCCTCTCGATATGTCCTTGTGCTTTGGTCATTAAGCAAGCTGAATAAACATTTCAAAGAATTACACGAGCGATATTACGAGAGGAGCGCGAGTCTCTTGCCTCTGCTAAAGAGTAAGGAACTGATAATGCTTCTATACAGCTACTCCTATGTAAATTATTCAAACCTACATTTTTACGTAAAAGTGAAAGATTTTATTATGAGCAGAAATATACATAAGCAAATAGTTCGTGAGAAGGAATACGAATCGGTGGTCAACATGCTTCTATCATTTTCGAGGCAAAATATATTTCCCCAAGATTTACACGAAAGCACAGTAGACCAGATTTTACACTCAAAGGATTTTTTAAAATCGATAAAAAGTAAAGATCTAATAACGCTCCTGTTTTGTTTATGCAAATGTCCGTTTTTATACACACCAGTGGAAAAACAATTTGTACAGCTAAAAAGAAGGGAGAAAAATATATGGGCAAGAAAAAATATATTTTTGTATGAATTGCTAAAAAAGGAAATTATGAATAAGTGCGCAAGAGTGGGGAACCCAAGTAGGGATACATTTCAGACGGAGGAAATAAATACACAGAAAGAGGAACCAGTCTACATGATAACCTACTCCCTAGAAAACTTGATTTTAATCATATGGTCGTTAAGCCTTAAGTATATATACTCAGCAAAATTGTTCCTTTGCTGCTTTACTAAGTTATCCGATTATTTGAAAAATGAGAACTACTTGAACAGTTCATATCCCATGTTCACGAACTTTTATTTATCCCTTTTGTCCTTCTTGCTAGAAGATGGTGCGATCATTAATTTGTATTTTAATAGAGCAGAATTAAATGCCCTGCGTGTTTTGCACAACAATGTCAGCACCTTTGAAAGGCATTTTGGCATATTCAAAAAGGCGATAAACATGAATGGAAGGAAAAATGACGTAGAGATTTCCGGCATGCATAAAGTTATATACAATTTGGTCTCCAACCTTTTTAAGGGATCAGAAAATGTAACTGTGTTGTTGGAACATAAAAACGTTGTCAACTTGTCTGTGGATATTTTGCTCCTTCAAAAGGGGAAAACTACAAGGCAGAAGAACGCACATCATGCGGTGGCTCCACGTGGTGGATTTTTATGTGAAGCGGTGTTAGCCTATGGCTGCAAGGGGAATGAACACGTTTATCACAGCAACAAGGAAGATGCGGTCAAATTTGTAGGGTGTGAAACGGGGAAGAGCAACACGGTTATTTGTTCCCCGTCCCCAATACCCCAAAAAAGGACATCACTAGGTGCGCATCAAAAGCGTGACTATCACAGCAGCACCGAAACTGATAACTTAAAAGGTGACACCTACATTGAAGACGTTCCCAACGTGAATGCACCGTTTGAGAAGGCAGATGTCCCCAGGGATGAGGTAAAAAGTAGTTTACTTAGCTTCATCGAAAGAATAAAAAATGCGAATGAAAAAATGGACTCCAAGGAATTGAAAAGGATATTCAAAGATGTGCTAGCTTTCTTTGGAAATCACTTTACCCATATTAACGAGAAGGACATGTTTAGTTTTTTTTATAAGTTTTCTGCCCTTTTTCCTCGACTGTGTGAGTTAAGGGATCGTGGCAAGATGGCCAATGGTGGTGGTGAAGACTTTTTAAGAATTTTTTCCCACTTCCATGAATACACCACTAATATGTTTTTTCAAAAGGTGAACACAAAAAAGGCGCATTATCTCCTTGACGTGTGCTGGGTCTATTTCCGATACATGAAATATTTTTGTACATTATTGAAAGAAGGAAATCCAGATGGGTTCAGAGACGGAGAAAGCATAACAGGAATGACAACTAAAAAAAGGCTATCCGGAGAAATAAAAAAAATTGTAAACATATTCGACCATGTTGTAATAGACAAAATGATAAGTGAACAAATGATAGCACAAATGTCGTCCAAAAATATGGCCCATCTTATTTCCATTTTCTTGCACATTAACAATTCCAATATGATAGAATATTTAAAAAAAAATAATTTTCATAATGTTCATTTTTCCGTGAAAGATATTCTGCTAATTTTGAGTGCTTTAGCCAAGTGCGATTTTGAATGGAAAATTGAAAGAAGCTATTTTTGCAACAAGTTTATTGAGCATATAGACACCTGTGGGGTACGGGACTTGGTGGAGTTTACCTATCTGTGCGCGGAGTTGAAATGCAGCAGTGAGCTTATTAGTACGCACATTAGAGATAAAGTTAACTCGTGTGGTACTTTCCAACAGTTTTCAAAGCAGACACATGTGGAGCGAAGAAGCGACTGCGATGGGGGGGTACCATATATTTCTTCTACCCAGCCTGGTCAGACAAAATTCATTGAGACCTTCGAACAGGATGAGCTAGCCCTTTTTGTGAGGAACTGCTACCGAATGCACTGCTTTGATCGACATTTTTTTGATACACTGTGTGACGCGGTGGTGAGGAAGCGCAACACGCTGAGTGAGAAAAGTCTGTGCATTGTGCTTCCTTGCTTCGCGCGCGTTTATTGTCTGTACGGGGTGAACGCACATTTCCCCAGTGGAAGGAGCGGGGGAAGGGAGCCTCTCACACGAAGTGACCACGCTGATCACGCTGTTCAATTGGCCCATACCAGTGACCATCTCGATACAGACATGTCCTTCTGCAGGTACGACGTTCCCGCGTCCCTAAAGAAGCTCGCGAAGTATGCAGAGAAGAAAATAATCTCTAATAGTAACCCTAATATGTTCAACCTGGCATATTTTATGGAGGCATTTACGCTGCTCAAAGTTGAAAACAAAAAGGGCTATGCTTTATGCGCGAAGGAGTTAGAAATGAAAGTAGGAATTAACATACGAATGGGTGCCACAAACGGAGGAGAGAAGAAAAGACAAAGTTGGGGAGATTCAGATAAGGAGGTAAAAATGCTGGGGAAAATTTTATGGTGCATGTCGTATTACCATAAAACGGAATTTACCTTGGCAGGGAACATTACCAACTTTTTACTAAGCAAAAGGATATACCAAAATGTAACCCCTGAAAATTTTATTTCCATTTTTTTGTACTACATAAAATCTAGGGTATACAACACAACGTTGTTCCATAAAATGGGCCAAGCTGTCACAATGAGCATAACTCTGCGCGATTATTTTATTCCCGAAGAGGGTAAACGGGTGGGACGCTTCAAGTTAAGCGTCATCACAGAACTATTTGGAACCATGGCATGGGCTTACGCATTTACGTATTGCTATGCACACCAGATGGAAGATAGTACCAATTGTAGGGAAAAAAAAGGGGGGGGAAATAAAAGACAAAAAAGTGAAATAAAAAATGATCAACTATTTTTAAAGAAAATATACAGCTTCTTACTAAACGAAATTAAAATTCTCCACAAATATAAAGGAGTTTCTTTTTTACTTTTAGCAAGATATTTATGGGGTGTTGCAATTGTAAATTTAATAGATGCAGATGTAGCACATTTTATTAACACTTACAATTGGAATGCTGTAAATGTAAGGGAACAAAATTATATGCACTTACACATGATTGTTACCTTTTGGTTAAGATTAAAATATTCCCATCATGGTTTTCACCTTTGTGAGGACTTCCTCACCTTGAAGGATCATATTATGAGCCTACTTGAGAAAAAGAAAAAAAAATTAAAAAATGGCCACCATACTGATAGTGACAACATATCAGACTTCCACCAGCAGGTGTGCCAAATATTAGACAAATTTGGAGTCAAATACGAAAATGAGTTCATGGCGCAGGAACTTTTGTCCATAGACTTGGCCATAAGGGATGACACAACGGGAGAAAAGATAGCCGTTGAGGTGGACGGCCCATCACACCATTTGGTACTTCTGGACGAGACCGCCACGAGGGCTAAGAAGTAAGGGCGCAAAATGATGCAATTCGTGGGACAGCCAACTGCTACAAGTGCATGAGCAATGTTCCAAAGTGATCAACACATCGCATTATTAGCTTCTCCTCTTCGCCAAGTGTGCTCCGTCCCCCCGCAATGGGATGCCCTATTATATGAGTCTACTAGCCTATACCCTGGCCCCGCATATCGCTACTATTTTTCTTTACACCTTTACTTCTCCCGCAGGATGTATGCCCCATGTGGAACAACCCATTTTAAAAACTGGCTGTTGAGAGAGATGGGATGGACGGTCATCAACATCGAAGTGCATGAGTGGAACAAACTCAGGAAAGAAGAGAAGGACGCCTATGTGGTGGGCAAACTGAGAAATTGTAGTGAGAGCCTCCGTAACCACTTTGCAAATTGGGCCTCACCGAAATGATTTGTGGGATCCCCCTTTGAGTATGCCAAAAGGGGGAAAAAAGTACAAATTTCATTTCCCTCCGTACGCGTACTTGCGTGGACACCCCAGTTGTGAGCCCTTTTAACTCCAATCTCATTTGCAACGATGCGTTGTTCTGCCAGGTAGCAGTCTTTATCTGCTTCATTTTAGACGAAAGGGAATCGTAATGATTTTGCTACATTGGGGAGTCGTTCCGCGAGGAGAAGCGCATGTATTCCTTTTTTTTTTTTTAAATCCATTTTGTGTGTTTATTTTAACCCGCCCTTAGTATGGCGGCACCGCGGGGGTGCAGCCTGTATGTACATTTAAACGGAGCACCAAATGTGGAAAAAAAAAAAAAAAAACGGGGAGCCAATTCCCGTTACACATCCGTGTAGGGGCATTTATACACATGTGTACGTTGTATATGTTAGGATGATGTCCATGCGGATGATCTAACTTATGCTAGGAACGCCCTTCCAGTGGATTTGTTTGCATCATACAGTTGGTGTTCTTTTCTCCTACATATTTATAAATATACACTACTGAATGGGCAACGTGTATTTCTTCTTAATGTTGTTTGCTTATTTTTCTTTAATTTTTTTTTTTTTTTGTTTTTTGTTTGTTATCCTTTCCGATTTTTCACTTTTGTAAAGTTTAAGCCAAGCTTTGGTGGAGTTGCGGAAATATCCATCAACAAATGTTTCCTACATGATATTTATTTGTTTTCTGTCCACAACATACGATTTAAAAATTTTGTTCATAACTCGTGATTGTTCCTTTTAGAAAAATTTTGTGACGTATGTCATTTTTTTTTTTTTTTTTTTGTCCAATTTTTCCTGCAATTGTGTGGGACAGGACCCGACTCGACTGTATGCTAGTTGTATGCAAAGGTGACCATATACGTGCAGACGCAGTGGAGAAGCGGTGCATTCACAGGGAAAGAGGAGTATAACAGGTGAAGCTGAGAAAGAGTATACTCACCAGCAATCGTACACCAACAGCGGAGCACTAAGAACGCCCTACTCGCAATACACCAGGGAAAACGAAACAATGAGCGCAACGTTGAAGACAATTATCATCCTGCTGGTCGCGCTGGCGACAAAGTATGTGATATGCAAATCGAGTCTAAGGAACCAACTGACGAGCCCACATGGACCGGCCGAAAACAGCAGTAGCTTTTTCCAAATAAAACTCCCCGAAATTAGTATGCCACCGATTTCCACTAACCTTGGAAATTATAAGGACTATGATGGAGGAAGAAATGGAGGTGGATGGGACAATGGCAAAGTGGAGTTGTCGTCCTATTCGTTCGTTCCGTCGTTATTAAATGCGGTTTATTTATTTTCTGCCCTATGTTTCATCCTCTGTTTGACTGGCTTGAATAACCACAAGACTTCCAAAAGGGGGAACATACTAGGGTTCATAGGAATAGTAGCAGCAATAGTGGTAACCTTTAGCCAAGTAGGATTTGGATTCAGATATGAATTGTTTTTCATCATAGTAATACCAGCCATAAGTATAGGATTATTTATTGCCCACCATGTGAGCATGGTTCAGATGCCCCAGTTGGTTGCACTGTTTCATAGCTTTGTCGGATTAGCTGCATTATTTGTTGGATTTTCTAAATACCATTCGGAATATTTTGAGAATTACGAAATGAGCACAATACATTTGGTTGAACTTTATTTAGGAACCTTTATCGGTGCAATAACATTTATCGGGTCGTTAGTAGCAGCGGGGAAATTAAGTGGTACTCTAGACAGTAAATCATTAAATTTGAAAATAAAAAAAGTCATAAATATGGTTTGTATTATAATTATCATCATTGTTGGATATTATTTTATTCAGGTTAAATCGATTTATTTGAAAACGTTTTGCCTTTATGTTTCTTTCCTGGTGGATTCATTTCTCGGGTTCCACTTAGTTGCATCTATCGGTGCTGCAGATATGCCTGTTGTCATTAGTGCATTAAATTCTTACTCTGGCTTCGCTACAGCCATCAGTGGATTTCTTCTTCATAACAATTTGTTAATTATATCAGGATCACTTATTGGTTCTTCAGGGGCCATTTTATCTTACATTATGTGCGTAGGAATGAACAGAGACATCTTCAATATTATCCTAGGTGGATGGGATGACTATGATGAGTTAGATGGAGGATCGGTGCAGCAGATTGAGGCAAATAAAAGGGTAAACACTACCACACACAAGTACGTTGCAGAAAATTTAATCAACGCAAGACATGTTGTTATCGTTCCAGGGTATGGCACAGCTGTTAGCAAATGTCAGAGAGAGCTAGCTGAAATTTGCATTATACTAAAGTCGAGAAATGTGCAGGTAAATTTTGCCATCCACCCTGTTGCAGGAAGAATGCCAGGACATTTAAACGTCCTTCTAGCTGAGGCAAATGTTCCATACAACATTGTGAAAGAAATGAATGAAATAAATTCAACTATCGACAAAGCTGACATCGTTTTGGTAGTGGGGGCTAACGACATTGTGAACCCCTCTTCCCTAGACCCCTCCAGTAAAATTTATGGAATGCCAGTCATCGAGGTATGGAAAAGCAAGCAAGTAATTATTTTAAAAAGGAGTTTGAACACAGGGTACTCGGCGATAGACAATCCGCTGTTCTATTTTGCTAACAGTTATATGCTTTTCGGTGATGCGAAACATTCGACCAATCAAATTTTAACCGTTTTGAGCGACTACACCAGTCATAAATATCCAGATGTATCCCTGTCAGATGCGCACCTTGATGATGAGAAGGATGAACTGCGCTCTTTGTGCTTCCTCTCGGAGGGTTCTTCCGCCGGCAGCAGAGACAATTTGGAGGCGCTCATGGAGCAGTACCCCAAAGCGCGGCGTGTTATCGGGCTGGTGATGGAGGATACAGTGGGGACACAAAAAAAAGAAGGAAAAAATGGAGAAGAAAAGGGGGGAAATACGAAGGAGGGAACAGAAGCTGAGTTACCCACCCACCGAAGCGCAGATATCAACCTGTCTATAGTACCCCTGACCCCTAAGTTTGTCCCTAAGCTAAAACAAATGGGCTTCCGAATATTAGTGGAGAAAGACATAGGAAAGAACATCATGATAGAAGACCAAGAATACGTTCATTACGGCGCTGAAATAGCATCGAAGGAGGATGTCCTGAGGCAGAGCAATATCATACTGAAGGTGGATCCACCAAGCGAGAAGTTCATAGTAGACATACCAAATAACACTGTCCTAATTAGTTACTTGTGGCCAAGCATCAACAAAGAGCTACTTGAAATGGCTGTGCAGAATAAGGGAAAAAATAACATCACCTATATGGCAATTGACGAAGTCCCTAGATCCACACGGGCTCAAAAAATAGACATCAGAAGTTCTATGAGTAACTTACAAGGATACAGAGCTGTTATAGAAGCCTTTTTCATGCTCCCAAAATTTAGTAAATCGTCTACCACAGCTGCAGGAAAAATTAACCCCGCTAAGGTTTTCGTCATAGGGGCAGGGGTAGCAGGGTTGCAAGCCATTATAACGGCGAAAAGTATGGGTTCTATTGTTTACTCACATGATTCGAGAGCGTCCACTGAGGAGGAAGTGAAGAGTTGTGGTGGAATATTCATAAAGATCCCATCAGCATCGTACGAAGAAAAGAACGAACTAGCGAAAGATGAAGAAAAAACGAGCGAAGATTTTTTTAATATACAAAGTAAAATTTTCAAAAGGGTTATCAGCAAGTGCGATATTTTAATCTGCTCTGCATCTGTGCCTGGACACTCGTCCCCCAAATTGGTGACCACAGAAATGATTAAACTAATGAAGAGGGGAAGTGTAGCCGTAGATTTGTCCACAGAATTTGGAGATAAACAAAGTGGCTGGGGAGGAAATATCGAGTGTTCACAATCAAATAAAAACCTCATCATCAATGGTGTTCATGTGTTAGGTAGAGATAAAATCGAAAGAAATATGCCACTGCAGGCATCTGATTTGTTCTCCATGAATATGATAAATCTGCTGGATGAAATGGGAGGAGGATTACAATTTACAGTTGATACTAATAATGACATTGTGAAAGCTCTCGTGGTGGTCAAGGATGGAAAAATTTTGTACTCACCTGACAGATCAGTGGAAAAATTGGTTAAAAGCGAAAGTGTGTTCTTGACTGACCAAAGAGAAGACAACCAACTTGTTTCAAAAAAAACGATAAAATATCCAACGGGGACACGCATAACTGAAAATTTTATCGAGTCAGATATGCTCTTTTACATTTCCCTAATTTTCGCACTTATGGTTACCCTACTGACTGGTACCATTTTTTCACAGTCTGATTTACACCATTTGTTTTTATTTACTTTGTCTATCATCGTTGGCTACTTCTGCGTGTGGTCTGTCACGCCCTCCCTGCACACCCCACTGATGTCCGTCACGAACGCGGTAAGGGGATGGCCCATTCATTTCATGCTGACACCATTTTAGCATGTTACTTTACAGATGCATGAATGTACGTGCGTGTGCTTGTCCATACCTATTTATGTGCAGATCCACGGACATACTCACGCATGCACATCGTTACTACTTCACCCCCTGTTGTGCAGCTCTCCGGAGTTATAATAATCGGAAGTATGATTGAGTACGGCAGTGGATTCAAAAGTCTGAGTTCTGTTCTGTCGATGATAGCCACCTTCTTGTCCGCTGTGAATCTTTCAGGTATGGTTCACAAGCGTACGATATATGATGCCCGCGTGATGCAAAAAAAAAAAGGCATTCTTCCCCTGAGAGCTGGCACATCTATGCGCGCACAAGAAGAATGCCCATATAAACGTGTCCTCTTCCTTTTTTTTTTTTTTTTTTTTTTCCAAACTTTTAGGCGGATTCTACGTCACCAAGAGGATGCTGGATATGTTTATCAAATAAGAAAATAAAGTCATTTGCCCTTTTGTGAAGCCCTAAATTGGGCTACAGGAAATGTTTGCGCAGGTGTTACAGCTGCGGCTCTTTAACTATGTTGCATTTTTTTTGGAGCGTCCGTTGAATTTTTTGTTTTTGTCGCACTTTAGCAGCTCTAGTGCTTCTAGCCATGACAACAGTTGCTGCTCTGTGCCCACCCTGCTTTGTTCCGTTACCCCATTTTATTTACTCATATGCTTATTTTTTTAGCTCTCTCCTTTTTGGCGCCTCAGCTGAAATATAAAAATATTTACCCAATTAGGGGTGTCTCTCCTCCTTTTAGGAGATACACCCCGGCATCCGCCTCTCCCCACAGTTCGCTTAAAAGGAAATTTACATTAATATGTGCGTCGTGAGAACACGCATGAAAAATGGGTTCATCATGCGACTGTTTTTGTTAAACGTAAAAAAATGTTTGGTGACACCTTGGAAGGTTCATTACACGTGGGCGGGAACCCTCAAACGTGTTCAACCGAAATACAAAAAAAAAAAAAAATGTTGCAAAGAGGGGGGAATAAAAGGGTGACAATATGCCCAGCACATGGCTTCCAAATGGAAATTAACGTGGAGGCAACGCCGTCGCAACACCCGCAATGGCCGTCTCTCTCGCACGAGCTAGCGTAGCTAACTATAAGAGGCATCCATGGGGCCGTCAACGCCAAACGAGTGGAAAGACAACATACACTGTAAAATGGTTACTTTTTTCAGGATACTTTTGTCTAACCTCAAAATGTGGTTAAACAGTCTGGAATCCCTATTAGGGCCAAAGAAGCTATTTTGGTCTACATTCAAAGAAATGATATTTAATTTCATTACAAATTCCAAGTAGTGAATATCGAAAATGTTTACAAGTGATTTTATGTAACTGTTTATGGACAATAAAATGTGTCCTCTGTCTGCGGAGTCCTTCCAATCACTTTTTGCATGTCCGTTTTTAGAATACGTCCTCTTACCCCCTTCTGCTACTGTAATATTGTCCCTGTTTAAGATTTCATTTTTTACGTTCATTATTTCTTCTTCGTCGTCCTCTTCATCCTGTTCCTCATCCTCCATCTCCTGCTCGCTTTGAAAAGTCATGTCGTATGAGTTGTCAAAATTTAGATCAAATCTGATATTGAACAGTTTGCTCAGCTTTAGAAGAATATCGTAAATTTGGGAAGGAATGGATAACAGGTTAAGAAGGTTATTGGAAAATAATTCATTCAACAAGAACTCCTTATTGAGGGAGCCCTGAAGGAGGGAACTGGCGGTGGTGTTTTCCCAAGCTTTATTATTATCTACCCCATCGCTTCGTTTCCTTTCACGTCTGTACTTGTCCGCGTCATGGGCCATTTGACTTAAGCGTCCTGGAGAATCGCAATGGTTTGTATGTTCCAAAGCAACAGTGGAGCTACCCCACAGATTATACGAATCAGTTTGCATCTCCCCCTGGCCATTATTATTCATGGGAGGATTAAAAACAACCTTTTTTCTTTCATATTCCTGAAGCAGGACATTTTTCCTGTGTTCATCATTTATGTAAAAATTGTGCAGCTCGTCATGTCTCGTGCGTATCGGTACTAACATTGTTTCGATTAGAAAAGTTAAGTACAGCTGGTGACTATGTTTTATCTGATACAATGATTTTGATTTTAACAAAGTGGAAATGAACTGATTCCACGAAAAACTCAAAATCCACTGGTAGTAGGTATACAAGGTGTTCAGGAAGAAGAATATTTTATATTTTAAAATACACAAAGAAATGATAATTGCCTCCACGCATTCATACTGTTCTGATTTCTTTGTCCTCAGGTACTTATAAAATATGTGCACTAAATTTAGTACATGTAAAGATTTTTTTATTTCAAGAAAGTAGGAAAATATCGTTGAATATTTCTCCAAACATTTCGAATCAAATAAAAAATTTACAAAACATGACCCACTTCCCCTTGTCTCTATTAGCAAATTCCTGTAACTTATAACACGCATGTTGTTGTTATACATTTTGTTTTCCCTTAGGGTAAAGTAGAATCTCTTCAAGATGCTCGTTATAATTTCTTCCTTGTAAAAGTTTTTTGTCAATTGTTGACAAATGGAGGATTCCTTTCTCTGGTGTGCTTCGTCGTCCTGTACATTCCTTTGTGCTTTTCCAGTGGTGTTGCTCTGCGCTGTTCCGTTTTTTGCAGATTGGGCTGATGTTTTTATCATTGGGGGAGGTTCCCCTGGATGGGTGTAATTCCAGGGGTATGGCGCAATGTTACTGGGGACATCTCTATGCTCAGCGTTAATCTCGACTTGGCGTTTTTCCTCATCAGTGTGCACTTCACCGTTGGGTCTGTGCACATGATCTGGCTCTGCATCCGCGCAGTCATCTCCTTCGCTCGTTTCGCACATTTTTGCTCTTTTCTCTTCCTTATAGTGGGAATTCTTCTGCATCAGTATATTCATATGGAGCAACACAAACCGCTTATGCAAAAAGGACGCACAGGAATTGGATCCGTCCAGGTTAGGCGTAGGCCTATTCACATTGTGCACAACGCATTGCCTAAACGTGGTATTCATATTTCTCTCGTCGATAAGAGGAATGGATACCTCCTTAAAAATGAACTCAAAAAAGGCAGAAATAAAATCAGCTATTTCGAGGAATACTAAACTGCGCAAACAGCAGAAATACTCTAAGAGGTAGGAATACTTCATTAGGCTATCTAAAAAAATGCGATTGCTTTGAAGGAAGAGGTGAAAGAATTCTTCCTGAAGAAACTTTTTAATGTACAAATCGTATGACACATTTAGTGCCAAAATAGTTTTGTTAAAGTAAGGCAGGACGTTTTCCTCATTTGGCGGTTTCATCAAAATGGTCGAGATACAGTCTAGGAATATGTTCTGGACGCGTTTCAAATTCTCGATATTGTAGTAGTAGTTGAGGGTGTTTTTGTGCAATCGTTTTGGGCGATAAGGAGATGGCGCGATGGCGTAACACGGGTCCTCATGCTCATCATCCATATCATCACTGTACTCGTCAGTAGGGCCTACATCACCGAGGCCAGCCTCATAATCCACACGCGCCAGACGCTTCAACCGACGGGACTCCTCACCCCCCTTCAAATAATAATCGACGTAGTCTACCTCCTTCTCATGACTAATTTTCATATACAAACGAATGTTATTTCCGAGGCTTATTAGGAAAAAAACAAAGGAGTTAAAAAACTCTGGGCACATGACAAATTCGCTCTGCTTCTTTATAAACAGCATATGATTAGCAAATGGCCCTTCATGCCCCCTATCCTGCGAGTACACAAAAAATTCATTAAAGCTATCGTCAATTTTTCCCTTCTTAATCCAACTGCTTATATGTTTCGAGTAGTATACATTCAGCCCATTTAGAAGGAAGCGGAAAATCTTTTCGAGCGACTTGTTTTTTACAACTTGGCAATTCCTCCAGTACAGTACTGTCATGTCATAGCAGATGCAGAACTTTTTGGCGTTGTCATATAGGGCATTAAAATGGGTATAATCATTTACACCGATGTTATAAAGTAAGTAGGACAATATAATGTCGACATAGTCGTAGAGATTATTCCATACGTAGAGGTACTTACTCATTATAACCTGCAGGTGGATAAGGCTGAGCGATCTGAAGTTGGCAATTTTTTGCTCATCTAGTAGTCTCTTTGCATTTTCCCACCTGTTTTTACGTAGGTAGAAGGAAGCATTTGCTTTCCTTTGCTCACATGTGTGGGGCTCCTCGAACGGCGTTATCACCTCACGAGAGTGTACCTTACCGTGTGGCTGCCTTCCCCTTTTGCGACGCTTCCAATTCACAAAATGATCGACACGTAGGTAATCCATTATGTGTATTCGGTCCATCCTATTTAGGACGTCCAAAATTTGTTGGTCCCTAAGGGGCACAATGTTGTACTGCTTCATGACCAGAAGGATGTGATAGTTGTACAAAATTTCTACCACGCAAATCCATTCGGAATAAAGACATTTTAGGGAGTCTATAAAGCACTCGAGGAAATTTCCCGGGTAGTACATGTTGATTCTGTTGCCCAGATTGTTGCTCCCTCTGCCTTTGCTTCCAGTCAAATTCATCTGTTCGAAGAGAATAGACAAATTATTCTTCCCGTCATCATGACTTAGGTGTTCTCTTATATATATGATGTGGTTGAAAATGTCCCTTAAATTGTATGGCAAGAAAAAAAAAATATATCGAAATTGTTCCACCAAAAAAAAAAAAATATTCAGGTAAAATAATTTTATACTAACTTTTTTTATTTTCTTCACATAATTTTTAAATGTCTTTCTTCTTAAGTTGTACTGTTTGACATTCATCATTTGACTGATGACTGCTCTGTATTTCGTTACGCCTCCATGTAGGACACTTCCCTCTCCTTTTTCACGCCTTTCTATTTTTATGTAAAATAAAAAATCCTCTTTTATTTTATTCTTGTCCATTACGTGGTTAAATAAAAAATCGGAAAAGTTCGTAAAAAAGTCTTCCTTAAATTTTATGGGGCAATTTAGGGACAACATCATCAAAATTTCTTTTATGATAAATATTTCGCTTACGTAAAATGTGCCTTTCCTTTTATTATTCCTTCCTTTGGTGGCTGTTGCAGCATTTATAATATTGCCCTTATCGGCAAGGACAATGTTGCAACCATGTTGTGGACCATCCGTTTGTGCGGGTTCCTCCTCATTCGATCTGTGCGCATAACGGGAAGAATCCTTCCACTGTGTGGAAATGTACCCGGATGCATTATCATCCAGTGTGTTTTCACCTGGGTGACATGTCCTACTGGTTATTTCTCCAGGTGTCTCTTCTTTCCCATCCTGTCTCACATCACTGGCGAACACGTTGTGCAGATTGTAAATTTCAGTCTCGTATATAATGCTCGCATCGTTCTCTTCACTCTCATGATATTCCTCATAGAAAAGGTTTATGTTATTAAAAAAGTATTGTTCTCTTGGTCTGCGTGGGCGGGATGGATCTTTGGTTTTGTTTTGCCTCATTCTTAGACTGGCAAGTATGTCTTCATCGGATGCTGTGCTAGAGCTACGCGTGCTAATCCGGCGACGTGAGTCATTTCTGCCGCCTCTAGTACCTACATTAGCACTATGTACATGTTCGTCCACATTATCGTACGACAACATATTTTCAAGACAATCGACAGATTGGTTACTCTGGAAGGAACTCCTTGCATCGTGTCTCCATTGATCCCCCACATCTTCATAATGAGGATATTCATAAACACATTGTGATATTTTTTTGACGACATTTTCATATGTTAAATCATTCTTGTTTTTCATATAGCTGTCTACATATTGGGTGTACTGCATTTCGTGAAAGTTGTTGCGATTTGGTTTTGCGCCATTGTGGCCGTTTGGTTGATTCTGATAATTAGCTAGCTGATTGTATATATCGCTTGGATGGCCATACTGTAGGGACTCATCTTTTTCAATGTCGCCAATATGTATGTCCTCCTCTTCTCCAGAGAGGGATGATAATCTTGTAATATCATTGTCTGTGCTGTATAGCTCTTTAAGATATTTGTTCTCCTCTTGAATGTTAAAGGTGTGTATATCATAGAGAGCATTTTGCTCATTTATGTTTAAAGGGGGGGCCACTTCTTCTTCATGTTCTTCTTTCTTTTGAAAATACTTAACATATAGATGGTCAATGTGTTGTGTGTTCTCACTTGTTTTGCTTTCTCCAATCAGAAATAATAATTTTAAAATGACGAACTTCAATTCGTATCTGTCTTTTTTATCATATATATAAAAATTGTCATTTAGGAAAATCTCGCACAAATGTTTGAATATTTTTTTCCTCTTATATTCAGCATTAATTGTTAGTTCGTTTATGTACTCATTCACATCATCTATGATTTCGTTGTCGCTAACATCTTGGAAGGGGTACAGCGCAATTTCATTTAACGATTTGTTTATCAAATTTGTTAGAACCTTTTCATTGGAATATTTTTCAAACTTGCTGAATAGGCAACTTAGATAGTCCTTCTGCTTCTTCCTAATTTCCGTTATATAGGCAGATGACATATTTTACGCGGAAGGGGCAAGGAATGCTTTGGGGTATCTCAATGGCTGCACTTTTTAGTTTAGGGTTCACACTGGGTGACTCCCTATGGGTATATTTCAGAACAAGTGCACCGCTGCGATTCTTCGCAGGAGTAGGTTTGCAGGTTGGGAACAGAGGACAAACTGTTAATACAAAAAAAAAAACGGACACCTTTTTCTTAGTAACTGTTCCGATGGGTTAGGAGGAGGGATCATATCCACAAGGAATATTCACCGAGGGGGTACTGCAGTTTGGTTCTCCGCAAAACGGCACAAACACGCACACAGAGTAGGCACAGTTTAGGGACACGCGCATGGACATACGCGTTGGGACGTATACACGTGGATTCCCATTTACATAGAGGGAGGGGTTTCACATGTGGAAATGGTGGGGGGTGCAATTCGGGTGATGTAACTGTTTAAGGGACATTCTCTACACGTACGCATAATTTACACATAAAGTAGGAACTGCGTGGAAATATAAACAAGGGAGGCAGAGGACGCAGACTCCAAACAAACGCTGCCACTGTGCACACATATATAAATGTGGACGTCCGCGGCGAACTTATCCAAATAAAATTTCAATGATAATACATAACAAATTGAGGAAGATCAACGGGATTTTAAAATATATTCTTATCGTGTAGAATAACAACTTAATGTTATCAACAATGTCATTGCTGTTCAAACTTATGTCGATTTTTTTATATTTTTTTAGCTTCTTTTCATTTATAATTAAAACGCTATTGATCAGCAAGACCACGCTTTCGAACAGCAAGAAGAAATACATACTCATTTTTAATACGCGGAAAAAAAGGCAAAGGTGGGGGAATTGCTGGGGGAGTAATTCATTTGCGGCTGGCTTATTTTGCTATTACGCTGCTATTGTACTGCTATTATTTTTTATTGTTTTTTTTATTTTGTTTTCTTCTATTTCTCTTCACAAACTACTTACGCATGGCTAACTGCTTCCCAGTTTTGTTTCTCCAACAGGAAGTGGGAAGGGGCATGAACACTTGGTTTTTTGTTTGTTTGTTTTTTTTTTAAAACGCAAGTGTCATTTGTTGGGAACGTGCATATAGGTATCTTAATTATGGTAAATAAAATATCGCCTTAAAAAACGCACAACGAATACACCATCTGACTTAAGGTGTATGTGTGAACATGGAGAAGAATTTACAGTGACAAGATAAGTATGACATAATGTTAATGCAAAATGACAAAAAAAAAAAATATTGCCGCCATGGAGAGTAGCCCAGTCGCATAACACACTTGAGCACTACATATGTATGCAAAATATTTGGGGGCGTTGGGAAGCCGCTGGCAGATTGCAACGAGTAACCAGTTGATGAAAGTAAAGGCCTGTTTTTTTTTATTTTGAAAATAAACCTCGCGGGAAAAATGGAGCATACCAAAAAAAAGGTAAAAAGAGAGTAAGCTGCCGTAAAATGTGCAGACTCGCAAATTTGAACAATGTTTGTAAAGGGAAGCCATGGAAAACGACCCAAAAAAGGTACTGCATTTATATATGCTCTCCCAACGGGGAAAACACAGACGCGCGATCGCCATAACTGCAGTGCTGTATGCAGAGGGTTCAACAGAACATAAGTGCCAGGGAGACCAATTTTAACCCATTCCCCATCCGCACAAAAAAAAAAAAAAAAAAAAGAAAAGAAATAATACTCACTTCATCACACAATATTTAACCTGTCGCGATTTTAAGTCGTCCAAATTGTAGCGGTTTGCGAACTTGTGGTCTGCTGCTTTCTCGCCTGCACCTCTTTCTTGCGCTCCCCGTTCTTTTTGTTTTTTCTCGAAAAACTCCTCAATTATGTTCCGCTCATGTTCTGTCATATCTGCACTGTACTCCACATCCTTATTGATTTTATTCTTCGCTATTTTGGCCACCTTTATCATGTCATTCTGGGAGCAGGTAGATGTGTCGTAAGTGTACTGAAAAGACACCACGTTCTTTTTAATCGTGTTCTTCATTATAAGCCTGGCGTCTTCATGACTTATATAGTTAGTGTAAACTTTGATCTTGTCTATTGACGTGCATATAGAAATGATGGTATTTAAGAAATTGAAAATTCCTTTTTTGTTACTGAAGGAGTTGTGTTGCATAGATAGGATACTCAGGTAGCTGTTTTTCTTCAGTTGCTTCATATTTCGGTTGACATTCAGCAGGAAGGCGTTTCCCAGGTTGCAGTTGTCCAGACTGACGGAGGGGGGGGATAGAGATGCGGGGTAGAGCAAAAATAGGTACATAAAGTGGATCCACTGAGCGCGGACACATGTAAAGCATGCAAACATAGACATATGAAAAAATAATCTCTACTACATCATACACTGATATGCCCTCCCCTCTCGCATTACTTTATAATCTTGCACTTGGTATTGTTCAAGAGGTAAACAAAAAATTCACATACGGAGGGGTGCGTCCCGATGTTCAGACCACTAAGGTTTATTTTGCTGAAAAGGAAAGGGAATGAGCCGTTGGTGTTGATGCCTCTACAGTGGCAAGTGGGGGAGGGTGCCCCGAGCAGCGCTTTGCCTCCACTTTTCGTTAATGCAAAGCATTTGCACAGTTCTTCCCCCCTATTTCATTTTGACCAATAGATTTTTTGCATATGCGAAAGGACTTACAAAAAAATGGTAAAGTTGGACAGAAAAGTAATTAGCTCATTCATGTCCACATTCGAATCGATTAAGTTATTGCCCATAGACAATTTGTAAATTTTAATATCGTAGGGATCCGTCTTCACTGAATTGAAGTACAGAATATCTTCGTTGCCGAGGTAACAGTGGCTGAGGTTCATGTTCTTCACGACCCCCCTTTTACACAGATCCAGAACAAAGTGTATTTCTTCTCGTGTGACGTTGTAATGGTAAAAGTTAATCTCCTGCGTGGGGAGGGGGGCGCAAAAAAAGGAGGTAGATGTGGTGGTAGAGCTAAACGAACAATTAGGTGACGAATGACTACAGCCCTGTACACATGCCCACACTTGTGGTAACCCAAACATTGCGGGGGCCCTCAAATTACATTTGCACTTGGAATAATAAAGTAATTCAAAACGTTGTCGTTCACTTCTCTGCCGTTTCTGATCTGCTCTTGGTAGTACGTCTTCCCGATGAAGCTGCGAAAAAAAATAAAAAAAATGGGGGTAGCCATAATATGAAAGTAGCTAGCTGCCTCTGCGCAACAAACAAGGGACTTTTTTCCCCCCCATACGCGATGTAGATACTCGAGGCATCAGATATGCCTCTCCACAACACTCCATATTGTACAAACCTATTTCGTACTATGTTGTGAAAGATAACTATTATATTTTCCTTAAATAAATTCAGCTGAATTTTTACATCCTTGTTGTTAACCAGTGCCTTAATTACCACTATGCTCATGGTGTCTTTCCTGTCTACTAAGATGTTTCTAATGGTGTAGAGCCTTTCCTTTGGCTTCACGATGTACAGGTAGCAGAAGTACAGCTCGAAGGTGACTTCGGTGACTTTTCCCTGGGAGTAAAATGGGGGGTTGCGCGGTGCAATGGTGATGAGGCGACGCGACAAAATGAAACATCCCGTCAAGGCGCACAATGATGTCTTGCGTTCTCGTGCCTTACCTCCTCCAATAGTTCCGCGACACCCCGTAAGTTGCACGGGTAGGAGTCCCTAACTTGGTCGATGGTGTAAACATGGAAAATGTCCAGCGAGGGCTTGACAAATTTGTTCATTTGGATGAAAGATTTCCTCCTCTTAAACTCGAAGGATATATCGAATATATCACTCTGTATGAAATTTCCACAAATATATAACATTTTAAAATCTTTATTTAGCTCAAAAAAAATATTAAGGAGAGACACCAGGTCGTAATAAGTTAATTTGTTAAACTCTACATTGACATAACTAATGGCATTTGCAAATCTTCTCTCTCTGTTCATAGAATGTTTGACATGGTTTACTGTGTTGTTTATGTTATTACTCTTTAATTCACAACTGACTAGGCTGAGAAAAGAAATATTTGTATTTAACAAAATTTTAGTGATAAAATATTCACCCGCGGTGTCTGATAGATCAATGAAGTCTAAAATGAGTTCCTTCACTTGTAAAGATTTAAAACGTTTGATGACAGAATTTATGTCATTCTTAATTCCTTCAAATGTTAAATTTTGGAACAGTGGGTTCTTTGTTAAATTCAACGAACTGCATTGTTTGACATTTGAAATGGATAGAAATTCAGACAAGTCTTCAATGTTCATATTTCTGTTGACTAAATTGATGCTACAAATATTTACTACTTGGTGGGGGGTGGAAGAAGAAAGGATAATTTTATCTGCATTTTTGTTATATGGGACATTATTTAAATTCAATATGTTACATTCCAGTAGGAAATAATTAACAGCATTTTCAATTACCCCACTTGAAATGGAGTTCAAATATTTTACATAGTTGACAAGTAAAATTCTTTTATGTATTTTGTTATAGATGATACTCATCTTTCGTTTATTGCCTGCTATAGAACATTGAATTGCTCCGCTGTTTTTGTTCCCCGTTTTTAGCAATATTTCGGAGGTGTCATTTTCTGTATTCTCCAGTTTTGCAGTTGTATTTTCGTTTATTTCTAGGGTGTACAGTAATGCGTCTTCTTCGATGTGCTTCCCGTGTCGGTAGAACTTGAGGTCGTACACGAGCATTTCCATGAACAGAATTCCCTTGCTCGTTCTCTGCGTGGAAGCACATGTAATGGGTCGGTAACATATAATGTGTAATGCGTAACGTATAATGGGTCGACAGCATATAATGGGTAATGCGTAACGTATAATGGGTCGACAGCATATAATGGGTAATGCGTAACGTATAATGGGTCGACAGCATATAATTGGTAATGCGTAATGTATAATGGGTCGACAGCATATAATTGGTAATGCGTAACATATAATGGGGCCGGTTCCCACACCAGGCAACTCCCCATTTCGCTTTTCCTTTTTTTACCGTTTCCTCTTCATGCTTGTCCCGTTGAATAAGAAAAAAGTGGACATTGTCATACAGGTAAGTGACGTCCACCTTTGGGTCGTTGTGGTAAAATACATTTTCGTAGGAATTATCATTATAGTGCACCCCACGTATATTTAAATATTCGTAGGATGAAATGGTTAGTGATGAGTAGGTGTACTCAGATGTGTTCATTTCTGATGTGCTTATTTCGTTTATGTCAAATAGGTCATCTTCTTCCAGTTGGTTGGCTTCGTCTTCCTCCTCCTCCTCGTACCTCTTGACGTCTGAGAATTTGGGGCAGGTTGTGTTCAGTGAGTTTGGTTTGGCGCGAAATAATTAGTGTTCCTACTGGAGCAAGATTTACGACAAAATGTTGGCAACTCTTTTGGTTACTGTCACAATCACCACCATAACCGATGCCGTAACCACCACCATAACGAATGCTATATGCATTGACACACCTTCCTGGATCTTGGCCAACAGGTTGTAGCCTCCCTGAGTGGAAAATTTCATGGCCTTACGTATTTTCTCCTTCTTCTTCCTGTCCTCCTTATCCGACGTCAAGTTCTTAAGCAGATATTTCTTCTTATTAACCCTTCGGCATATGTAAAATTTTAGCCTCTTTAACTCTCTCGTACAAGGCCTGTCACTTTTTTTCAGCGCTTTGTATTTCCTCTTCAAGTTATTTATGCTTCTACTATCTAGATTATCGAACGTTATGGAACTGTCCGTTTTGTTATCATCAACATCCTTCCACTTGTGTTTCAAATCTGGTACACCTTGATCGGTTGGTTTGTCTATTTCCGAAATGCCCTGGACACTTTCCAAATCTGCTTCTTCATCTGCACTTGGCTTTTCTTCGGGGAGTTGTAAATGTTCGAGTCTGAATTTTTGCAGATTTTCTTCGGCCTTCTTCGTTTGTTCTTCGTCCATTAAGTCCTTTTTTATTTGCTCATACAGTTGGTTCTCTGCATGTGGGTGGGAGGCATATGATGCGGTGTATATTTATGGCGCCATTACGAGGGCACGTGCGAGGGAATATAAACAAAGTTGAGCGAAATGTAGAGAGAGTTTCCGTTTGTTTCGTTTGTCCAGTTTGCTTTGCTTGCCTCCTTTCCGACTTACTCTTCAGGTCATAAATGTTGACCCTCTTTTTGTTATATTTGTCCCTCAAATTATGCGTAATTCTGGAGCAGTAGCCAGGAGAGTATAGCGATTCCACGTAGTCGTATTTGCGCAGCAGCTCCATTTCTTCTTTCATCTTTTTGTCATTCCACTGGATTTTTTTCTTCTTCAGAATGCAATTCATCTTGGAAAAGAAGAAAAAGATGATGAGGTATTTAAAAGGGGAAGAAGTATACGTAATTGGAGATGTTCACATATGTACACTTTTGTGTCTTATGGAAAGCGCAGCGCCTGGGAAGAACCCACTTAGCGTTGTTGTGATAGCCCCCCTAATTTGACACATAAGAATTTACATAACTTTACGTAATATTCTTTTCTTTTTTCCCCTGTTCGCGCAACCACGTGCGTAAACACTTACGCAGGTGAACACGTGCGCGTGCATTTTCTCTTACACTTTCATCAGAACCAGATTCGTACTCTTCGCTCTCTGATTCGTTTGATAAAAACACATCCGTGTTAAACTGCTCCGGTATGAACTTTGAAAAATCTCTGACATTTAGTTCTGTCTTAACTTTGGTTAATAAATTATGGATGTTGCTTTTTATGTCAAACTCTTTTTTATTTCCTATGGTGTAAGTTGGGGAGTTATATTTTCCCTTCTCATGGACTTCACAATCCGAGTTATCGGAGATCGATTTTTCAGAAATGTTCACGTGCTCATCATGGAAGAAGTTATCATAATGCAGATAATCCAAGATGTAAGATCGGTTGTATTTGCTTTTTATCTTCGGGGCTATATTCAAGGGCTGTTTCGTCTTCCTGAGGTTTTTTTGTCCATCCTTCGCCTGCGCCTGTGCCTGCATGCAGAGGAGTGGTCACCATGTTGTTCGGTTCTTGGTCACGCAATTGGGGCCGTGCGTTTGGTGTATATTTGGTCATCTGCCTATTTATAATTTTCTTTTTTTGCGTTCATGTTTCTTACCGTGCGTCTGTCTTCCCCCTCGAGTGCATCCTTAGGCCTGCGAAATGAAATGGCACGCAACACAAAATAAACGACACAGTATGCATACAGGCTACTGCAGTGTTGCACGTTGGGAGAAAATTTCGAATGTGTCCCTTGGAGACAGTTTATCACACTTTGAAGAATCTTACGTGGCATTTTCATTAGACGCTAAATTGTAGTCATAGTCGTAATCAAAATCTGAACAAGGGAGAGGGTAAAAATAAAGGGGGATTTTATTTTAGGTTATATGGTAGGTATTTCATGCCAACATTTTATGTCCCCTCTTTACGTATGGTTAGCCCTACATAGGTGTTTTTCCCCCCTTTGGGGCACTTTTTTGGAGGAGACACGTACCATTGTTGAGGACGTCCAATATCAAGTTTTCTATTTTGACCTTGTCACTACTAGGGTCCTCCTTGTAAAGCAACTTCTCGTAATTATCCACTATAAGGGTGTCGTTCAGACGTATATCTTTAAATTTTTTTTTTTTTTTGTATCCATTATTTTGCTCCTCTTTATCAACAAAATAGAGATATCTGCTCTTGTCGGACCACTTGTTCATCCCGTCTGAGAGGAGAAAATTGTTTCTTTTCGCGTTTCTTCGAAATGGCACTTACACAAGCGTAGCACCTTTGCAGTGCACCGCCTTTACAACGGCGCCTTTGGAACATTCGCTTCTTTTTTTCCAATATGACAGGCGTGCTGCTCTTAGTTCATTTGGCTCACCTTCATACAGCAAAATTTTATTGTCCGCGCAAAAATTTTCGGTGGTCATCCCCGTGTTTTTCATTTTCTCCTCCACGTTTTTGGTTATGTAGTACTCGTTGGTTGTATTTATGTATTCGTAATTGTTCTTGTTGTCTCCGTCTTTATATGTGAAGTTGTAACTCCCTCCATGGAAGTCCTTCTGTCCAGCGCGTATTTCATCCTTAGACACTTTTATAAAATCGTTAACGAAGCTGACGCTTATGTAGTCCTTGTCCCCGCCGAAGTCTCTTTCTCTGTCGAATTTGCAGGTGCCAGCAGGCATGTGTGTATGTTTATATGTGTGCATATCTAAATGGGCATTCATGAAACTGGAGACCAAACGTAACTTCTCCCCCTTAATGGGGATAATCATACATTTGTACCTTATATAGGACGGATCGACTAGGGTCATATTATTGTCTCTGGGCGCTACCAATTTTAAATCAATATTCTCATGTTCTAAAAGATGAAAAATGGGGGAAAAAAAAAAAATTTTATATAAAAGTTCAGGTTAGAGGAATGACACAATTGCGAAGAAAATATTTAAAAGGTTACCTTTCTTTTCCAGATTCTCAAATTTGTGCATATATTTACTTCCAATTTTGCAATAATCCTTTGAGTTTTCATCAAATTTGGTGTTCCCATCCTGGTCTAAGGAGGCGCGTTGCAGTGGGGTGGTGGTGGATATACTTTATAGATAATTATATTATTTTCACTTTTTTTCGGAGTAATTTTTACGTTTTAACTTTCTTTACCTGCAAAGACTTCTTCATCGCTGTTATGACTGGCCTCGCCACATTCAATCGTAGATATGAATGCCTCTATACAGGTACATGGACAAAAAAAGAAAGGAGGCAATTCCCTTTTGTGTTAAGGCAAAGGTTACTTTTAATCACCCATGTTAGGATTCAATAGGGTTTCACATGGATTCGCGTCCGAGAAGGTATTCAGTAATATACGTACACATTGTAATAGCAATGTGACTGAATGTTTCCATTTATGTTATTTTTCTTTTTTGTGCTAACCGTTCAAATTTGTGAGTCTGTCTTTTGTCACTTTTAGCGGATTGTCCATTTTGTGCCTAGGTTAACTTTGTTTCATTTACAGAAGATTTGTTCTGAGTGGAACACATGGAAATGAGTCAAAATAAGGGACAAAAGCACAGGTGTGCTAGTTGCCATGGGTTATGAAATTGTTGAGAACAAAAAGGATTGCTTGCATGTTTCTGCTAAAATGCGGGTTTCCAAATAGGGGAATAAAAAAAAAAAAAAATTAACCAAGGATACGCAACAAGTACGTTAAATGCGAGAAAATCATTATATTATCCATGACTTGTAAGGAATGAAGAAAAAGGAGTATCTCAAAAAAATTAAGGAAAACAAATGTTCCAAGGATGGAAAAACAGGGAGGGTTTACACTGCCTTACAAACCTTTTAGTTCACCCCTCTTGTGTATTTCTTCATGCTAGTTTTTTTTTTTTTTTTCCCGTGAGCAAGAAATACTTGACGGAACAGGAAAAACTGCAGTGCCGCAAATGTACCACACAGGAAAACAAAAAAAAGAAATAATTGGTGGACGCGAGTGAGTCACAACTTTTGCACGAACATGGGTGTGTCATGTGCCTAATTAAAGTGAAATTTGTTCTATCCACGTGCATACAATAATTAACTACTTTTACGAAGAATGCCATTTTTGCATGATAATTAATGCGTATTTTTTTTTTTTTTTTTTTTGTGTGTGTTGGGGTAATCCTACTTGCATAGTGATGAAGGGACAAGACATTTCAACTGGACTCGAGCCCACCTTAATTTTACGAAAAAGGGGAAAGGTAGAAAGGAAAAGGTTGTTTTAGCCTTGTGAGAATTTACCAAGCTAGTGTGCCCAATTTTTCTGCACAACCGTTTTTCCCTCCCGGCGCAGTACCATGAAAAACAAAGTCTACTTGTTGCTGGACGAGAAATTATTTAAACTGAAGGAGCTATACTTTTGTCTCATTTGTTCAAAAATAAAGAATGAATATAATCTGAAACAGGAAATTGAATACTACTTTTGCAATGGCTGTACCCAAATATACACAAAAAGCGAGTCGGCAATTTATTCCTATGAATGTTTGCGTTGTTTCAAATGCCCCTGTTGCTTTAGCTGCTTGACGATCTCACATAAATGGTTGGGTAAACCAGTTAACAAGGTATGCACACTAGAACCACTGAACAAAGGGGGAAAGGAGGATAGCTGTTGGGATAATAATAATGAAGGGACAAATAGTGACCTGTGTGAAAAGTTAACCCCAAATGGTGAAAATCATGTGCAGGGCGCGTCGAACGGTACATTTTTGTCAAATAATAGGAAAAAATCAAGCGATGAGAAAATTTCTTTCGAAGGGCATAGCGCATTAGGTACGGATGACGAAAATGACATACAAGAGGGGAGGAACAAAGTGGGCAGCAAGTTGTACGCCTTTTTAAAAAGGGGGAGGAATGTGTTTTATTTCAAGTGCCCCTACTGCTTATGGTCCTCCATCACCTCGATGTATAATACCAAGTTAGACGAATTAATTGGCGACATGATACTATCAGAAAGGAACTGCGTTTATAAACGCTATTTCCAAATGGTGCTAGACGAGCTGATAAGAAGCAATGAACAGTTAAAGGAGAAGAGAAACATTAAAAGAACAAACCAACATGCCGCTTTGCATAAGGTAGGGAAATTAAAGTCCATCCACGAGCTGAACAATTACATGGAAGCATTTGGTACTATGAGGAAGGATTGCTCATTGGAGAAGCTAACAGGTGGACCAGCAGAAAGTGCTGAGGTGCATGAAGAGGCAGAAAGCACGCTCATATGTAAGTCTAAAATGAAGGTGGACAAAATGAGTCTGAAAGATATCCTAAATGGGAAACATATTAAAAATCGAGAAATATGTCGAGACATTTTTGAGCTCGAAAATGAACACGTGCAATATTTAGATCCGGTGGAATATTTGTCGCATGGTCAGTTACCGGAGGTAGTGAAGCGCTGCGAAGGAAGGAACGGCCTCGTAGGGGATGATCACCCCAGTGGGGGGAACCAATATGCGGGCACAGGTGAAGCACTTCCAAAGCAGCAAACAAGGGAAGAGTTAAGAATACAGACCAATGGTAACCTCCTCATTCACGCAAAGAATGACCTATCAATTAGACACATACAGGATTACCCGTACAATTATTATAAAGGCATTAATGCATTGCACCCCCTGAGAATGAAACTAATAAACAAGAAATCCAAGCGGTGCAATACGTGCAAGCAGTACATATTGAAGCTTCACAGTTCTAATGTGTCTTCATCCTTTCGATTGGATAATAATGCAATGAAATTTATCCCCACAATATATATTAATGACTTTAGATTAGTGAAGAGAAAAAATGGAATTTTAAATTTCGTTTTAGTAAACCCACTTGACTCAGAAATGAACATAAAAGTAGTCCCCGACATAGAAAATAATTTTGTAAAAAATTTGAATGGGAGTAAAATACCGATCAATTGCAAAACCAGAGCTGCTTCCTTTGAGTTTACGATGGACACATATGACGAAATTATAGATGAACTGCTAAATGAAGAAAAAAATGACATCAAAGATGTTTTCACGCGTGAATATATTATTGTAAAAAAACAGAATAACATGGCCTTAATAATTATTAGTTTCTTTTACACAGATGAGGAGGATGTTGTTCGTGCCGAATTATATTCAGAAAAAAACAAACCAAGAGATAGCCCTCAGACGGGGGATCCAGATAACGATTTATCCGCTGATCAGGTGAGGAAACTAAATTTCCCCCTAACTTTGGAGTGTTCATTTTCAGACAAATCGAAGAAGGTACACAAAATAAAGCTAAATCTTCTCTTCACCAATAACATTAGTTTGCGCCCCTTTCGCCATTATGCATTGCGTGACTGCGATTAGGGGGAGTTTGCGCGGCACTCACGATGTGTGGTTGTCACCAATTGTGGCACCTATCAATTCGAGGTTGGCCATCAACCAGTTAGGAATTGTCTACTAGTTGCCACCCACTAAGACGTAGAAGTCCCCATATTTTTATTCCTTCCTTACGTTTAAGAGGCGCGTCATAAGCAAATTTTTTATGCCATATGCAGCAAATAGCCCGTCTCATTGGTCTATTCGATATTGTGTTCCCAATTTTAGGAACTCTTCACATAAGAAAAAATATTTCGTACATGTGCATGCATCAAGTTTAGCTGCTTCTAGCTTTTGAGTGCTTTGCTTGTGTTTCCTTCATTTTTGTGTTAACCCAAAAGTATTTGACCCCATTCTGTATTGTTATTATCTTTTCCCTGCACTTTTGCGCTTGAACCTTAGTCCCATTTTGCGCTGATCACGTAGCGGGTGATTAGAATAATTAACTAAACTGCATCTGTGCAATGATTAATTAGGAGAATATTCAAGAAAAAAAGAATTAAAAAAAAAAAAAAAAAGTGGCATCATTATGAGGCACTCTGAAGCGCTTCTCCCTGTTGCTACGTTGCCCAAGCATTCCTATGCAATCATATCTGAATTAACAAAAAACGTTCCGCTAGCAGCGACGCATCATATGTATGCACTTTTATAAGCACTGATAAATACTGTTGTTGTATTGGTGCAAGAACTACTCATTCACAGTTGACGCATCACGGGTGGTAATGGCAAAAAAAAAAAAAAAAATGACTTGATGGAAAAAAAATATGAAAAGTTGATGAGCCCTGTGGATAGATGTGAAATTTTGTGAATATCTGATAAACTGCGAAAATGGTGAAGGGGCTGCTGCCCGAAGGGGGATAAGTGACGCATGCAATTTATCGCTTCACGAGCAAACAAATAAGTTATATGTATACATTGTGAGCTCTAGAAAGTGGGTGAGAAAGGACGACTTTTCAATGGATGTCAATTCGCACGGTGAACATTAGTGAACAAAGAGCCTCGGCGTAGCCAATCGGATATACTCCCTTCCTATCACTCTGGTGTGATTCTTCTCCAGTATGGGGCATTTGTGCCCATCATTAATATATATGTAACCCCCCCTTTTGCGTAAGCAACACACCAATTAAAGAACCATGAAAGGCGGAAAAAAGGCAGAGGGGAGAGGGTCACCCAATAAGGAAAAGACCTACAACGGTCCAAGTTATATCAAGTTATATGACTCATGTTCTGAATATAGCATGGATGATAATGATGAGGGTCCCACATTTGCTCACCTTAAAAATATAAAAATTTGCAATGAAGAGAAGAAGAAAATGCTCAGTAAGATATGCTGCACGAAGAATTACCTTTTCGTGGGTACTTCTAGTGTGTTCAGCCAAGTGCGCGTCTTTAATTACAACAATTTGATCGACTCCAAAAAGGAGAGCGAAGATTTGAGTAGTATCCCCATAGCAGGGGACAATAAGCAAACAAGTGAACGACAAAGTAAAAATAATAAAAAGGAAGAACCCCATGGACAGAATAAAGACGGTGAAGCCTTCATCAACTTATGTGATATTTACAGGAAGAGCAAATTTTATACGACCAAACGGGACTACAGCAAGGACAACATGCTAAGCATAGACCTTTTTCAGAATAAAATTAATAGAAAAAACGTGAATAGAAGCAACAGTGTGCATAAAAATGTTTATCAAGTACATTCCACGAATGAAGCGAATTCGAAGGAAATTGCACCAAAGGGAGAAGGAAACAAGAGCAATCATATGTTAAAGGAGGAGAAGATCAAAAATAATCCTACTCAAATTGATTTAAAGGACAAACTAATGAATTTTAACCAAAAGGGCTACCTAGAATTAAGCGACAACGAAACAACCTTTCCGGAGGAATATTTATACTATGATAATTTTGCGGGCATTCCCCCCCCAAAAAAAGACACACACCCCATTAGACTTACAAACGAAATGAGAGAAGAGGAAAGAAACAAAAGAGAAAAAGAAGAAGAAATGGAAAAGAAAAAAAAAATCGATGAAGAAAATTTGAGAAATGAACAGTTAGCAAAAAATGGTTGTTACTTGAATAAGGACATGTTAGAAATAAACGTAGATGTAATTAAGAGAAAAACAACACAAGTGAATAATTTGCTAGAGTACATTGGAGCTTTCGTTAATGTATCTTCCCCAATTATACTAATGAAAACAAATCATGGGGAAAATATTTTATCCCTTTTGACCTTCGGGGGGGATGTATACAGCTACGACATTAGTGAACAATCACTAACACAGCTGAGGGAAAAAAGAATTAAAAAAATCGAATTCTTTAGTAATATAGAAAATTATTTTATTGAGCAAGAAAAGAATAATACATCAAGTGAATTCTTGGAGGAAGATTTTTCAGAGGAAGTAACTGCATCGGCATTGTCTTTATCCAAATCACATTTCACCAATTCGGTAAAATATTTTGATTTTCTTCCAGATGATAAAACGCTAATTTGTGTGGGACAAAACAAGGACTATTTCCTTTCATTTATTAATTGCCATAATGGGAAGAAAATTATATATAATAAGAAAATAAAAATTAACAAGCCTAGCCACAACGTTGTAATGAACTCCAATAAAATGAATAAAGACAAAATGCTACCTACTCTTATGCACGATTTTAGCTATGTATATGTGGATAGGGAGAAAAAAAATTTTAATGGCGAAATTGGAAATTTTGTTTACATTGGATCGTCTTGTGGTTATTTAGTTTTCATTTTTCTTGTCGACAAATTTCTGCGGTTTGTTAATAATTTACTGACTAATGACCAGGTGAGGAGTGGCTCCCTGTTCACCTACGACGAGGAGGTCGATGAAAAAGAGTGGTCTAACGTCGTCACCCAGAGCGTCTTAGGCAACGTGGACGATGTGTATACAGTAAGGAAGGACGAGTTGTATGCGCTCTTCGGGGATGAGCATAACGTTATTAACGATATGAAGATGCATGGGAATGGCAACGGAAGCGCATATGTGGATAACAATCTGCGTGGCGACGTCGGTGGAAACCTTAGCAGCACTGCGCATCGACCCAGTGACCAAGGGGCACCCCTCGACAACCCCAAGGAAAACATTTTCAAAGAACAAGATCACAACTCCTTTTCCTACGCATTTTGCATTGCCAAGAATGTAACAATAAACTCCATTATAAGCCTCAATACACATAAAAATGAGCAAATTCATTTGATTGTAGGGCTTAACGACGGACGGTTGCTGGACTTCCTTTTGCGTATATCCCCGCACTTTACTCCCACCGCTTCCTCCATCACGAGCTGTGAGCACTATCCCCCTTTGAGTCAAAATTGTTCGGAAAAAAAATCCAGTCAGAATACGTCCCAAGGAAATGGAAACACGGAGTGTGCGGTGGATAATCCTTCTTCCCGTATGGATAATATTAATTTCATACAAGAATGCGAAAAAGAATTGTATGACTTCACAGGGTTACACAAGTCGAGCAGAATAAGTAAAATCAATTTGTATCAAAGTGGCTCGCAACATTTTCTTGTTTTTATAAATTCAAATGTGAAAAGAATTCGCGAAATGTCCGATAAAAAATTTTACACAACATACGTGTTAAATACGTATAGTAAAAAAATTAGCATCCTGCATGAACATCTCGCGTACATTATTGATTCCTGTGTATGCTCTCATTTTTATTTTTGCCTAGATGACAATAACACAATCGCCGTTTTTGATTGGACTCGCCAGAGGTAAAACTGTGTTGTGCGTTACCCGCGCGTGTAAAAAAAGAGGAGTTTGTTTTTTTGCGTAAAAATAATTGTAATCTTTAGGACGTATCGTCCTAGTGAAAATACTATACGTAACAAAAAACAAAAAGAAAAGAAAAAAATTGGTGGTAGCCCTTCTTCGTGGACCCACATTAACCACCAAATATGGTGACAAAGTCGTGCCTGCACAGTTCCACGTGAAATGAAAAAAAACGTCTGCGCATAAAATCCATTTCATCTTAACAAAATTTGGGGGATACTTTTTTTTCACGCTTTGCAAATTGGCTCCCGTTCTGCAAGGCTCCTACCGGAATGTTCAAATTTTAGGAAATATTTCAATGTGCCTCTGTTTTTTTTCTTTCTTTTTTCCCATTTTTCGAACAACCTGTTTGTGAAAGTGGATCGGGAATGCTCTCTACACATACTCGCTTCGCCAGTTTAAAGAGTTCTTCTCCCTCGTGGTGACCCACTTCACACATGTGTGTTCACCTGATCAGCCTGCCCACCCCCTATCATTGTGATCAAAACCATGACGCTTATAAGAAAAGTTAACAGGAACGTCCTACAGACCTTCAAAGAGCTATACAGAACTGGAAAAAGGCTGAACATACATAAAACTACCTTTCTGTGCCAAACATATGAAAAAAATTGCTGGAGAAAAACAAGACTTAGGGAAGAAAAGGTTTATCATAAAAAGTATAATTTTTTAAAATATGCATATGATGTTGTCAACTATGGAATTGAAAATAATTTAAAATTGCAAATTGAAGAAAAAAACATTGTACAGGAGGAAGACTCATATATAGAAGAACAGAGCAAAGAGCATGAATGTGAAAAGAGCATAAAGGAGGAAGTAGCCACAGTTGATATGGAAATAAAGAATATTTTAAAATTACTGGAAGATGTAAATAGGAAATGTAATCAGAATACAAAAAATGCCACACATATATATTACCATTTTATGAACAGAAATGTTCCACTCAAAAAAAGTGAGTTTATAAAAAAATATCATAAGGTATACAATGCATCAGATTTAACAATACTTTATTATTATATAAAAAAATTTAAATTACTTACAAATAAAAAGAAGCATTTAACGAATAAGTTGCACGTTTTAAAATTGAGGAAAAATACCTTTGACACTGTGAACTACTCCTTTTCAGCGGACAAACTCGAGGAGATGTTCTACGAGCACGCGAGAAAAATCAATGTGTTGTGATTAGCCGCACTTATGTTTTGTATGAAGACAGCTTTTCTGTCCTTATATACACATGCTATGTGTGTACACCCGTGTGTGTGTTTATTCTTATTTTGTGAAGCCGAGGTAACTCCCCTTTTTGATGGCATTTTTTAAAATGCCTCCCCCTGGTGAGGACAAACTGTGGAGGGCATACCCCCACCCTGGACGGAACAGTACAGAGTGGAGACCCCCTCTCTATGTCCCGTTTAACTAGCCCATTTCGGAAGGATAAAAATCGTTCAGCAGTTTCTTCTGATTTGTAGTCAGTTCGTTAGTCTTCTCGTCCATTTCTCTTTTATTCATATCTGTCTCGTTTTTTATGTCCTTCACTTGGTTTTCCATGTGCTCCTTAAAGTTGATGATCTGCTCTGTGGCTTCGCAAATGTCGCTGCTTAGCTTCGAAGGGGAGCAGGAATGGGGCGCCGTAAAGACTTGTACATTTTTTTTCACCCATGGAGGGGTGCATATGCATATCAATATGCACACAGCATACACAACAGTTACTTCACAGTGACACAAAAACAGTCGTACCGAGTTGAGAGACTCCTCCATCTTTTTGTTCAGTGCCTCGTTTTCTTCGTTTATCAGCTGCAAAATTTCGATATTTTTTTTTTTATTGTCTATTTGATTGTTTTCCTTATAAGTCGCTAGCTCCTCCCTAACGCTCTCTATGTTTGCGTTCATTACGCTTAGCATCTGGGGTGAGGGGAACAACACACACGGCAGGGGGTAAATAAGTCATTTTTTAAAATATGTAGAAAAGGTATTGTCCACGTGTCTCCCAGATTGGGAGCGCAAGTATATAAATGAATTAGCACAAGCAAATGTAACCTCTTGACTCAGCAAAGTATAGAGTTGCAAACGGTGGTGAATAATCCTACCCCCTTTATTTTGTCGAAGTAAGTCCGCATGCTCGTTTTGATGAGATTTATATTTTCCTCCTTCTCCTTCTTCAATTTGTTCACATCATTTTTTACAATTTCCAATTCGTCCAGGAAGGTGTTGTTGTCCGTTGCTTTATCTTTATTATTCCTGTTTAACTGGTCCAGGTAATATTTTAACTCTTCCAGATTTTCATGAGTGTTATCCTTAAGGGAGTTTATTTTTTCATCAAAATATGCCTTCATTTTGTCTATATGTTCAGACAAATCTTCATGCTTGCGTTTATTACTCTCCTTTTCTTCTAGGAACAAATTGTGCAGGGTTTCAAAAACATTTTTCCCTGCGTCCTTGTGAAATGAAGGGGGGGGTGGGGATATTTGTGTGTCTACATAGGGGTAGACCCTTCACGTAAGCATAGACGTACTGGATCATGATCAATGTGTGTATGTTACGTGGATCACTCATACTATGCATGGGTCGGGGAGAACAGGTTGCGATAAAAATCAAAATGTGAAAGATGATTTATGGGGGTTACTTTCTTTTTTAAGGCCTCGGCGGCACCTTTAATCTTTTCAGGGGGCGGGGCTTTCACGTTAGAGCGCTCCATTTTGTTTCATTTTTCAAGTTATGAGCACACGGGGCTGTGCGTAAGTGCGTATGCGAAGGGGAACACATATATATACGGACTTGTTTTTATGCATATACACGTACATCTTACACTATCATCCTTGTTAAGTCCTTTCCATGAAATCTGTAACTCGAGGCATGCTTCGATGCCTGATGCGCTGGGACAGTAAATTCAAAAGAGGAGAAGAAAAAAGGAAAATTCTTTTAATTACTTTTTTTTTTTTTTCATGATTTATATCAACAAGACAGGGAGTGTTTGTGAGATAACATTGGTTTGAATGTTTGGAGGGGAACATAAAAAAAAAAAAAAAAAAAAAAAAAAAAAGAACTAATTAAGGACACGTGCGTGTGTACGAACATATGTACCCATGTAAATTCATGAGCAACAATGAATTCATATTATTCAAGCATTTTAAAAAAATATAATGGCACTGCTAAATGTGTCATATGGGCTAACAATTAAAAAAGAGGAGAGAGGGGTGTGTGTGCTAATGTGAAAAATCAAAAAGCGCAAGATGCGTGATATCCCGTTATAGGTAGAGCAATAAAAGCAACAAAAACGAAAAATATTTTTAAAATAGGAAAACTGTAAAAGGGTGATAACTAATGCGGTTAAAAAAGGAAAAAAAAAAAAAAAATGTTATGATTCTAATGTATATTCTATTTCATTTGTGCCTACTCGATCGTTCTTTATGTCTTTCCCTGGAACGGCTCCAGCTACTGGATCTACTTCTATATGAGGATGAATGCTTTCTCGAGCGTTTGCTCCTGTTGGACTGATGCGTCCGACTATTCCTATCATGAGATCTATGGCGTTTTGAACTTCTTCTATGGCTGCTGGATCTTCTTCTGTGTTCACGATCGCGATGGCTTCTTTCTGTTCTGGAAGACTTCTCATCATGCGCATATTTTTCTTTTCTATATTTCTCAATAATTTGTTCTCGTTCCTTCACGGTGTCTTTCAATTTAGTTAGAGCACTCCTTATCGTTTCAAATCCTATGTGCTGCTTTCCACTGGCATGGTTTTCAAGTTTCGTAATGGGGTCTCCGGGCGATTTCATGGCTCCGCATACTTCGCAAACCTATGCAGGGGTGTGAGCGTCGAAAAAGTGAGAAGGGCTGATGCGCACGTGTCAGGTGTGTGATAGGCGTTCGTTAATGCATACGCGTACATATGTTGAGGTCCAATATGAAGAAACTCTTATATTATTTAAAATTTTTTTCTATCCATTTTATATTACCATCAAATTTGGCTCCGCTACCTTCTCAGGCTCCTCATTTAACCTTTTGATTTCTGCTTGAAGGGTGGTCACTTGGCTGCTAAAACTGTCTGCCTTGACTAAGTCCCCCTGCGGAAATGGCATGTAGGAAACACAACCCAAATATTTTCAATAAGTATGTCAAAGTGATGTACAATACTGCGCAGAAAAAAAAAAAAATAAAATACAATAACCATAATGAAAAGGGTGTCAGGGGGGAGAATGTGTGTTACCTTTTCCCGAGCTTCTTCTTCCCGTTTTTGTAAGTCCTCTATGTGATTACTGATACTTTCGATTCTACAGGTGATGCAAGAAAAAAAAAAAAACACGTAATTACAATGATAGTGAGGAAACCGAATAACGTAACTAATGATACGGTCATGTGACACAACACTGTGAGTGAGGGGACACATTCCTACTGGATGTACCACTGTACTTGCTTACTTCTCTTTCTTGTCCACATGATTTTTGCTATTCTCCGACATGTACCTTAATTTTTCTTTGGTTCTCTCAATTTTGTGATCGGCCAAGTCGATAATATTTTCCAGCGTTCCTGACAAAAGAATAGAAAAATAAGGAAGGTGCAAAATGGGGTACTATTTTATAAGTGCAAGCGCATGATAAGAGTTTCCAAAAAAAAAAAAAAAAAGGTGTCATACTCATAAACTTTTGCTCATATTTTGCCCGGTAGTATTTATAATCTTCATGATTTGCCAGTTGTTCCTTTAGAACTTCTGAATGTATGTTTTTGCATCTACGGAACGGGGAGAAAAATAGACGAAACACATTTGAAGCGATTTAGAAACATGCAGTCCATATGTCTATATGTGTCTACCCACACATGATTGTTCATGTGCAGACTCTTTTTCCTTTCTTTTTTGCAAAATTGACGCTCGTTCATGTTGCACAACGTGGTAACGTTAATGCCAATACGGCATACCCATATAGGAAGGTTGTTTCTATATGCATGATTATTCCTTGCGATGAAACTGTGCGCATATATGTATGGTACGTCAGTTCATACGTGGGGGCACAGGTACCTCTCCCTATCTCTGTATCAATATAGTTACACTCTCCCGAAACTTACCTCCCTATGTCACTTTTTGTATTGTGGAAAAGATCGTGAGGACAAAAATCAATTAAGTAATACTTACACACCTGCCAAAAAGTAAAAAAGAAAAATATACGTGTAAATAATATCATGCGAGTGTATATATGTTCGTACGCTTATCTAAACAATTTTCGACCTACATTATCGTCCTTGAAGCTGTGCTTTTTCCTGGCATCCGTTTCGTTCCTGTCCTTTCCCATTAGGGAATCTAACAATGCTGAAGTGGGGACGAGGAGATACAAAAAAAACAAAATTATTAATAAATATATATATCACTGCCCATTTACGTAGAGTTATGTGCCCATTTTTTTGAACACATAAGATTGTTAAGCTGGCGGGTTCACAAAATTCGGGGGTATACTTAAACTGTGGCCTCGTCGACATAATACAAACAGACAAGCACGAGAACAGGGGCACTACATACGCCACCGCAGAGCTAACTGATAACCCTCGAATGCGACATTTGTTGCGGCACCTCGGATGGAATCTATGCGTGGTGAAAAACACAACCCTCTGAAAACATGACTAACGTGACACATCTGGACGTATAATGTGCACGTGAGATATTTGTTCCTTCACCCTTTTGTCCGCGTGAAACATATTCCCTTTTTTTTTTTCCTTTCGTTCTTACATCTCATTTCTTCCATAGTCGAAGGGGGGGTTATCGCAAAATGTCCATTGCATACGATGTGAAGTGGAGGCAAGGCATGCTGCCCTGGGTAACTTGTTTGCGCTGTCGCCCGTTCGCCCTTTCACGCTTTATCACTGCCTCTCTCCTCGTTTTACTGCTACCTCGTATGTGTACTCTCCAAACATTAATTTAACCCTTCGGTGGTTAAACCATTCATAATGTTCTTTCGAATTTTAAACAACGTAGGGGGGTTAAAAGAGACGGGTGAAATGAAACGCACAAAATGCGCGATGCGTAGGAAGCGCAAAAGCACATACAAGAATGTACGTATACGAATATATATACATAATATGTTTATATATATTACATGCATTTGTACACTTTTATAGCCTGCGAATTTGGCAGTGCCCTAACAAATGCGTTGCTGCAAGATTAAGAAAAAAATAAGAAGGAAGAGAATCAAAGGCTCACGGGAAAAAACGTAATAAAAGAAACAAGAAAGAATGAGGAAAAATAAAAAAAAAAAAAAAAGAAGATATAAAAAAAAAAAACATTAATGGTCAAACAAAGGGGGAAATGACATTTTGTACAAATACAGAGAAAATAAAAACATCACTCGAATCAAACATTTGGTAAAGAGAAATGTGCATAACGTATGTGCCTATGTATGCACAGCACATGCTGATGCATACTTTATATGTGTTCTTGCGGGACTTCAAAAATGGGGAAAAGTAATGGCGATCAAAAATTGACTTTTTTCATGTATACATACGTAAATATATATATACATTTTTTTTTTTTTCAAAACGAATCAGGGTTATAGAGTTAGGGCAAAACAATTAAAAAGTGTTAACTTTCCGTAGATGGACTTCCTTTCTTTAAAGCACCAGTTTTTCTTCCTTGGGTATTCACAAACGGTATTGCTCAAATGTGTACACATATGCACAAGGCACAACCTTTCAGTTGTCTGCTCCTGTTATCCAGAATTGTTTGAGCACAGTGGGTTTGATATAAGCTTCAGTAATTCTTTAACCGTGGTCAACACTTTCCTGTAAAAATTGGAACCATGGATAGGGGGCAGATCGAATTAAAGGTGTCATAAAAAGAAGGGAAGTTGCAGAAAAGACGGCTCCGTGCTTGTGCCCACCGAACGTCAGGGCGCACAACGTGTGCAGTTGGAATTTGGGAGGGGTTCAATTACGCAAAGTGTATGCACAATTATGTGTTGCGCTTTTCTCCTTCATGAGGAAATTCCCCCTTTTTCGCTGTGTTCCTTTTTCTCTCTTTCCCCTTTTTTTCCACTTACGTATTTTCCGTGTTTAGGCAGTCCAACAGGTAGGGGTAGCAAATGAACAGGTGCGCCTTGTCCTCTGAGAATGGGAAAAGACAGAAAGGGAGATTTATTAGTAGAGCTTCCCAAAAGGGCCTTCTCCAATGGGGCAATTCCAAAACATGGCGGGTGAAAAACGGTGCACCGAAACAAAACGGCTCACGACGCCAGTTCCCCCTCGCCCCATACCTGAGCATTTTAGTATCGAACTACTCTTCATGTCGATGTAGGTGTAGCAACACTTCAACTTCTTCATTTCGTATAAAATAAACAAAACTTCGTCAGCATTCTTGTTAGGGGAAAAAAAAAAAAAAAAAAGTGGTAAAAAGGACAGGTATATTGATACCGATCTGATATTGCCATTTTATAATTCCTTTTACAATTTTAAGTAAACACAAAGCTGTCCATCTAAATGCACACCGCGAAAAAGTTACAAAATTGTTCAGGCAAAAAAAACACAATTATGTCAAAGAGAAAAAACACTGGGCACTAACTAAACGGCGGAAAATGTCACAAATTATTACCTCATTATTTTCACTCGAAAAGCTCCTGAGGGTTAGCACACATTTCTTTAGCATAACTAATGTCATAAGAGTTGTGTAGTAACTGTCGTTGTAATTCTCCTTGGTCATCTTTTCATATTCCTCAAATAAACTGCCGGTTGGACAAAAAAAAAAAACACGCAATTGGCGTGACAAATGTGCTCGGGATGCAAAGGAAAGCGCCATAGCAGTGCAAACATGGGACATGTTACGCATGCGATATGCACCATGCTTATAATGCGCACGGCACTCACATCTGCAGCGTCCAGCTTGAGAAGGCCCTTCGCTTCTTATCATTGAGTTCGCTTATAACTTTCGTCTGAGGGGGGAGGGAAAAAAAAGGTGGCGCGTCAAATGGGGACCATATCATCACGTTGGAAACTACAAACAGTATTTACTCTAATGTGACACCTCTCCATCATCCAATTGCGCGCACATTACCAAGTATATTTTTATAAACAGTGGGACCTTTGAATTCTCCACCAAGTAATGGTTCCGTATGAACTTTATGAGCATTATGTCCAGCATGTCTATTTTATCGTTGCTGCCTGAAAAAAAAAAAAAACACAATATATACATATAAGCGCATGTGGGGAACACAAACAAGATTGCACAAAAATACAAAAGAAGAGGCATGCACATGTGCACAGCTATTCATTTCAAAGAAGCTACTACGGTAGAGTGACAACGCCGTACACGCACCAACATGTCGCGTGGTCCCCCTCTTCAGCACTTACAACTAACGCAGAGAATCTTCTCGACGGAGAAAATGACCGCACACCAGTACTTGTGCAAATCCTCCTCGGCGACATTCCCCGAAATTTCAAGCATATTGTACGTAATTTTCAGCAGGATGATAATGCTTTCGTAAAAGACAAAGCAGGAGTTGTTATTTATATTATGCAAGAAGCATTTCACGTGACCCGCAATAATGTATGGAAACATATTAACAAAGGAAAGGACAAGGGAGTAATTTTCTTTCTGATAAAATAAGCTGTAAAATTCTTGTCTCATAAAATTGCACAGTATGATGGAGAACACTATATTTATATTATAGTTTGGATACAAATTGAACTTGTTATGAATGTAGTAAATCAAAAAAGGAGTGAAATAATTGAACATTCCTAAGGAAAATGTTTGGAAATATTCTATATAATTATTTAATGGGTAAATTTTTTTATAATTTAAAGTAAATAATCTGTTACACTCTTTATTTTCTTCATTCAATTCCTTGGTGTTTATGTCCATATCGAGTTTATTATATGTATCATTCAGTTCTATCTTTTCAATTATTTCATCCGAATTTTCATTAAACAGTATTTTTTCATCAAAGACAAAGTGTAGGAGTTTGGTTAGGATAGATTTTTTCTCTTCATTCTCTGCTAAACTTAGTACCAAATATTTTACACACTTTAGTAGTTCCTCATTTATTAGGAGATTTATTTTGTCGTACTCTAACGTTTGAAAAATGTCCATCATGATGGTAAAAATTTCGCTATTTACATGACCATTTAAGAAGCTCGCGTATATGTCTTTACTCCCCAATTTTGGGTTTTCTCCAAAAGTTTCCTCCCTATATAAGCTTTTGTTGTTTTCTAGTATGTTGTAAATATTTAGTGGGTCATGTGATGCTTCGTTCGTTTTGTACTCAAATGTGAAGTGGCTGTTTAGGAAGGATAGCCTCTTTGGAAAGGAACCAGCCCCTCCTTCCCCTTGGGGCTCATCCTTCTGTGAGCACTTGGGGGGGTTATTTCCCGTGTCGTTAGGTGCAGCATTGATGTCGCTTCCTACGTAACTTGTGATTGTCTCCCTCTCGCTGACAAAGTAATCAAAAAACAACTCATTCAAAATGGAATCGTAGTTCATGAAGGAATAGGTTTTCCCTTCCACTGGGCTCAGCACAACCTCCACGCTGGACGTAAACAAAAAGTGAAACATATGCAAATACATCAACGAATGCACATATATCCACTTATCACAGTGGACATTTTTCAAATTATCAATAAGGAGCTTCAAAATGAAATCTTTAATCTTGTGGTCATCAGTGCAGTAGGCATAATTGTAAATGTAAAAAAGGCACATGTCGAATATACTTATATGATCAGAACATCTATTCCTATTTCCTAGCGAATTCTTCATTGTGAAATGGCACACATCATAGTAGGTCATCTTGGATATAAAAATGTTGTTGAGTATTTGTAGAATCGATATGTGCAGCTCTAACATGTTCTTGCTCTGATACTTCACAAACAGTGTAGTTTTGAGGATGTTCACAAAGGTGCCATAAAAAATGTAAAACTTTCTGTAGTCCCTTTGCTCCAGGAGGATCCGATTACACCCTTCTATGATTAGGATAAAGCTTTCGATCCACTGCTTCAGTTTACTGTCCCTTGAATGATGGATAATAATTTTGCTGAAGTTTTCATTTACATAATCGTATAAGTCTCCGTTCTTTTCCGTTTCCAAAGCGGTGTTTCCACTACTGCTTCCGTTTCCGCTTGGTCCTCCATTTCCACTTGCGTTACTGCTGGGGATACCGGCCCCTTTTTCAATTTCGCTTAACAAATAGGGCTGCTCCTTCATTTCCTTCCCTCCTTTTTTTCTTTTTTTATTTGCGAACTCTCCTTCCACCTCCTGTCTCAAATCTGCGAAGCTCTTCTTGAATTGTTTCCCAAGGAACGTTCTGTCTCGTTCTGCCGGTTCTTCATTCGTGTGGGCTTCACCATTGCTCTCCTTCTCCAATGGGGGGCTGCTTAGATCTGCGGTGCGGTTTACACAGGTAAGTTCATCCGATTGGCAATCCACCTGGTGCTCATGCCTACGCTCCATCTCGAAATATCCCTTCAACTTGGAGTAGTACCTAACGCTCAAGCGCTTAAGTAACAAGCAGATGGACGTTTTGTAAAAGAAAAAGTCAAATTTGAAAATATGTGTGGAGAGAATACTAATGATCGTTTTGATGCTGCAATTTCGAACTTCTATTCTTTCGTCGAAGCACAACTTCATAAGTTGATTCAAAATGAAAGTAAAAAAGCTTTTCATTCTTATGTTTCTCATTTTTATTTCTTTTTCGTATATGTAAATTTTTTTGTTTTCTATGGCGCAAATGTGAAGGAGTTTATTTTGTCCTGTTTTGTTTTTATCCTTTTGTGGTGCGCCTTTTTCTACTTCAGTTACACCACGGTCTTTTCCTTTTCTTCCATTCCTTTTCAGCATGTGAGAGCGTGCTACAATGTAATCAACGATTGACCAGGAAAAATTGATGGCCCTGAAGGATATGTTATTGCTCAAAACATTTAGGGACGAAAAGAGGATGAGCATGTGGATGATGACTTCCATAATTTTGCACACAGGGACTTCCTCAATATAATCTACAATTATAATTTCCAGGATGTTAAAAATGTTATTAATGTTGGATATATTTTCCTCCATTATTTGTTGCCTATCCTCTTCATCTTCGTTGGTATTTATTAAACCCTTTTTTTTTAACTCTTTCTGGAATGATACGTATAGCAGAAAAATGATAAACAGCCAAATGTCCTTGTTAAAAAAGGAAGCATTTTTTCTAATGCAATTTAAGAAGGAGCTAATAAAATACGATCGGTAACATGCATGTGGGTTAACTATGAACAGGAAAAATGGCTTAAAGAGAAGAAACTGAATTTCAAAGTTGTTTTTATAATGTACAACAGACTCTTTTATAATATTGAACAAGGTGTCGATGCTTTTTCTTTGTATGTCATTATTTTTGCACAAGGAGAGCAATAATATGTTCATGCAGCAGTTGTTGTAAATGCTTCTTATCTTATCCAGGTTAATAACACAAAGCATTTCTATCATATGTAGGGGGTAGAAATCTTCGAAGATGCAAAACTTTTCTAATTTCTTCATTACGATGTAGTAGGTGTGTTCCTTGGTTGCATTACCGCTCTGCTTACCATTCATTTCTGTTGAGAAGTTTGTTTCTTCAGTGGGAACTTCCTGTCTTGGTAAATGTGCGCATTCGTTGTTGATTGGTCTATCCTTCGCCAATTCTTCACGGTCCTCCCCTTTAGTTGAAAAGAACATATCCGTGTAGAAGGAAAAATAAGTTGTGTACATGGGGTCAAAATGGGACAGGTAATAATAATACACCTCAAAAATGTTATCATTGTTGTGCAAAAATTCGATGTATTTTTCAATTATATTTTTTTTTCTATTTAGTTTGTTGAACTTTATATATTCGCAACTGCTGGGAGTTGTGTCTTCCTCGTTCTTTTCCCTTCCTTGTGAGTTTGCCGAATGAAAGGCTTCCTCCCTGAAGGGGGGCTCCGGTAACCTGGTATTGCTTGCATTTCCATCCACGCAGTTAGCACCTTTCTGGGCACTTCCCACATGTCCGTTGCACACAGTTGTGCACATATCCTTAGAGCCTCCTGCACTCACATGTGCACCGCCATATTGATTAATCTCTTTGCTTGGTATATATCCCCCACAAGGAGCCATGGCCATACCTTTACAACTTAACTTGGGAGGTACGTCTCCCCCCTTGGGCCCCACCTTCCTTTGCTTGAAAAATTGATTAAATATCATAAAATGAATTGAATTTAAAATATTAATCAAAGTGGAAAGCTTATAAAATATGGTGTTCTTAAAAAAGTAAGAAAATGAGGAAAATATAACCGTAATTTCTGCACACAGTACAGGATTTTTCTGAATAAACCTCAATATAAAATAACAGAATTCAGCACTTTTTGAATTTACATTTTGTACATAAGTGTTTTTGTCCGAGTCGATGAATCTCTTACTTAGAGAGAAGATAAAATCTTCCTCATTTTTGTTAATGTGATGAAGGAAGTGTAAAAACTCAATCGTTTTGTTCTCTATTGATGATATATACTTATATATATAATTAACTTCGACGAAGAGATTAATCATCCTTAGCCAGTTTTCAAAATGGAGCTTGTCTCCATAAATGAAGAATATGCTAATGACTGCCTTTAGGGACAGTATATATTTTACGTTATTCAAATCGTTGTTTATGAAGTATGATTCTTGCAATATGATACTAATGATCTCGTCAAAATATTTCATACGATCTTCGTTCAATGTCGATTTGTAACAAACAAAATTGGACTCTACACTTTCCATGCTCGTCTTTTTTGAGATGGATTTGTTCGCCATCATGTGATGCGTGTCTTTCCTTCGACTATTTCTTTTACCTCTTCCTAAACTTTCCCCATCATCCAGAGCCTTACTGGTAACGTTATAATGGGAGTCACTTGGGGGGAAATTCTTGCCCAGTTCAACATTCATGTTGGGTTGGTTCTCATAATCCTCATTTCTGTTATCGTCGCTCTCACTTTTTCCGCACTTGAGGTTATAAAAATAATTTCCGGAATAATCGTTACCCTTTTCTCCCTTTTGTGGATTCCCCCCCTTGGCAGTATTCTCATCGCTCTTTTGTTTGGTCACTATATCATCTATTTTGTCCTCGTCTTCCACGTATTCCTTCACATTTGTGGGTTGTAATTCATTGTGACTTTTGCTTGATTCCCTTTTACCTTCCACCAAATCGTTACTACCGCGTTTGACAGATTTTCCCATGTTGTGCGCACAGGTAGCTTCGCCCAGTGAGTGATCCATGTGGACAAAATTGTGTCCATCCTTCACACTAGCCTCGCTACCTTCTCGATTAGATGATTTACTCTCATTAGAAGAGTGCAACATGGGAACCTTACTGATGCTTTTGATAGACCCTTTGCTCTTTCTTACACCAGAGTTGTTTTCACTCCTATTTTCTTGCCTTTCGAAATTTCTAAGAATCTTCAAAAAGAAGGGCGAATTCTCTAGGGTAAAAATACTACTGCATTTTGTTAAGGTCTGCAGGCACGCATTGGTACAAATATTTATTTTTAAGTGAGTACTGATAAAAATTATTTTCTGGAACCCACTGAAGAAACACACATCTAGCGTGTTCGTGTAGGAGAAGATTAAGCAGAGAGATGATATGAAATATCTGCATGTGGAACTGAATACGTTAAAAAATAGGGACATACTCTCATGGTACTGGTCATTTGAATTTAGAGGATTGCTTCCATGGGGATTCTTGTCTTTATTTTTCCCTCGGTCATTCGTTGGGTTGTAGCTATTTGCGCTGCTATACACATCGCCACTCGCACCGCTATACAAATCTGCCCCTCTGGCTTCAATCTTATTCGTGCGTTCGGTTGTGTTCTTATTGTAGCAGTGGAGTCTTCGTTCCAGTTCGTCATCAAAAGATGGGCTCATTTCACTAATGACACTGGGCCATTGTGCTGTCGGGGCCGATTGCAAACCAGATCCTTGCTCATTGCATAATTGTGTCACTGTCTCCTTCTTTTCATGCTTCCCCTCAGATGTGCTGCCACACGGCGATGATTCACTTAGAGCAAATCCACTCTCATCATTTAGATCTATCGTCGCGAAGCAATACTGATTAAGGGACATTCTCAATATGTTTAAAAAAATTACATAAAAAGAATTCACAAGAGATAAAATAGTGTCCACAGTGGACGCAAGGACACGTATTTCGTCTGCGTCTTTGTAGCATAAATCATCAAACATTGTTCTACTTACTTTTTTCTCTGCTGAATATTTGAATAAGTAGAAATTTTCCGTGGGGTTTTCGCAACTGTTTGGTAAAATTAGGGGATAACTCAAAAAACTGCGGAATGGCATTTCGTTGGAGCTGCCTTGGACTTCTTTTGCATGATTGTGCTGCTTTGGTTTTATTTGGCCGTCGCACTGCTTGAGCTTTTTCTCTTCGTCTTCTTTGCTGCTTTCTTTGTGGTTCCCCTCGGCGTCCTTCCTTTCGCCTCTGCTGGTTCCACCAGACTTGATCTGTCCCTTGTCCACATGCTGCTCAACTTTCTTCTCTCCCGTGTATATCCTATCATACTTAAACACCTTCATATGGGCGTACATTTTTGTTAGGTCAATGGAATGCAAAAATAACAACTCGTGAATAATTTTGCTAATGTATTCAACGACTTTGATGAACAAGAGGTCGTCATCATCACTGTACTGTTTCCCCTGCGCGCTTGAGCTTTTCGCTCCCATCACATCACTCTTCTTTGGGTTCGTTTCGCGTGATTTCGGTTCCCCCGCTATTTTCCCCTTACTTTCCTCATCGGACTTAATGCTTACTACATCGGGAGGTTCCTGACACGGCGGTTTTTCATTAGGGACATTTTGTGCTGCCTCAGGGGCATTGTCACCCTCTTGAATGTAGCCCTTCTTCGTTTTTTTGTGTTTTTTCTTTTTCCTCTTCGCTCCATCGGTACCGCTCTTTATAACGTCCTTGGGCACTTCTGGGTCTTTCTTCACATCTTCCTCCTCAGCTGCTCTTCCTTCCTTTGGAGTTTCCGCCATATGGCAAAAATATTTGTACAAATGAAACAGAGTCAGTGTGTCATCAAAGAGATAGAAAAAAAAATTTAAAACGATGAGCAATTTTGAAAAGGGTTGCGTCAAGCACAAATGTTGAATTAGGATTAGGAATAGAAATTTTATTTCGCCCAGGAAGTACTGAAAATATTTGTGACAGATAATCTTAAAAATTTTCAGGCATCTATAAAAAACGTCTATGTGTAAGTTATACCTTAATGATAACAGTATGATATATATAATTTCAAATTTCAATAATTTGAAAAAATCGAAATTTTTTAAAAAGTGTTCATAGTTGTTAAGAAATATATACAATAGATCTAGGCAAAAGTTTAGTGGCAAAATTAAATTATTCTTGTTGTAGGTCGACAGGATTTCTGTCCTTTGGTCACACGAGTCTGGTTGCACATTTTCGTTATCATCAAGGTTCATTTTGTTATCTGTTTGGTTTTTCCCATTTGTGCTTTTTAAAATTTTTAAGAATTTTTTTATATTAGAATTTTTCACACTATAGATGTACACACTTTCGTCTTTACTGGACTTTTTTTTTTTCTGCTGTCCTTCTTCTTCTGCCTGATCTTCCTGTGCGTTATGTTTTTCTTCCACAGGGGGGTCGGCGTTGCTTCTGTCCAACTGTAGTGTGTCTTTTGAATAACTTGTCTGTTTAGGGTAGGTATGTATTTTTTTATCATTTGGTTCTTCTTGGAGAATACCATTAGTGTTGTCATTTGTCGGGGGCTGATCGGCATTAGCGGCGTTATCAACACTCTCTTCTTTTCGTTTTTCCTCCTCTGTGGTTCCATGCGCACACGGCGAAGAAACGCCAACAGAGTTATACTTTAGTCTAATATTTACAAAGCAGCAGTAACAGAGATAATGAATTAGGGAAAGCAATTTGTTTTTGTTTTTCATGTAACTCTGATCTTTCAGATCCGTTACGTAGATGAGATCTATCGGGCTATCCGTATCATATGGCAAATCGAAATTTTCAAAATAAAGTTGTTTCACTTCCCTTGAGTGGTCGTCCTCCACATGCAAACGGTTGTGGTCACCACTGTCTTCTTCGCCTTCCAAGTCATTCTTCTCCTTTTCGCCTGACTCGCACATATAATTCTCTAAGTTATCACCTGGAGAGGCCCCAACACTACTCTCTCTATTACACACATCAATGAGCGAATTGAGTAGCTGCTTGTACGCAGCACAGCACGTTTCATACAAAATGGTATTGCTATCATATAAAGATGAATAATAAACGGAGTACAAAATTTTCAACAAGGTGTTAATAATGTCCTTGTTGTAATACTCCATATACTGATGAGAAAACGCGGCTAATATTATTTGCACAATTTTAATTAAAATTTTTTTATCCTCAAGGAATGTCAAATCGAATAACACATTGGTAATTTTTTCTAGTTGCTTCTCTATATGTATGTACCTAAAATTTTTTATTGTGTGTTTGTTGTCTATTATGTGGAGGAAGTAACAGACGACTCTCTTAATTATGAGAAGACATAAGTTGGAGATTTTTTGAGTATTGACTTGGATTCCTACGTTGATAATTTCGATTATTTCGTCTATGGGGAATTCAAAGCTGCTGAACAGTTGGTTTTTATTCGATTCGATTATACTATTGTAATTTTTAATTTTTATGATGCATATTTCTGTCTTCTCCTTTATGCACACGTTTTTTTTCCTTGTCTCAGCGATTAGCACCTTCATGTCATTTTCGAGTTCTTCTAGCAGCGGCAGTGGATCCATCTTTAGAGGTTCTTATCTGCATGCTTACGTGATTTGGCGGATCAGAGCGAACGACGCGCTACAGGTCGGCTAACGATCGGCTAACTCGTTAGCCTTTTTTCTCATTCGCCATCGCTACGCTTTCATCACGCGCATTGTGTTTTGTTCTACCTACGTGTGATGCATGAGCGTTATGCAACTGCGCCGTATGCGCTGTTCTTACAAAGCATGAATTATCTTCCCCAAGGGAAGTACAACAGACGCTTGACACAGTTTTTTTACAAAACAACAGTAAAGGGGACAAACCAGGGGAGGGGGGGACAAGGACAAAAATGGAAAAAAAAAAAAACAAGTAGCAAACAGTAAGGTACAAAAGGGAGCGTACTTAAAGTGATCAAGCGGGCATGTTATTGGATACATAAGAATTAATACTAACACACTTTTTTTTCACACCCCTTTTTTTGTTTATGTTTTTGACCAAAATGAACTAAAACAATCTAATGTACGCTAACATCACGTACTTGATAAAAGGCGGGAAGATCCAACATGGAGTAAAACCAGCCTTAGCCCAGTACTCTATGTGTCTGTGACTTACTGTCATTCAGTTTTTATCTATAAATGTTTTCAAAACAAAGAACAAGATTACGCAAAAGAGGAAAAGTAAAATAGCTTTCAACCGAAAAAAAAAAAAAAAGGAATGCACAGCGAAACATTGTTTTTTTTTTTTATTACGTGCTGATGAAGGCATACGATTTTTTTTTTTTTTATGTCACAGAACGATATCTGCGCATACAAAAAGCAGCGAAGGGGGCAAATGCTTCATGAGGGCCATAAAAAAAAAAACAAAAAAAAAAAAAAAAAACGCTGGGAAGCGGCATGCATACCACATGTTATTAGTCTATTTTTAACATTTAAATTAGGGATGTGGCACAATTAAGCTATAATGCGTTTTTCTCCTTTTTCATTAGTGTGCATATTGCTATGCAATACAAGTGTACAGCATATTCTTATGCGTATGTATTGAACAATTATGCAAGTCAATACACTTTGAAGAATTGCGTCCGCCATATCGCTCTCTTTCTTTCCTTTGGGCCTGCCCCCATATATACGCGTTAACGTAGGCATATACTAGCCTGCCTGTTGCCCCCGTGGAGTTGCATACACGTTATACGGACCGGGCTAAACGTGCTGGCGAACAAGCCAATATATGGATGCCCCAATTTGTGCGCAAAATTACGCGTATGAAACCTACCCTCTTAAAGGGCAACATGTTTAGGCAGTGGGAAGGAGTGCTAATAGTGCAGTTTGTACAGTACACCTAAAGAAGCACATTAAGAATATTTAAATATTTTCAAACATTTCAAGGCCTATAGCCGCGACGTTTCTTTCCCTTGCCGTACTTATTTTCTTCTCTTCAGAGAGATATAAAGTTGTAGCAACAATTTTTACTACGTGAAAAAGATAGCCACCTTAGAAAAACAACTTGATCACACGTGTTAAGTGTAGAATTACTATTCAGCAAGGGGGGCATGAAACGAGAATACGGACTGCAATTCCTGAAGTTATATTTAAAGTAAAAAGCGCATACTACATATGGAAGTTTTTTTTTTTTTTTTTTTTTGAAACCCTTTTGTTTACCAACGAACAGTTGTAGGATTTTGTCCGTATAGAAAAAACTGCATTCATTTTTTTGTTACCTAGTCGTAGAGACACACACAGAGAATGAGAGCTGCCGTTTAAATTGTTACATGACGATTACGAATTTGGAGAAGACAGTCATCAAAAGTGTGCTTTCCCTGATGAAAGGAAAAAAAAAAAGAAAAAAAAAAAAAACATTTTGTTTCCTAAACTATAAATTAAAAACAGGAGCAACAACATTTCAGGGTTATTCTACCTCATAAGGGGAAAAGTATATCTTTGCATACTCAGGCATATATATTTGTATCCGTGCCGCATCTTATGATTTATTAATCAACATCAGCGTGCTTGGTGCCAGTTTAGTCGTCAATTTTAAATATAAAACGTGGGAAGACACATGGGCACATCGCAATTGCACGTAAGCTAATACGCTTAAACACTGAGGCCCCTCCGCGCACACCCCTCATTTGGCTTCTGAGCCACGTACAGAAGAACCTAACAACATCGCTTAATGCGTACAACGGAAACTAAAAGAGAAACAGGAAAAAATGAAGACCGAAAAGGATGACCCGTTTCATGAAGCAAAACAGTATGGAAATAAAAACACTATATATGTGTGTGTGCGTATACACAAGTTACATAAAAAGAGAAGTACCACGTTGAAAATATTATTTCATTTGTTTTTTCGCATTTCTCACATTTGAAAAAAGCGCACAGTCAGCATAAATGCACATGTGAAAGGAGACCAAAAATGTTGTACCCATCTGTGCGACAATAATTCATTATGTGGACACATTGCACCATTCCCCTTTTAGCGAAGTGGACGTCTCAGTGCAGAAGCTGCAAAGTCTATACAACAACTGGAGTAGCATCCCGGACAAGAATTCAATGTAAAAAAATTAATCATGTTGCAGCATGTTTGCTTACAATGCAGTGCGGGGAAAAGAGCCCATGCACACACTGCCTTCTTTTTGCTGACGAAACATAATTCCCATTGGTGCTTTCACACGCATGATGCATTTCAATGGAGTATACTTAACAACCTATTTAAAAGACAAATTTAAATTTGTTCCCGCGCAGCCTGGCCAAGGAAAAATACTGCCTAATAAAGGAAGAAATAAAATATCTTAACGAAGACCTAGATGATCTGGACAGCGCGGTCAATGTCGTAAAAAACAATTTATTTAAATTTAATATTAGCAATGAGGAGTTGGAGAACCGAGCCAATTCGCTGAAAAATATTCGAAGCGTCCTGAATGATATTGCCAGCAATTTGACGTACAAGGTTAGAGCAACGGCGGAAAAAAAAAAAAAAAAAAAAGAACGCCACGTAAGCGACTACGACAATGAAGAATCTTTTTTGCGATAAACGCAACTTTTATGTTTTTCCTTTTTTTTGTTGGCAGGTTTTAAACTACACTGGAGACATGAAGGGAGAATACGACGCAGTAATGCTTTAAAAAAAAAAAAAAAAAAAAGCGAAAAGGCGAAAAAGGAAGCAATGGAGAGTGGGGCGGGGGATAGCTCATTCGCTAATAAATATATGTACGCTGTCCGAACATCGGGGGAATAAATTCACTTTACATAATTTCTTTAAGAAATAGAGAGAATGAACCTTTTATGCCGCAATACACATATATATGTATGCGCTCTCTTGCTGTGTGTATTTCCAGGTTGTGCTCAAGAGGCAAGATAACGATTTGGACGAACTAGCCGAATCAGCGGAACGGCTGCACAACGCCGCCATTACCATCAATACAGAGTTGAAGGATCAACAAAAGTATGAAAAGAGTGAAAAGGAAATACGTTCAGTCTCGTTCTTTTGTTTTTGTTCGAAACATCTTTTATATTATCCTGCCCATGACCCCAACCTTTTTTTCCCCCCTTCCCCCATTTATGTAGGCTGCTGGATGAGTTGGAAAACGAAATGGATTACTCAAGTGAGCCAAAAAGGAGAAACACGTTTATGCAAACTTCTCTTACATGGCAAATAAGTGCGCTTCTACTTCTACCGTATATAAACTTCATTTCATTTTGACCACTTGCCCCCCTACTCAGATGAAAAAATGAACATTGTGACGAAAAAAATTGCACATTATTTAAAGACAAATAGTAAGTGCAGCAAACAGGGGCTATTAAGTAGAGTACAAAAGAGTCATGTTCCATAAAGCGCGTTTGGGGGGATTCCACCCCTTATGCCGTGTGGCACACCGATCTGTGCTGAGCTCGTAAATGATTATCATCCCCTTTTCCGTTACCCTTTTTCGCAGATCCGAAAGTACTATCCCTAATAGTGTACCTAACGCTTATCTCATTTTTTTTGTTATTTGTCCTCGTGGTTTCCTGATCGGATAGTTCGTTGTTTGAACGAGCATCGACTTTCTTGGGCATGCAATATAAAGGCATATTTGTGTAGATCATGCATGCTCATGCGTATGTTCCACATGTGACACGTCACCACGGCGCGTCTGACGCGGGATAACAACCTCGTTTGTATTTTAAAACAACTTATAAATTTATCAAATAATTGTTCCAATTGATGCAAAAGGATCCCAATTTTGGTTTAAAAAAGGTACATATGTGTAACGCGTGGGTTAGCCCCTCAAAAAGGATTGCTACATTTCCCACTTCAATGTGGACACATGCACATATGCTTATACGCATTTTTGTATGCATCCTTATAGCTTTTTTTGACAAAATCCTACGTGGGGGACTTTCCCACTTCGGGATAATATATTAGACAAAAGCAAAAAAAAAAAAAAAAAAAAAAAATTTGTACAATAGAACCGTGCGGAGAAGGAACATATAACTTCAATTTTTATAGAAAAAACAACTTGTGTACAAAGTCATATATGTGTACTTATACACATATGTGTGGAATGCTAATTATGGTGAGATTTGAATAAAGGGCAGATGTAAATGTTGGCTGAATGCCGGAACAAATTTAAGAGGGAGCTGACCAACTAGCGTGCGCTGTTCCGTTTTCCAAGAGTATGCAGTGCGCATGCGCGTTTAAGTCAGAGTACATAAAAACAGAGACGCCAGGGTGAAGGTGATAGAGGGGGCGCTTTTATTGACACATGTGCATCTTAACGTAATTACCATAATTGTCACGTTTTTTCCGTGGGCACCTTTTAAAACGTCGGCCACGCTACAAACTGCTGCACAGATAGGAACAACTGTTTTTTCCTTTTGTTTTCTTTTTTAAACAATTAGTGGGGAAACTAATGACCCATTTATCGGTAGTCATGGTAACCGCCTCTATCAGGGTGAACGTTCTTATACTTGCTTTTGTACAAGGTGTTTCCCCCTTTGTTGTTAACAGGTCCATTCGCACTGTGGTCATTGTGCTTGTAGAAAGCTACGTTACCCCTGTTTTGACTGCTGTAACTTCCGTGGTTGCCTTTGCCATGGCGGCGTTTGGGATTGCTCCTGTACATGCTGTGCGAGTTATTTTTATTCACATGTGAATTAACATTTGGCTTCATGGTGGCACTACCTCCTGGATTACTAAAATTACCACTGGAGGCGTTCGAGAATTTGTATAGACCCGACCTAGCATTATGCATTTGCCCACTCGTGTATCCCTTGGCGCCGTCATTGCTCTCGTTATGTATGTTATAGTAACTGCCTGAATGATGACTGCCGTTGTTTCTGTTGTCCTGACCCCCTCCATCATTATAATAGTAATCGCCAATGCTACTGTCATGAATGTACCTACTGTTATTGTTATGTCTACTGCTTCCTTGGTCAGCATATTTATTTCTATTGCCACGTTCTCCGCCGTGCGGATAGAAGTCACTTATATTGTCATTGTTGTCATTGCCTACGTGTTGTGTATACTTGTAATCATAGTGAATACTGCTTTGGTGGGTATCATCCTTGTGTCTTTTATTATTAGAGCGGAAATTATTTTGACTATCTGTATCATACGTATCGTAATTCCTCTTCTGTTTGTTCCTTTGTGTACTATCGTTAAAAGAGTATTTTGTGAGGATTACCTTACGTTTGCTGCTGTCATATGAACGATTGTCGTCTACCATGTATACGTTGTGATTGCTGCTAAAATTCTTTGCGTCCTTGTGGCGGTTGTGTGGGGGACCGCCGACTCGTTCGTGGCTTTCCGCTGTTTGGCCATTATCGCCGCCACGTCTGTTATTGCGCCGGTTGCCGCGTTCACCTCCTCGTCCATATCCACGTCCATTGGCACCATTGGTGCTGCTCTGACCGGAGTGATTGTACACATTTTGAAGGGCATTATTATCAACGTCACCACTCCCCTTCCGTTCATTCGTTTTGGGTTCATGTAAAATCCATATATTTTTAGGATTTCTCAAGTAGACAAAATAGGACGGATCCAACTTGCTGTTAAATTCCCTCCTAACGTTATGCGTATGCTTGGCGTAAATGTACGGAGGCCTTCCACATTTCAAATGTTCATTAGAGAAACAATTTAAGCAAGATATACTTTTGTACGGATAGTTAATATAATTTAACTCACTAATAAGCTTTCCTGCATTCGCCTTGAATGCAAGATATTGTGTCTTGGTGTTATGGCACATCGGTCCAGTCACCCGTTTATAGCATAGGAAGCAGTAGGTATTTTTACACACATGTCTGAATGTCAACTCTCTGTCGCAATCGCTGGATCCGCAGTTCTGACATGTGTACTTTTTTTCTTTATACAATTCGCTTTGGAAGTAAAAGTGGAAAAACAAATTTTCGGAATTGATATCTGGGAATTTTACTAGCCAATTTTTTATTCTTTCTCGAAAATCATCTACCACATCGTTGGACTTGGAATCGTCTAAGCAAATTTCTTGACAAGTTTCTGCACACCTTTCTGTCAAACATTCTGCATTTTCATCCATGGCCTCTTTTGCGGTATCGCCCTCCGCATTCTCGATGATCACTGGGGGGGACTCTTCCTCCTGCAAGGTCTGTTCTTCCATTTCCGCAGTCCCCACTTGATCAATTGAGTCGGCCCCTGTATTTTCTACACCCACATCGGTGGCAGTGTTTTCTTCACCCCCTTCCACATCAGCATTTTCCCCATCCACTTCTGTCTCATCGTTTTTTTCTTTCTCTTCGTTTGCAGAAACTACACCTTTCGATATTTGGCTGTTCCCCCTCTGTGGCGCCTCCCTTCCCAGAAGGACATCCACAAAATTATCATAAATCCCCTGCGCATCTTCGCCAACCACATTTGGGTCATAGTAATATCTGTTGTTGGCCTCACTTTGTCTACTCCTTTTGTTTCTTTCCTGAGAGGCAGATAAAACGATAAGATAAATTTTATCTTTCCTCAATTTCAATAATTCGTTTTCATTCCTTTCCAACTTATGTTCCTCAAAAGAATCTTGTTCCAAATGTTCGGGGTCCTCGATTAAAATATTATCCTTTTGAAAACTGGTCAAAATATGGGCTCGAATTTTCTTCCTCATATTTTCATAGTCGTTAATTTCGTCTTCGTTCAATTCTTCCAGCATAGCAAAGCTGTCGTTTGTGCTGATTTGGTCAATTTCTACGGTTATGACTTCATCTTCTTCTACGCTACAGTGGTTATAATTGTTGTCATTCGTATTTCTGTTGCTTCCATTTTTTTTGTTGTATTCATCATCGGGGGGCACTGTAAAGCCCTCCCTATCGCCCCCGAAATTCCCAAACTGATTCTGGTCTGTATTTATATTTAAGCGAACATTTTCGTCTGGATTTATGTTTATTGTAAAAAGATTATCCATTAAAAGGTGTGTTTTTTGTTCTACTTATTTTTCCGTCCTATAACGGCGTGCTTGTGGCGCCTCTGATACTCGCGCACGGTGTTTTTTTGTACATGTGTTTTATTATAATTTATGTCCTCTCCTACTATCTGCGTTCCTTTACTCCTCTTTTGTGTTAACTCTTCCTATTAATTGCTCTTTGTGCAACGATGTCCACCACACCTTTTCGGAAAAAAAAAACTCACGCAAATGTGTGTACAATTAGCGTCTTGCCCTACAAGTGTATCCTCACACGTATATATTTTAGAAGGCTCTGTTGTATATATGCGTCGTAGGGCCACTGTTTGTATTTTCTAAGTTTGGAAGAATGTCGACACTCTTGTGTCCCTTTCTCTTCTACTATAACTTTCCACTACAAAAAACATCAAAAGGGGTCGAGGGACACAAATGTCATTGTATCCAACTTTGCAGTGGTTGGGGGAGGGGCAGTTGGTAGAATGGGCAACATTGGTCGGGTTAAACAAAAACAGTCAATTGAGAAAACAGTAAATAAACAGCTGCACGTTACTGAAACATAAGCAAAAGCTGAAAGTCAAAACAAACGTAAAACAAAAGCTGCAAGATAAGCAGTTTTTGCGCAGCTCTCATTTTTCACTTTCGTCCTTCACTCCGCTTTACGGAATTGCGCATTGTTTCCCCCTTATTCATGCGAAGGTTAAGTTAAAACAATATTGTAATTTTGCCTCGCATGAATGAAGTATTGCTTTCTTGCGACGTAACAATACTATTACATAACGTTAAAAAAAAAAAAAAAAAAAAAAGAATTGCAAACTTGCTGAAGTTTGAGAAAAAATATTCTCATAAAGGTGCAAATAATAGGACCAGAAATGGAAAAGCGGCATAAATAAAACGCAGTTTGGCACCCCAAAAAAAAAAGAAAAAAAAAAAAAAATACCAATAACGCCGTTACGATTTTGAACAGTAATAGGAGCTTGTTATTTTACAAGTATACGAATTTCCTCACTTTTGGAAAACGACCCAAGGACAAAAAAACTTCACCAAAAAGAAAAAAACACGCTTATTATAAGTGTGACTTGCCATATAGAGTGTGCCATCCGTCATGCTTGTAATTTTTTCGTTCGTTAGCCTGGACGGGGAAGGTACATAACAGTACATACTTCCACTTTATGAATACAACTGTTAGTCACTTTTGCTTTTTTGCGAGACATACCGGATCATGTGGTATGTTTTACTATGGAAAAAACAAGACCACAACCCGTGTAGCCACACGTTACAAAAAAACTTCAAAAGGGGTGATGAAAAATGGGAGTGTGCGCTTTTTTAATCTTAAAAGGGTGCACACATTTGATCATTATGCTTATGTCCGCTTTGTAATGAAATGAAAGACCAATACGATTATTTTGTGATGCAGTAGGACGCAAAAACAAAAAAAAAAAAAAATACTGTTCGTTGTGCTGATAATCTATTATACAGATGTCACACTGCTCAGACGGGGGACGTGCAACCCCCTTTTTGGAAACAACTTCCATTCATTTCTTTCGTCAATTTGTTGTTGAAATATACGTAATCTGTTGGTAAGAAAAATTATGCGTTCTTGTCTGTTCCATTGTATTGCTCCATATAATATCTCAACAAGAGTACAGACGCGGAACGAAGAAGAATAAAATAAAGCCCAATTAAACACACTCAGTTTTTGCCTACCATGTAGTAAGCGAAAGTCAGATTTTCTTCAAACCTGCGGAAAAACAGCTACGCTGGGCCTATAGATGGCTTAAAAGATAATCACCGCGGATATATTATTCTCTCCCTTGCATACTATACATCTGGTGGTTCCTTCCTTCCCTTATTTTACTGGCGCATCATTATAAAAGTCGAACCTGTGTTCATCATTGTCACCTCCAAATTGGTTCCTTTATATGGCACAATGATTCGCACAACAAGGGTAAAATGAACAGATACAACGTTCATGCATGTATGCACACGTGTATGCAAGATGCTCCTAAGCGCCACTCTCGTGAGGGACGCCAACGGGGCAATCGTGTAAGCGTGCTGCAATGGTACCTTTTTTTTGTGGAATCGCTTACCCCGCTTCAAAAAAAAAAAAAATAAATAATAAAAATATAATAACAATGTAAGATGCAAAAAAGTTACTACAGCAAACGTGAAAACATCTTAATTTTAAATAGAAAAATGTGCGCAACCATTGGAAGGAGGGCAATTGTACAATGCAAGTGTAGCCCTTAGGATCAGAAAAAGGGGAAAAACTTTTACGCAGATGTAATGGAACACATGGGCGCACATATGTGACTGCCCCACTGGCTGACTAATGCATCGGAATGTACAGAACTTAGCTGCAGCCCCTGTTGGAATGAAACATTTGCGGCGCTAGGCTCCAAAGTACACACGCGAGGATACGACAAAGCGACGTTCAGTGAACAAACCTCCTGTTTTACCATACCTGCGCTGCGTGTGTATTCCTGCACGCTTGCATCTGCCTGAGCAAGTGCCGTCGATATCGGCGCAGATGAAGCAGTAGCAGTAGTCGCAGTATAGGCCTCTCCTCTGTGCGTAATTTTTCCATGGTAAAAGATGAACATTTTGTTGTGCCTAATTTGGATCCTTGTATACATAGCTGACGACAGAAGTAAGGCACATGTACAGTGCAAAGGACAGAATGACGTAAATAGAGCGAAGCAGACGTACTTATACAGCCTATTGAAGGGTAAAGTACAAGATCGATATGCACACCATCGGAATTTTCTACTTTATAAGAGACGGGCACTGTTCCATATACGCATACCGAAGAAGAATCTGGAGAGGCAGAACCTATTCAGCAATGATATCCGCTATAAAAAAATTAACAAATTTTTGGAAAATAAAAAGGCAAACAAGTTTTATTTACATATAAATAATAACAACCATGCAATAAAAAAAAAGAGGAATAAAAACAAAACCTTGCAACTGTTGTTTGAAAAAAAACAGTTGTTGCAAGAATATTTGTTCAACTTAAAATCATCCTTTATGGATAAGTATAGAAACACAAAAATTGTAACTAAGCTTTTTTTATCGTCCGCTTTACTGATGCTAACCCTTAACCTCATTGGATTAAAACCAGAAGACATCGCTCTACACGATAAAAGAATAATCAGAGCATTTGAATTTTACAGAATTGTAACATCAGCATTGTTTTATGGTGACATATCACTATACGTGTTAACAAATGTGTATATGTTATATGTGCAGAGTCAAGAGTTGGAGAAATCTGTGGGTTCACCTGAAACGCTTGCTTTTTATTTGTCTCAAATTTCTATCCTCTCCATAATTTGCTCCTACCTAAAGAAGCCCTTCTATTCAACAGCACTCCTGAAATCGCTGCTCTTTGTAAACTGTATGTTAAATCCTTATCAGAAATCTAATTTGATTTTTGGAATAAATATTTACAACATTTACTTACCCTATTTGTCCATCTTTATTGATATTTTGCATGCACAAGATTTGAAAGCTTCCCTGTCGGGGATACTGGGCGTGACCAGTGGGTCCATTTACTACCTTCTGAATATTTATGCGTATCAAAAATTCAACAAAAAGGTTTTCGTAATTCCGCGTTTTTTGAGGAATTATCTGGATTCTGTGAGCACGGACGATGTGCTCTAGTTTAGCCTTGAGGTAGTGTGTGCACTTTTTTTCTTTTTTTTTTGTTGAGTGGGGCGTAAAATATGATCAATTTCGCATTTGCCATGTTGTACTGCGATTTTTATTCCACTTTTATCTTTGTCTGTTTACCCTTTTTTTTCTGTGAGTTTCTCAATTTTTTTTCAGTAGAATGTGTTATTTTCTTTTTCCCTCCTATGAGGATTTCCCCTAGCATAATGTGTATCCTGGTACACATTAATGCATTGCACCTCTTCTTTTCTCGCTAAAATGCTTTGCTGTGATAATTAAATGGGAAAAGACAAACTCGGTGGTGCTCTTCACCAACTTTGTTTTTAATATACACATTGGAAGCAGCAGAATAAATGTCGCCACTTACAAGGGCTATCCGCTTTTTGATTAAAAAACATAATCCCATCACATGGTTATAAAAAAAGACATTTCCCACTATAGTACCATTTGCTATGTCGCTACTATTTGCGGAGTCACCACCTTTTGCGCAACCCTTCTGAACAATTACGTTAAATTGTTGTTCATAGTTAATGGCACGTTCCAAATTTCTGGATGCATTTTTCAACAAAAAAAAAGTTGGCTTCAATAAACTCCTATCATTAATGCGTTTTATGTATTTTTGAAAAAACGAATCAGCCAAAATAGTTTTGTTTAAACTGTCGCAATTCTCCAGAAACATATCGAGGTAGTCGTAGTTTACACACATGGTCAGTTGGTACTTATTTATAAATATTTCGTTCCTTGTTCTGTTTATTGCTTCTTGGCCTACGTAGCATCCTTTGTCTTTGGCCAAATAGTTTAACTTATCGTAGTTGAGGTCGAAGGGGGAGAGGTCTTTATATTTGAACGAGTCCCTGTCCATGTTGCCCTTTGCGCCATTTGCTGTATCGGACGCACTGGGCCCACCATAAACAGTCGAAACATGCGAATCGCTTGCGACTTCCTCCGTGACATCCCCAAAAAGCGGATCGTTTGAATACAAATTTTCGACGACTCCTAAATTCAGCTTCATATAGTCATACATGAAAGTGGCGGGCAAGTTTACCTTTTCCTCCTTTACAAAGCTGAGAAGCATTTCGCAGGGTTCCTTTTTATTCTCGCTGCTAATCTGGTCGATCCCCTCACTGGGCGTTTTACTCAAGGGGGAATGCACAAAATCTGTTGTCATGATTATGCTTTCCCCTTTGTCCCTTTTCTCGTCTATCAGCTTCTGCCCCTCCCTCTTCATTTGGTACATTCTATATCCTAAGTGATCATTTCTTGCATCCTTGGACAAGAGGAATATTCCTGGGTCATTGGAAAGAGTAGAAAGTTCGTCCTTCACTTTGGTAGCGGTATCTCCATCGATGCCCACAGCGTCGACTTTGGAAATTCCCCCCTGGAGGACACAAGCACTTGGCAGGAGCTGATAAACCGCGATGTTGGACATCTGGCTAAAGTGAACATCACATGCGAGCTTGCGCTTTTCCAATATGCTGAGCAACATTCTGCATGCTTTGATATTGCAATCCATGTAAAAGAGGCTAAAGATATTTTCTTCATGAGTATATTTTACATTGTATAGAAAACAGTCAGCCAATATTTTGCCATTGTTGTGTAAAAATAGGGAAGGCAATCCCTTCGTCCATTTTTTGTGGTTTACATTATGGCCACACAGTTGATACGCACTTGTATCATCCAGGCTGGATAGTACATTTTTTGGGACATTTTTGTATAAAGAAAAATCCTTTTCCGTTATTATTTTATTTAAATCGTTGGTTGTCAAGCTTTGTAGAAATCTGAAAGAGTCTGTTCCACAAATTTGCACGAGCGTCCTATTTTTTAATCTGCACAAGAGGTACTTATTCATTGAATTCAGCTTTTATTATATGCCAACAAATGGATGCGACTGTTTTGTTCTTTTTTTTGGGGGGGGTTCTTCCTTTTTGCGAGTGTTGTGCTAGCTATGGCTATGTAAATGTACATGTGCCTCCTTTCGAGTGATGGTAAAAAGTAGTTCACTTTTTTAATGCTCAGGTTGCATCAATTTTTCTCATTCATGCGTATAGAAAAAAGAACGTGTATGTATTGAACAGATCCGACGGCGGCAGCTTTGGTTTTTCCTCCCAGCAGCTGCATTTTTAAGAAATCCAAGTTGTGCAAGATACGCGGCGTGCGTAGCAGTTTTTTGGCCACGTACAATGGCTCACATAACACACAAGCTGCGAGCCCCCATTTCGGGCTTAAAAAACGCACGAACTGTGCGAAGTGCGTAAACTGCACAAACACTAGTGAAAGGGATATTTTGTTGAGCGAAAAATAGGAAAAAGAAGGCAGCGAATATATCTTTTTCTTCATTTTTAAATGTTATAAAAAAAATCACAAAAAAAAAGGTTGGCAAAAATAAGGCTTGAAAGTAGCCACAAAATGGATATGTTATATATATATACGCAGTACAAAAACACACACCTGAGCAGTTTTGCCCGACCGTTCATGCCAGGTCAACTTGTCAATTCTATATCTCGCCGATTTTACGAGTCATTTGAATGTCTTCACAACGTATGTCAGTTTGACCTTATTGTGATTTTTTCATTTTATTCCTTTTTTCACCTTTTTTTCCTTTTTTCTTCCAATCCCCTTTGCGGATGTGCAGGTTGTTTCTCCCCATGTGAGCGTCGTCCCTTTTGGCATACATTTGAGTAGGGCCTCCCCCGGCTTTGGACTCATGACCATTGCGACGGTGGTTCTGCTGCTTAGCAGCTATATCATTTGCGTGGTCGAAGAGGAAGCTGTGAAATTTTCTACTAGGTGGAATTGTTACCGAATTAATGGTCGTTAAATTCTTTTTACACATTTGAATAAATTTATTTAACAATTCAATGTTCATGTTTTTAAAAAAGGGGTTCTCCGAAATGACAATATTTTTTAAATAATTCAGTTCACATAAATGGCTTAAAATTGCTGCGTCCATAATGAAATTATTTTGTATATAAAGCTGTTTTAACGCGGTCATGTATACGACATCCCGCTGGACATGTGTTAATTTGTTATTGTTTAATCGTAACTCTTGTACACTTGAAAAATGGGAACCAAAACAAAATTCTCTCATTTTGTTAAAAGAGAGAGAGATTTTTTTTAAGTGTGTCATAACTTTGGTCGGTTTTGCAAGCGTTTCAATTTTATTGTTTTTTAAAATGAGGGTCTCCAAATTTTGAAGATTTGCTAAATTGGGAACTTTCTCAATCTCGTTATATGCTAATATTAACGTTTTCAAATTTTTCAATTCGCACACGCCATCCATTATTTTGATTTTATTGTTTGACAAATTTAGGTACACTAAGTTGGTTATGTTGCTTAGGTAATTTATGTTGTCTATTAAATTGTGTTGTAAAATGATTTGTTGTAAATTTAAATTCATTTCAAGCATCGACATATCTTTTATTTTGTTTTCACTCAAGTCAATTTTTTGCAAATTTTTCATTTGATATAATTCTTCACATTCTTCTATGTTTCTGTTTTTTAAAATTAGTTCTCTGCAATTTGATACATCTCCATTTTTGATCACAGAGGATATCTTTAGTATCGTTAATTTGGCTATAATTTCTTCGTCCTTTTTTCCTCTCTCCTCATCAAATTGTTGCTTTTCCATTTTGTTTCCATAAAAATTGTGTGCACGATGAGGGGATTTTCAGTGTAGTTGGCTATGTCTAGGAATGGACCTCCCACAACGGCATCTCACGGGGGTTGCAAAAATGAAAAAAAAGAAAAAAACAAGCAAACGCACAACCTAAATAAACTTGTGTAAATGTAGCCTTCCAATTTGCACCCCTCAGTTATACATCACAAAATAGAGATACCTTTTTGGAACATTTCCATTTTTGTTATCTACATATAAAAAAGAATGCAAAATGTCCTGTTTCTGCGTTCAACGGGATGGAGCAGCAGTATGCAACATTCTTAACTCGGCTAATAAATCGCCTTCGAAACGATGTATCGCCTAAGGTTTTCCAAGTACGTCACGTCAAAACGGCTAAAACAAAATGCTTAACCAATTTTTAATCTTTAAAATGAGCATCCACACGGGACAATGTTTCAAAATGTATGCACATAAATAAGCATGCACCACATTTCCGCAAAGTGCAAAAAAAGAGCCTACCTCGATCTAGTTTTGCAATTTTTATTTTATTAATTTCATGAGTTCTTTTTACGTTTGGTAAAAATGTAGAGAATATTTAAAAGAACTGTATTTTTATGAGCCAAAAAAAAAAAAGAAAAAAAAAAGGAAAATTTTAAATGCAACAATGAATGGGAGGTGGGCACATAAAATCACTCCAAAGGGTAAATGGATAAGGGTAAGAACGAACGCAGAAGCCCGAGGCGCGGGCGTACAAATTAAAACCCAAGCAAAAAGTGCAACAAAGTCGATGAACCAACCCCGAATCAGTGGCTGCAACGGCTGCGGCGGAATAAAGGCCCCAGTGCGTCGCAAGAGCGCAAATTTGTTAATTACCGAAAAGGTGCACCAACGGGGTGGGGGGTCAATCGGGTGAGAGAAAAAAAAAAAAAAAGGGGGCAATATTAAAATGTACAAATGTCGGAATGACGAAACGGCCAATTGAGCAGTGTGGCGGACAGAACGTCGCATTATCGAGCCCTTCCTACGTACACGTAGCCACGTCCAACGTGCACCTGGGTAGTAAGCCAAAAAATTCAAAAAGAAAAGCGCGTCCAACGCTAGGGAATAAACGTATGGACACGCACTTCAGCACCTGGGAGAAGCTTTCTCCAACGCGCCCGCGGAAATGAAGACTCCACCACCCTACACCTGTATGCGTGCGTACGATATGTAGTGGTAACTTCCGGACACATGCTTGTGCATTTTTTGGACGGCCAATTTATGATTCTTATCCATTTGGGGATTATTTTTCATTTCCAACATTTTGTGTTCGGCCTTTTCGATAATTTTCTTCTTCATGGTCTTTCTTCTTTTGAAAATATATTTCAGTTTGCGAATTCCCTTTAGTGACAGAAATTTCTTCCACATGTTATTAAAGACACTCTTGAGCGCCATATCAACTCTTTGCAGAACTTTAAACTCTGATTTTAAAACATTCCATAGGGCTAGACCGGCCATGGGTGCAAACAAGTAGGGTCCGATGGATGCGAAGAGACCAACGGAGAAAACACTCTTCATGCAAGCTTGTGTCGAGTTAGTTAAAGTTGCCTTAACCGCATGTTGGATACATACTTGTTTAGGTGGAGGGAGAGTAGACGTGTAACAACTGGCGGCAGGTCCCATTCCAATGTCACTGGCGTGCTGAGTTATATCCATTGCGCTCAGCATTGTGTATGCAGATAAAGTGCCCAGAGTCATGAACCCTAGTATTTCTTTCATCCTACTTTTTTCTCTTTCCTTTTGCCATTTACCTATGAAGTGACCAAAATATGGAGCTTGCGTGTAGAACATTTGACTTAAGTAAGGCAATTGCAATTCGCTAAAAATGATTTTGGTTAATTTGAGAGAAAATGCAGAGGATAGAGAGACTCCATTTGTCATGGCCTTCAATTCTTTCTTCATAGATTTCGGTAGCAAGACATCGAAGTAGTGCAGGACAGCATCCCCTCCGAGGATCATTTTAAAATCGTTTACAAAATTTTGGTCATCAATTTTGTTGCCAAATGCATTTTTAGAAAATTTGGATTCATAAGTATGTAAACTGTCTGGGTTTTTCAAATGTTGCAAAGCAAAAGTTGATATCGTTTTCCACAAAGCAGAACAATGATCAGCACACATCGAATTTTGTAATTCCTTCATTCTCTCTTCATTATTTAACTGGGCATATGCCGGGTTGATAGCCACCATTCCGGGGTTCCTAGCGACACTAAACGGTTCACGTAAGCGTCTGTCTGTGCTGATTTGCACTACATGGTCTACAATTTCGATGAAGGCTTCATTAATGAGCCAAGATTCATCTTCATTACGTAGAAGCTTATGCAACTCTGCCACTTTTTCTAGTAACATCATTGCCTTTTTCATGTTGATGGTTGCTCCAAACCAAATGGCATGTTCTACTTTAAAACTTGGTTTTCGCAGGAGCATATTTCCAAGGGAAACAATTTTTTTGAAAAATTTTCGAAACACTGTTTGTTTCGTTGGCTTGACCGTTCTGGAGAACATGATATTGTCTTCGATGTTACTTTCTAGTAGGTACTTACTATCCTCAACAACTCTGTAGATGAAGGAGTCTTTGTTATATGGATTGTCCGAAAGCTCTAGCCATATTCCTAAAGCCTTTGCGAATTCTTTATTTATGTAGTGATCCCATTTGTCATTTTGATTATAAATTAATTTGTTCTGTTGCCATTGTCTATCCTTTTCTTCATTTAATTCTTTTTGCTCTTGCTGTAATTTTTCCTGCTCCGTGACTTCTGCGCGTTCACTGCTGCTATCATTGCTGGCCTCCTTCAGTTCCTTATCAATTGAAAATTCCATTTTTTGTTGTTCAAGTTTTTCCGTCTTGTATTCTTCGAACCCTTTGGTGAACCACGTCGACATTAAATTGTCGGCATACTTTGCAAATCCCCCATCCGTAAATACCTGTTTGGCAAGCTCCACATTTCGGTGTTGATAAAAATTCATGTTTTTTGGCATATATTTGGCGTTTTGAATAATTTCTCTAGAAGCAATGGTATGAGTGGTAAAACGGATGGTGGTTAATATATTTTCCAGCAGGTTTGCAGGAATGTGTTGCAAGAGTTTCATCTTGGCAAGCGCAGTTAACAATCTCTTTTTTAGGAGTCCCTTTTTCATGGTCACTACAAGTTTTCTAAGTTTATGTGGTATTAACGCAGATGTAGAAGTTGCAAACTTCTCAGACATTGTAGCTGTTAACATTTTCTTCTTCTCATTGTAATAACTCTTGACTGGATTTTTTCTCGAAAGGGATGACATTATGAATAAGTTCACATAGAATAAGTTTTCATATCTAGCTATGTTGTTTAAAAATTTTAAATTATTTCCTCGTACGATAAATTTTAGTGGGGCGTTTGTTAAAGATTGCAATTCTTCTAACGTCTTCTTCATGGAGTCTAAATTAGACTTTGGAGATTTAGACAGGACACTATTTAAGTATAAATGATGACGTACGGATGACACATCGTTTAAGAAGAATTTTCTAATATTTTCGCTTTTCGTAAAAATGTTGGCATATTTGTCCACTAGGGCGTAGAAAACATATAGTGCTTTACTTCTGGTATTGTACTTGGCATCCATTTTGATTAATTTATCTTTTAATTGCTTTCCCCTCTTGATAAACTCATCGTAGACAAATTGAATTTTACTGTTTTTTTTCTTTCCCCCAACCTTTCTAACTTGTACATTTATCAATTCTCTATTATCATACCAGAACAGGTACTTATAAAAATCCGTGTACAAGTTCTGCTCAAAAATGAGGCTAATATAATTAGGATTGGGCTCTGGCTTGTAGGATGAATTTTCTATTTCGGCAAAGGTTCGTAACATATCAAAGGCTCTTTTTAAACTTCTCTGGTTTTCCTTATCCCCTTCGTCCATTTTTAGGATTTTAGGGTTATACAGTGTAGACTTTTCAAAATCACAGTTGAGGGGATTCTTGGCATCATTCCTTGGACATACCTGTGAGAATATCCTCACTGCATTGTGCGAAAACGAAATGGAGTTTTCATAACCGTACGCTTCACTGCTGTTAAAGACCTTCTGTATTTCGTGTACGTTTATCAAAGTATATGCATTTAGAATCAATTCTAACAAATCACAAGTTACTTTCCTTTCCCCTACATAGGTACTGTGTCTACCAGGTCTAGATTCGATAGGGATAAAGGTTATGTCTTTATTGAAAATTTTCGGGGGGCGGTAGTACACATTGCAAACTTCGTTGTACATGAAGAATGTGTAATCCGAGTTGGCCATCAACATGGTTTCTAAAGAATAAAAAGGTTTCACCCCCTGCACAAAGTAGTGATTGTACGAAAGGTAAGCTAAGGACAACATCAGCAGGTGACCCATTAGATATATGTTAGAAGAGGAGGCTATATAAATTTCGTAGTTTAGACCCACAGAGGATGATGCTTCTTTGCTGTATTTTTTCCTAATGGGTTGGATCAGTTCTCCTAAGGCTAAATTATGATAGTATAGTCTCTCTAATTGATTTACTCCAGGGTTGTTCACAAATACATGACAAAGGTATTGTCTTAAAATTTTGTTATACTTGGCACTTAACGGTTGCATTTCTTTATTTCTAAAGGAGTTAGCCTCTGAGATGAAGTTTTTATCTTCGTATGCGTCCCGCCCAAAGTTGGTATTTTTTCTATTCATAGAGTTATAAATGGCATTTAAAATATTATTGTAATTGTTAAATTCCACGGATTTTCTTTTTTGCAACTCGGTAATCATTTCGCTCCTTAATTCTTCCAACGCTCTGGAATACTCAAAGGAAAGGTTTAAGAAATCTCCTTTTTTTTGTAAAGGTTCATTAAGACGGCAATATTTATCTACCTCTTCTGAGAATTTAGGTCCTATCATTTTTTGTAATTCAATTTCATTGGAGCTCAGCGTATTTCTTTTATCTAAATTCATGTAATTTGAAAAATGGTAATTTACAGGTCCCGTTTGTTCTTTGTATTTTACGTTCAGTCCTTCCTCTGTCATTTCGTCTGATCCTTCCGATTTTGACATTTTCTCCTTAATAAGCATATCTTGTCCGTTGTCTACGTAAAACACATTGGAAGGATCTACATCTTCATCCTGCCCGTCAGATTCAGTTCCCTGTGATTTCTGCCCTTTTTTTGCATTCGCCATTTTTGCTCTAGAATATTCCCCTTTATTGAGATTTTCCTCAATTTCCTTTGCTCTCCGTTTAGCATGCGTATTGTCATACTTTATAATGATAGGAGTAGATCCGTGTTCATCCATATTATTATTATCACCCGATCCTGCGTTCTGTGTTCCGTAGTTTCCCGTGCCGGTGCCGTGCATCCTGGGGAATTCACCTGCATTTGTTCCTTTTACGTAAGCAATTCCGTCAGTTGCCTCCGTCAGTGGATTTGTTGTATTATTAGGTTTTAATGTTCTAACATCACCTGGTTTTAACTCATACTCGGTATCGTCAGAATCTGGATATGAAGCGTATGAGGAAGTGGAGTCTGTATGTCCTCCCGTTGGCTTACTGTGCACCCATGTTTTGTTTCTCATGCTATTGTTGTTGTTGACGTCTTCATTGGAGGAGCTATGATCGCTCGCTTGTTTATTGTTAATATTCTTAGGGCCATATCCCCCGTGCTGCACATTATATACTAATGGGTTGTTAATTCCATTACCGCCATAAATTCCTTGTCCGTCACCTGAATTAACAGGCCGTAATCCATGAATGTAATTTAAGCTTTGGTCATTACTTCCTCCATTAGTGTGCATGGGATATGTGCCCGTGCCGTTTGCACTTCCTGGGTGGTTTTGCCCGTGTCCGTCATGCCCCTGTCCGCCTTGCGTACCACCATGTTCCCCATTATCTAACCCATAACTTGTCGTCCCGTTTCCGTTGTTGTCATCGGGATGCTGGACATAGTATGGAGTTCCGTTTCCCTCATACCTTTCTGGTCCTGTATTTTTTTCATAGCCTCCTTCACCATGTGAAGGATTTGTTTTGTTTGCCCCTTCTTCGCCTGGTCCACCACCGTTTGTTTTTCCATGGCCTTTTTTTCCGAAATCTACATCGTACGTTGTCGGTCCAACTCCCTTATGTCCGTGGGGTCCAGATAAATTTTGCGCATCAGTTCCACTTCCATGTTGTCCATCGGACCATTTATTGTCTCCGTAGCTTCCTTCTCCTGGTGCTACTCCATTTCCCCCAGGGTGCACGCCATAAGTGCCCGGTGCGTGCCCGTCGGTACCTACCCCCTTTGCATCCCCAGGTCTGAAGTGTTTTTTAAAGTATTCTGGATATCCTGGTATGCCATTTTTTCCACCATGATGTCCTTTATCATCTCCAAGGTTTATATTTAGGTGTGTTCTGTATGTTGGATTTTTTCCTTGATTGTCACGTCCTCCATAGTATGCATTTCCACCCGTGCCATCGGGCCACAAGCCCGTTCCATCAGATCCACCATAGGGCCCATAAACTTTTCCATCAGATCCACCGTAGGGCCCATAAACTTTTCCATCAGATCCACCGTAGGGGCCGTAACCCTTTCCATCAGATCCACCGTAGGGGCCGTAACCCTTTCCATCAGATCCACCATAGGTGCCGTAACCCTTTCCATCAGAGCCACCATATGTGCCGTAACCCTTTCCATCAGA